GAATCGAACCCGGGTCTTCGGCGTGACAAACGAACGCTTTAACCACTAGGCTACCCCACCCACCCCCAGAGAAGGTAAGATACCAAACAAGCACTTTGTATCACTTGTGCAGATGGCTTGTGTTAGATACAATAATTTATTGGGAAAAAAAGAAAATATTAAGCATGTAGAATTTGATGCATCAGGAAAATAGTATCCACCATGACATTGAGTGTTCGGGCCTTCCAGACCAATACTATAAAATGGTAACATTATAGAAGAATGGATCCCACTTATAAACATGTAAACCATACCATGCTAAACAGAAAGGAAATAGCAGTGTTATATGCATACACTGATACAAACAGTGGAAGGAAACATATTTATCATATTTGCCCGTCATAAAAGGGCCAAAGTAATTAAGAGAAACTTATGTTTCATGGTTTAGTGTAATGGACATGTTAGAGAGTGAAAAGACTGGTGACAAAAGTAATTTAGGACAATAGTATGGACTTGCCATCTTGGATGGTTTCATGAAGTTTGATTACCTCCCCTGTTACCATGGCTACAACTAGTACTGATACTGTGGTTGACCTTGGAACTGTGGCTGCTGCTGCTGTTGTTGTTGCTGTTGTTGTTGATAGGCATGGAACTGAGGTTGTACATGTCCAGGGGACTTCTGTAGGGGTGGGACTCCTTTACGGTACACAAGCATTTTGAGGAAGGCTTTTTTGCGAATACACTCCACGGCTTCCTTGTGTGTGACAACCGTGAAATCCTTGCCATTCACCTACATAAGACAATAATGGACACTAGGGTGGTTATCAAAGGCAAAAGAAAAACAAATATATTTGATTAATTAAGCATCTGTTCACTTGAACGATATATATTAACCAATTAGACAACTCATAAGTTATTACGTAACTGTAGTCAACAAGAAGCAAAGATCTACTCGTATACTCTCACCTGCAGAAATGAAGATCCACTATCATGCTATAATCTACTATCGTACAATTAAACACCTGTGGTTATTCACTCACCTGTACAACTGAAGGTCAAATATTATTCACTCACCTGCACAACTGAAGATCTACTGTTATACACTCACCTGTACAACTGAAGATCTACTGTTATACACTCACCTGTACAACTGAAGATCTACTGTTATACACTCACCTGTACAACTGAAGATCTACTGTTATACACTCACCTGTACAACTGAAGATCTACTGTTATACACTCACCTGTACAACTGAAGATCTACTGTTATACACTCACCTGTACAACTGAAGATCTACTGTTATAAACTCACCTGCATAACCGAAGAATTACTGTTATAAACTCACCTGTAAAAGTTTATCATGGAGCTGTAGCCCACATCGGGAAGCTGGACTACTGTCATGGATATACGTCACATACACGCCCTGAAACAACACATAGTTTTACACTCACAAACACAGGTATATATGGTAGACAACAAAAGGTGTTCAGCATGTGTTCAGTTACTAGCAGGGCTGGTACCACCACATACATTAATGTTCATAAGACAACAAATAACTTCAGTATGTTTAGTGTTTAACATGTGTTCTAAACTATATTGATTTGAACAAAAACAATGTACTTATACTTTCCTTGACATCTTGAAGGTCACATTCACTTATCATGGTATCTTATCAGTAGCATTTACAGTCTACATCTCAGATATCCCTAAAGTAACATTCTCTTTATAAGGCTGTCTCAGAAATACCTTAGGTAACACTCAATTTATTATAGTATCTCAGAACTACCTTGGGTAACACTCACTTTATTAGCGTTTCTCAGAGATACCTTGGGTAACACTCAATTTATTACAGTATCTCAGAGATACCTTGGGTAACACTCAATTTATTACAGTATCTCAGAACTACCTTGGGTAACACTCAATTTATTACAGTATCTCAGAACTAACTTGGGTAACACTCAATTTATTACAGTATCTCAGAACTACCTTGGGTAACACTCACTTTATTAGAGTTTCTCAGAGATACCTTGGGTAACACTCAATTTATTACAGTATCTCAGAACTAACTTGGGTAACACTCAATTTATTACAGTATCTCAGAACTACCTTGGGTAACACTCACTTTATTAGCGTTTATCTCAGAGATACCTTGGGTAACACTCAATTTATTACAGTATCTCAGAACTACCTTGGGAAACACTCACTTTATTAGCGTTTCTCAGAGATACCTTGGGTAACACTCAATTTATTATAGTGTCTCAGAACTACCTTGGGTAACACTCAATTTATTACAGTATCTCAGAACTACCTTGGGTAACACTCACTTTATTAGCGTTTCTCAGAGATACCTTGGGTAACACTCAATTTATTACAGTATCTCAGAACTACCTTGGGTAACACTCACTTTATTAGCGTTTCTCAGAGATACCTTGGGTAACACTCAATTTATTACAGTATCTCAGAACTACCTTGGGAAACACTCACTTTATTAGCGTTTCTCAGAGATACCTTGGGTAACACTCAATTTATTATAGTGTCTCAGAACTACCTTGGGTAACACTCAATTTATTACAGTATCTCAGAACTACCTTGGGTAACACTCACTTTATTAGCGTTTCTCAGAGATACCTTGGGTAACACTCAATTTATTACAGTATCTCAGAACTACCTTGGGTAACACTCACTTTATTAGCGTTTCTCAGAGATACCTTGGGTAACACTCAATTTATTACAGTATCTCAGAACTAACTTAGGTAACACTCCATTTCTTACAGTATCTCAGAACTACCTTGGGTAACACTCAATTTATTACAGTATCTCAGAACTACCTTGGGTAACACTCACTTTATTAGCGTTTCTCAGAGATACCTTGGGTAACACTCAATTTATCAGGGTATCCCTGAGGACTCTGATGGTAACACTCACTTTATCAGGGTATCCCTGAGGACTCTGATGGTGGTCCTGGTCGATACCACCTCCAATGCGGAAGCCACAACGAAACCTGGGTTTGCCATCTGAGTCTAAGACAGAATTGCCCTGCTGATCAAGCTCAGCTTCCTTTTCCAATACAATGGGGATCTGGTAAGCAAAATATAAAACAATTGATAATAAATATATCTCTGCAAAAAAATGTGACCAGTGTATGAAGCTAAAAATATTGTGCCCAAAAGGGCATAGCATTCAAAGATAGAACTAAGTTATTTTGTTAACTCAAACAACTTACTGGAATACAATTTTCTAACTTCTTTCCTTTCCATGGGTGATTCAAGGATACTGCCACATGGAACAGTAGTTCATTTATATCAAGGCCTATCAGCTTCATGTGGTGAGGAAAGAATAAAACCAGGCCATGCAAATGACTAAGGTCCTCAACGAATTAAGATTTCAGACTTGAAACAAATGATCACTTATAGTGCAGATCACAGATTAAGCACTGACTTATGAAGGATCATATATGAGAATTCAACCCCATAAGCAGATACTGGCATGACTAAGCTGGACCTCTATGTACAGTACCAGATCACCCAGATAATAACCAGAGAGAAAAAGGCTCCGAAGTTCACCTGAATTATGAAAACATTATGGTGGCTACATTCAAAATCTTATCTGAATTCTGTGCACAACACCCTGGCACTGGGTTAATTGATACAAACTTTCAAGTTTATCTGATTGTAGTATGAAGGATGTCATACATGAAATAACACTGGAAAACAGTCCTACATAAAGTCCAAATGTTGTAGTTACATAAATAATCGAAATATTTCAGAACCAATTATTCAACATACCACATACCTCTGCATGTGGGATTCAATACGGTCACCACATGACACTTTCAATATGACAGCTGTGGTGGTCATGCTTAAAGTATGTTTAGAATACACTGTGCAACTGAGGAGACGCAATAGCAAGGATCGTTCATTCAAGTCTCAGCATCATAGGTGTTGCAAAATATACAAATGCAATGCACCAAGACCTGCTTTTGCTGATTGGCGAACACACAATCTTTATAAATTCCTATCTTGATTGATTTTGGGACTGAATACAACCTTTTCTAGAGTAACCTACTGTGGAGGTATTATAATGCATTATAACTCACTTGATCTATCGATATGATTAGAAATTTCCCCTGAAATCCACAAACTATTTCAGGGTAGACTTGAATTCAAACGGGAAGTTTGCTTTTTAAATATTGTTAAAAGGACAACTAAATATCCATGCAATAAATGGTTAATATAAACGCCCAGTCAAGTGTGCCTTCAAAACGTAACTGTTGCATCCCTATCAATACCAGACTGTCATTGTGTCCACCTTATCAACATTTTTGTCACTTGTAATAATTATTGAAGAATGACAACTGACAATGGCATTTATATTTTTTTTAGCGTTGTAGCCACACCCACATCATTGATATTATTTCTGCTGTGCACATTTAAGAAAATCGCATCGGTCCGTTGCATTTCTAAATGTTTGGAGGAAATGCTGACATATTTTGATTTTGACAACTGATCGTGCCGGTTGCTATAACCTCACTTACACTCAGGCACTCGAGGGGATCGCCTGCTGTGTGGCCGGCCATCTTGGTATTTTCACCGGAAGAGGAAGAGAGTCAGAGAAAAATAAGGTCGTACTCTAACAGATTGTATTTGTAAAACAAAATATTTCCAAATCCTTAATTTTGCGACTTCTATTAGGTGCATCAAGTTTCTTTAACAGATGCCCCGAAACAACAATAGCGTGACAGGTGCTTGTTTTCACGAGTTCACTAAAAAAGTCTGTCTTCAATTCCTTGAAACGAATTATGAAAACTAAAATTAGAACAAATTGGTCGTTACATGTGATGTCATGGTTAATTAGTAGTACCAACAAACTTTAAAATTTTGTCATGAATAGTGCTGAACAGTATGGCACATACTATGCGCGTCTTAAAATCTTTGTCCGTTTTCTTGCGGCTTTGAATTGTTTTTAAAACTCCCGATGGCGCTCCCTTCAAAACGAAAAACGTGACAGTCACAGATGGTGATCAGTACCTTCAAGATATATTTAACTCGTTGTCATTAACTACACACTATGGACTCTATTGACATCTGGTATTTGAAGGAGGTATTATCATTTTATAACCAATGAGACATTGCATCGTAATCACGATAATTATGATCGTTTCTCATTGTGCTATATTCGATCACCCTAACACAACACCGACACGGATAATATTGTAATGCTATCTCTACCCAGATGGCTAGTATTGAATCCGACTTTACTGATTGTTGTGAGGGATTCCAGTATAGACTATACCCTTAGCAATCGAGTCTGGTAATAACAGACAACTGAAAGAACTGAATGGTTCCTATCCCTGAATCTGTGGATCAGTGTGCTTAATATCAATCACTAGATTGCAGGGGCGGATCTAGTTCAGCAAGCTAAACGTCGTGTTCGTCGGTGTATGCCTTGACAGGAACACGACGTTTAGCTTGCTGAACTAGGGCGGATCAAGAGGAATCTTTCCCCACCTTCTCCTCCGAAAAAATCCCCTGATGAGCATTTCCCCCTAACCTTTGGATTTCATGATTTATGTGCACTCCCCCTTCTCCAAGATGCTTGATCCACCCCTGGATTGTCTGGTCACCGTATTATGGGTGGTATATTGTAGAGTGGGGCATTAAACCACAAACAAGGTTGTTCTATCACTGGAATGTGCAGCTTTTCAGTGTTTACAATCCCAGTCTACTTTGTCAAGAGTTAAACATTTTTTTATTATATTTTAGTACAGCTGAGAATTCCTGTGGCCTGTTTTTTTAATATATATTTTTTGGGAAACCTAAACTATGTGGTTTTAGTCTTTTATGACAAGTTTTACAAATTTCTACACACAGAATACTAATGAAAGTTCCATCATCTGCATACCATGGTGAGGGTGTCAAAAATACCTACTAGTAACTGAAATACATGAAATTCTTGAAAGGCATTTTGAAATCTAGACACTATGTTTAAACGGTTCCTCCTTTTTCTAGGTGTATGTATGGAGGACAGCAGCCAGCATGACGTGGTATCTCCTATCGCTACCAGTACTCACTGTTGTGTATGCCCTCATTGCACAGCTCAATCCACTACACCCACTCACATGGATAACAGGTAGGTTAAGACAGGACCCCTATATCCACTCACATGGATGACAGGTAGGTTAAGACATGACCCCCTAAATCCACTCATGAAGATGACTGAGTGAGTAAGTTCAGTTTTACGCCGCTTTTAGCAATATTCCAGCAATATCACAGCGGGGAACACCAGAAATGGGCTTCACACATTGTACCCATTTGGGAATCGAACCCGGGCCTTCGTCGTGCAGAGTGAACTGGACGCTTTAACCACTAGGCTACCCCACCGCCCCAGGTGAGTTGAGACACCATCACATACACTCACATGGACAGCAGGTAAGTTGAGCCAAGATTACATGCACATGTATATCAGGTGAGTTGAGACACTGTACCTGCATGGATAACAGGTATGTTGGACCTCTACCAATTAACAAAATATGGTAAAGAGATTGTCCAGTGCTTTAGATCATACATTCAACAGGCAGCACAAAATTTCCAATTGACCAAAGAGAGCATAGAAAACATTTCTCACTGAACCTCTCAAAGCTGACAAACTCACTTGATATTGAACCTGATCCTCTACTTTCAGACACATTCTCTGCCATGCTGTCTGTTTACTTCATTTCTACTGCGGGCATCATAATGGCAGCTGATGGAGGCCTCGCTTTGCTGTCAGCATCGGCCTACTCAGGTATTGATAGTTACTCCCGCACCTTCAAATATTATCAGCCAGAGTGGTTAATTTTGTCTTGTTTTTGTTTGTTATTAACAATTGAAATGTGGGTGGTCTGTGTAAGACGTGTTTGATAGGCATGTGTTCAGATAATGTGAGGTGATTGTTCCTCTGCTTGTCTGTAGTTGTGGAACTGATGGACAAGGGAGGTAACTTGAACTCGAAACTCATTTGCACACCATTCATCCAATGCAAATTCATCTCAATAAGATGTTGGTCAGAACTGATCTTCAGAAACCCATAACTGTCAAAAGAGGTCATTATGGTATCACTATCAGAGGGTCAAACTCGGACTTGAATAATTCATGTCATCGTATCCCATTTGCAGAGATGAATGTTCAAGTTATCAATCACTGGATTGGTCCACCCAAACATATTTAAGTATTTCTGAAATATTGCTGAGTTTAGAATTAAACATGGGAGTGCAGATTTAACACAGGTTGTATTTAGTCCTCCATGGCTGTTTCACTTGTATCAAGTGTTACCAATATCCAAATGTTACGATGTCGGACTGAGGACAAATGCATGTAGTCCTTCGGGGCTGTTTTAGTTTTATCTAGTGTTGCCAATATCTGAGTGGTACAATGTCTGCTTCAGGATGCTTGTCTGTAGTCCTCCATTTCTTTTCAGTTGTTCCCGAATGTTACCGACATCCGACTGAGGAAGGTGGCATGGCTGCTGAGACCGGGGTGTCTGGTGCACATATCAGTGTACATGGCCGCTGGCTTTGTCATTTCATGTTGCTCCTCCATATATGCAGGCGACAGATTCTCGGGATTCGTCAAGTACACAGAATACGAAGGGTGGGTAAACCGCTAATCAGTGTTTGGCTTTGAACATTTTGAAATGAAAGAGTCATTGCACATTATGTGGTTCAACATCAGGAAATATTTGGATAAATACAATGGAACTTTAGGGGCATGACAGCGTAGCAGGATGAAATTGAGTAATTTGAATAGCACTAACTGTGACAGTTATGGAATATGATTCAGTGATTATCTTTCTAGTTCAAAGTGAACCATACTATGTTCATGAGTTCAACAAGTGATACTATAGTTGTCTCAGGCGATCCTGCCTCATTAAACTGATATGAACACTTGATCACAACATTGTTAAACTCCTGGGCCCTAATTCTCGAAACGTTTGTAGCCCTAAGAATTCTTAACTTTGATCGTAGCCAATGTGTTAAGAATGGGCTTAAGAAGTTCGTAGGTTCGAGAATAGCTAGCCTGGCCTCTACAGAGAAACAACAGTGATGGCACGGCATCTGTACCACCCTAATGCTGAATCCCAATAGGAATCGGTCCTCAGAAAACTGTGTAGGACATAGAACGAATCAGGCCAGTCTGCATAACCCATTGGTTTTTCACCAACTTGACTTCCTTGTCCCAACTTGCATAGTTACAGGTTGTTGTCATACAGCTTTCAGTTAGTACCACGGTACAAGAGATGATAGGCCATCTCGTGTACACATTACGTTTCTCACTGTTTATTGAGGAAAAGTGAAAGCAGATGAAAGAGCAGGGATTTGATGTAACCTGACATGTAGCTACTTAGTTTTTGTATGTTCTGACATGTTTTTTGTTTATTTTCAGTGACATTGTCTACCTGAACGAATGCCATGTGATGTTTGTTATGTATGGGTTGTACACAGGGCTGTACTTCTGCTGCCAATTCCACCTGTATCAACTCAACTACCTACAGTTTCCCATCATCCAGGTGAGAGTTGTCTCCCCTTCTCCATGTGTAACTACCAACAAAGCAGATCATCTTCACCATGTAACAAACTGTTTGTGCGGGTACTCTGTATTCTCATGTGTAACCTAGAGATTAATAGACAATGTACATGACATTCTCATCCTCATTCATCTTGTGAAATGATATATATTTTCAGAGGGAGAAGTTTTTTCAAGTCCGCAGTGAGGTGGCGTCTATGTTTATCAGATGTGTCACGGAGACTCTCCACCAAATGAAATACTTTTACCTGCTATACTTTTTACTAGGTGAGTATATAAGTAATTTTAAGCTTATCCTTACTCTCTTGTTCTTTTGACGGTGGATTGAAAACGACCTGAAATAAAGTTATCCTATCTCATATTATGTACTCTCTTGTTCTTTGGACCATGGGGTGGAAACGACCTGAAACAAAGTTTTGAGCCTCTTCTAATACCTCGCCCAACATACCTCTTGTTGATATAGACGGTCACAGAGAGTGCCATCTGCTGAGGATGATCACGTGACTGGAGTCATTCTTTCTTGTAGCCCTTGGGTGCAGACAACCTATCTAATATATATTATATCTCTATTATCTCATATTGGTATTTCGTTTCATCTGTAAGGAAAGTGAGTGAGTGAGTTAAGTTTTATGCCGCACTCTGCAATATTCCAGCTATACGACTGTGGTCTGTAAATAATCGAGTCTAGACCAGACAATCCAGTGATAAACGGCATGAGCCCACAATTGGGATACGATGGCATGTGTCAACCAAGTCAGCCAGCCTGACCACCCGATCAAGTTTGTTGCCTCTTACGACAAGCACTGTAAAGTAGGAATATATATAAGAACTAGTAGAAAGAATAAAGAAAGATAACTAGAAGGTTTAATAAAGATATATATAATGAGGTGGATGGGTTAGGACCAGCAACTCATGCAAAACTCAAGCAACTCATTGCACAATCCTTATTCATCTTGCATAGATTGTATGAGAATTTGCAGTTCGTAAAAACATTGCCATGTCCGTAATTGTCTTGACAATAGTCAGTTATAGGAAGGCCAGGTCTCCTGTCAAATATTGAGTCTTTCCAGTACAAACAGGTGTGTGAAGGCAGTTGAAATGCATACCAATCACCAGTGTGAAAAATAGTTTCCAAATTTTGCTAGCCAGTCGGGCTAACTATGCCTGAGAGTTACTAGCCCACAAAATAATTCACTAGCCCAAAATTTGAATGTAGACACGGGTTTCACAATTAAGCTGCTAATAAGATGAACAGTTTTATCAGGCCATAATTTTGCATGGCTTAAAAGTGTATTTTAACTTAACAAGTCGGAGAGAGTGATATAATTACAAAATGACCTCATTAAAATTCACTAGCCAATCGGGTGACTGTGGAGATTTACTGGCCCGACTGGATTTTTACTATCCACAGGCTAGTGGGCCAGTGGCTATTTCGCACACTGCCAATCACTCATGCACTTACATTGTAGACTGTGCTCGGTAGTAGTGGCCTATTGGTGTTATTATCTCTTGGCATCATCCATGTTTGATCCATGTGTACCGTTGTTTCCAGGCCACATACCCAGAGGATGGATTCTACACAGTTTGAACCTCATGCTGAGGTAGGAACAGTCTCAGATCAACCAGTCAGTTTTCTGGTGGGGTCTTGGAGTTTTGTTTGCCTTTTTTGTGGGAAAATCTGAGGATAAATTACTGTAGCCAAGTCCGCTGACAAGTGAAGGTTGTATGATGCTGTGTTGTAGGGCTGTGCCATTTTGCAAAAGTTTTATTTGTTTTCTTCTACAATTATTATAATGTTTCATTGAAATGTTTCCATGAGGACTGACTGACTGACATGACTGAGTTTGGTTTTACGCCGCTTTTAGCAATATTCCAGCAACATCACGGCGGGGGACACCAGAAATGGGCTTCACTCATTGTACCAATGTGGGGATTCGAACCCGGGTCTTCGGCGTGACGAGCCAACGCTTTAACCATTAGGCTACCCCACCGCCCCGTTTCCATGAGAACAAGACAGGAGGAAAATAATTGATGACGAGGGAATACCTAGAAGGATATATCACATGTGCGCACACACAAACAACAATGAAACACACACACAAACTACAAACAGTTTTATGCACATGCGTGCATGTGCATGCACATACTCACATACACTCAGACACAAACAACTGACACACTTACTGACCCCTGCCATTATGACACGAATTCAGTTCATTTTCAGATCTATCTTTTAATCCATCTGTTCAAATATCTACAAGGTTGGGCTGAAAGGGTCCCCCATCAATACATTTTACGGGTCTTTGCTAGTTATCTGAGGGTTCTGCAAAGTATTGAAATGGTGTGGTGTAAAGTATGTTCAGAGAATGACTGATGACTCATGACACGACAACGATCATGACTGATTGGTAAAATAATCGGTTAGTGTCATTAATGAAATTTGTTAATGCACTTAAAAATAAGGAAAAAAACATGTAGTTCTTTTGGGGCTTTTTGGCAAAATTTTACATCTTTGAAGGATGACTAGTATGTTAGGAACATAAATTTCTTGGAGCTTTAAGATAAATTCAATCATGACTTGAAACGAGCTTGTAGTGCTTACAAAATGTAACAGACAAAACCAACCATGTGAAAAATATTGTTAATGAAAACAAGTGTTCCAAAATTGGTTGTGTTCGATTATGAGAAATTATGATCGATTGCTTGGTCGTTTAGTCACTACGACCAATCTTCAATTATTTCAATTAATCGGACCACCACTAATAACTACTCTAATGCGCTGTGGGTACGGCTTGGTATGTTTGTCCATCTACAGTATTTGGGGTTTTCTGTGTCCATTCTCTATATTTGTGTATACTATCTGTTTATTCTCGCCTGTGGGTCGGGCTGAAGATCACTAGGAAAACAATAATGACCATCATGGCACCACATGAACCAACAAACCTACATTACTCCTCATGGCTAGTTTCTCATGAACTCTGTTGATCACAACTTGATGAGATGTTACCTGACGACATGTACAGATGTATTTACTGGTGCTTCAGCCCAGATGCTCAGCCTCTGGACACTGTGTGGGGTCTCCTGGATGTGGGCGTCGCCATCCAGCTGTTGCTGCTTGGGTGCTTCCTTAACTACACCTGGAGTCTCTCCGTTCTCCTCTACCGAGTCTACCACACTGAGGTTAGGAGTTCTTATAAGCCCAGTCCAGCTTGTCCTCTCTTTGTGCCTAGTGTCACTTCTACACACTTTTTTTCTTTTTAGATATCTGTTCATTAAGCTGGTTTGAAGAGTACAGATGAACTGGTTGGCTGTTTCCTTATCATGGAAAACTCACTGTTCAGAATATGTCATATTCATCATTTGCATTGCTGTAGTATATGACTGGTCATATGTCTTTGTGGCATGTATCAGCCAGCTTTTAGAAATATCATGGGGTGGGGGGACATGGTGGATCTGCTCTCGTCAGATGCCACAATTTGCTGTGCCTGTGTCCATTAGGCAGCCAGAAACCTTTGGGTGTGTATGTGAATCCCAGTTATTTTGTGTGTGTGCATGCACATTTATTGTTATGGGTATAGTATATAGTATATTTCTGAAGGTAAATCATATGACAAAGATACTGTGTACATAGACATTACCAGCATCTATTTGGTATCAACCTAAGTAGTATAGGGAATGGTGGTCCGATGTACACCATACCTAGGAGCCTCCAAAAAACCAATTCGACTCCTACAGCCACAGACCATTTTGCCGTCTTCTATGAATTGGCGAAAGCACGGCAAGTGTCGAGAAACTTCAAGAAACTGTCGAGGGATCTGGTATCGCTCGTGGAAGGTGTATCCCGATCGCTCAAGGATTTGTTTCTCTCGGTGTCGGAAAGCAAGACATGGGAACAATTCTCTAGCAGGGTCTCAAAGACTTTCGCCATGTCGGAAGTTGTCTTTGTTTGTGCCTCTGTTTGTGTCTCGGAGCCGCCCGGATTTGTGTATATCTGGCTTGCGATATGTGGTACTTCCTCTTCACTTCCCGAAGGAACAAACGACCAGATCATATCTCAGCATAGACATCACGCGATCGCTTGGTTCCTGGCATTGTTCTATATCCATACACACAGCATATCTCTAATTGGAGTGCACTTCCTCCAGTGAAATGTGTAGGGACACTTCCGGACTAGTTTGGTGTACCCATGTGTCATCGGACCACCGTTCCCTATTCTACTACCTAACTGTATCATCAGTCCTCCAACAATGTCTGTGCTATGTATGTTTGTGAGATAGAGTGTATATGCTTATAACAGAGCCATGTAATAGGACCTTCATTCACTCTCCGTTGTCATCTTACAGCTTCAAATTTCTGTCAAGAAATGAAGTTTTCTCCAATGTTCAGTCGTGCCTGCATCTCTGCAGAATGTATTGTATGATTATTACTGACCCCATGTCTTGGTTTCAGAGGCTGGAGTTCCCAGTGGACAGTGCCTTTGACAGCTACAAGAACAAGAGCCTGCTGTCAGCCATTTCCTGTCAGAACAAGGCCTTGCTTCAGGTACATTAGTAAACAAGAGGAGATAACTCCCAGGGCATTACTGCAGGTACATACTGAACAAGGGGAAATACCTCCCAGGGGGCCTTATCGCGAGTACACAGCAAGCAAGGGGAGGCAACTTCCAAGGCCATGCTGTTGGTACATTAGTAAACAAGTCGAGGTAAACTGGTAACTCCAAAGGCACTGCTGTGGGTACTTTAGTAAACAAGGAGGGGTAACTCCCTGGCTAGCTATTCTCGAAACGTTTGTAGCCCTACGAAATTCTTAAGCCCATTCTTAACACATTGGCTATGATCAAAGTTAAGAATTCTTAGGGCTACAAACGTTTCGAGAATAATGCCCCAGGTTCTTAATACCACAAGTACATAGTAAACAAGGGGAGGTAACTCCCAAGGCCATGCTGTAGGTACATTAGTAAACAAGGGGAGGTAACTCCCAAGGCCATGCTGCAGGTACGTTAGTAAACAAGGGAAGATGCCTTGCTGCAAGTACACAGTAAACAAGGAGAGGAAACTCCCAGGGCCCTGGGCCCACATTGCGATAATATTTTACCTGAAATACCCTCTCATCACGTACCATAATCCTTACCTGTAACACAATCCAAACACACACAATCAGAGCTACAGATAACCTTTTGGGTCATTGAGTTATGTTCTCGCTTGTGTTCATCTCAACTGGGTATCCTTTTTTCCTTTTAGTATCCAAATAAATTGTACTCACCTCCCTCAAACTCATTTGGGTATTTTGCCATTTTCCATTAATTTTAAAAATATAATAAAGTTTAAATGTTAGTGTTTGTTATTTATATTTGATCTGTAATATGAGAAACAATAAGAAAGACTGCAAGTTGTCAAGTTCATGTCCTGAAATAGAACCTCTCAATACACCTCAGTTATTTTATCTATCCACCGGTACGCAAGCTAAGGTTTTACATTTCCGTGTGTGCGAATGTAAGATCACATTTATTGAGTATTTACCAAAATTCAAGCGTACTTGTACGCAATAAACTTAATAGGAATTGAGTTTTCACATAAATATTTGCGTAGTTTACGCAGATACGCAACTTATCTGTACCTGTGCACAATAATCCCCATTGTAACACAATCTCAACAGACCATTGTCACACCCTGAGCATCATCCCCTTCTATCTTCCAAACAACTAAACATGTTTCATGTGATGTTTGTTACAGCACCTGGGTTACCTGGATCTGCTACACCTGGCCAGATTTTCACCTGTACGACGCAGACAGGTACTCACTCTCAGTCAGCCAGGTAACACATTCTTGTTGTAAATGTATGTTCTTCTGACTGAACAGTAAATTCAGATCTTTCTAAATTAATTTGAAGAAGGAAATTGTTAACCTTCCTACTTATTTTCTCAATTTGGTGCAATGGTAATTTGACATAGTGACGACCTTTACCTGCAGGTGGCCACCCACACACCTGGAACAAGTTGTCTGCAGCCTGCCTTGGGGACATTGACCTTCTCACAACACAGGTTCAGGAGTCCAACTGGAGTGCTATGGCAGGGGTCGCCCACAAGCCCCAATGTGTGTCGGATGCAGGTAAGACGACAAATCCCCCCTATGGTGGTTGCAGGTTGACCACAAACATCCTCTGTGTATCACCCCAGTATGACCACAAATCCCCTGAATCAGACAATAGCAGCAAGGTCGGAGACAAAGATGGGACCACATCTTGTGAGCAATCTCCCAAATTGTTTGGGTACAATACCACAATCAACCCAGAGTCTCTAAGGCTGATCGCAATCAGTGAAGTCACAGAGCCTTAACGCATGATCCAGATGTAGATGAGAGCCTCTCATGGTCAGATGAAAATGTACAGTTACCTTTTACAACCTGGACAGATTCAGCTGGCTGTTTTTTAGATTTTGAATTATGGTAACAGGTTTGTTTGCATTTTGGGATGAAAGCTCTTGTCATCATCTGACCAGTACTCTGAGATTACCCTTGTATGTTAAATGATGCATGGTGAATGTTTTTTGGTTACCCAGCTGGTACTGGTGGCCAACCTGGCTCAGATGGTATAGTTCTGGGTGCAGAGTTGTGTCCATTGGGCAGTCCAGAACCTTATGATTGTGGGTTTACAGGTTTGTCAGCAGCATACCTTTATTGGTTTCTCCGAAATGGTAAACATCTCACACCGGCATCACTTGGATCTTTCCTCTGACGTGATGCTGGTGTGATTTAATATAACTGGAATACTGTTAAGTATGGCGTTAAACACATCTCACTCACTCCTGGTTACTCATGTTTGACATTGTCTGTCTGTTCCAGGTGAGGGGTCCACCTTGCGGTACCGCAGTAGTGCAGGGGTTAACACAATATTCACAGGTATGTACACACAACAGGGGTTAACACAATATTCACAGGTATGTACACACAACGGGTTAACACAATATTCACAGGTATGTACACACAACACGGGTTAACACAATATTCACAGGTATGTACACTCAACGGGTTAACACAATATTCACAGGTATGTACACACAACAGGGGTTAACACAATATTCACAGGTATGTACACTCAACGGGTTAACACAATATTCACAGGTATGTACACACAACAGGTACACACAACAGGGGTTAACACAATATTCACAGGTATGTACACTCAACGGGTTAACACAATATTCACAGGTATGTACACACAACAGGGGTTAACACAATATTCACAGGTATGTACACTCAACGGGTTAACACAATATTCACAGGTATGTACACACAACACGGGTTAACACAACATTCGTAGATAGGTTCACACAACTCATGTGGGTAGTGTTGTCAAAGTAGCCTTCCCCTATGGAAGTATGCAGACACCAGGGTTAACACTCCCATTATTTGGTGTTTACAATATATTCCTGCCTTTAAACATGTGAGGAGTACCTGCTTTGAATATATGTTACATTTTTTATCATTCCATTATCATCAATTAAGATGTTATCTCAAAATATTTTATGTGCAGTTATTCCTTAAAATGGATTGATTGGCACTATGTTGAACAGAGAAAAATATGGTCATTTTAATAGAAGTGGTTTACAAGAAAAACAATGCCAGCAGTACCAGTATGGTTATGTTTCCCCAGGGACAAAAGAAGGGGAGAGCAAATCAAGTACAACGGCAGCAGCTCCATCCACTCCATGGACAGACAAGGTAGAGTACAAACACCACCATCAGGATCACAACACATGGAGAACTTGATTTGCCAAGGATATAAAATACCTTCAGGTCAAGCCTAGTCAACAATGTTTCTGAGACATTAGATTTCTTCTCTTGAGGAGGTTCTTCTCCAAGCCAGTCATCTTAGACTAAAATGCAAGAGATGTCACATATGCCATGATGTAGGTAGCCAAAGAAGGTCCATATCTGGAACAAATTAATGTGAATAATATTTGATGTCAGCTCTCTCATTACTTTAATTATCTTCCAACATCAGGTATATTGTTAATTTATCAACCCAATTAATATTAATACTAACCAGCATTTGTGACTGAAACATCGGCACATGGGTGCAAGGATAATATGTTAGTGATATTTGAGTCATGAAGTTGTGTCAGATTTATATGGGAGGATACTTGAAGAGAAGTAGGCTTCTGTGGCCACTCATGCTGTATGCTGTTATGAGTAAGTGAGTGCCATTAGTTTTACGCCGCACTCAGCAATATTCCAGCTATATGGGGGTGGTCTGTAAATAATCGAGTCTGGACCAGACAATCCAGTGATCAACAGCATGAGCATCGACTTGTGTCAACCAAGCCAGCATGCCTGACCACCCTATGCTGTAATGAAGATTTCTCTGGTGATATTTGTGTAGGGATGTAGATGGATCTGAGTAATAAGGCAGGGAAATAATTTGTCAACAAGCACATTCTGCATTTTTACACTACAGGACTGAAGACAGCAGCAACCTATGCTCATGGGTGATTCTATATGGTACTGGACACCAGCAACCTATATTTGCGATACAACTTACCTGGTCAGGTTTCCACATGACTTTGTTGATTGCTTGTCATTGCTCCCTGATAGTATTCATAATATCAATCACTGGTTTGTCTAGTCCAGGATCAGTTACTTACAGGCTGTGGTCATTTAGCAAATTTGTTGTTTCCCCATGAGTTACACAACTCTTGACTGAAAGACTTCTAATGCCATCTTGCTGTTTTGCCCTGCAGGTGACTTCCTTCCTGGCACAGAAACCCCTCATCGGCTTCTTCTTCCGTCAGCTGCCAGATGCTAAAAGCAGGCAGTTGTTTGCTAACTCCCAGAAACAGATCTGGGCAATTGATGGTAAGTCAACTTGACCATCTTGTCAGCAAACCTGAAGTATTTCCAGAAACAATACACTTGTAGAGATCTAATGTATCACTAACATGTCTCTGGGATTCATGGACCAGTGGGTCTGAATCCAGTCTGTCCATTGCAGGCTCCATTGTATCATTCTTCGAGGGCTTTTGTATTCCACTCATAACTGAATAAGACAAATATGTATTTGCTAATTTAAGAAATCCTGTGTCATATCAACACATTTAAAATATTTGTCTTGCCTGCTTGATTTTATCGACAGTGATGAACAGTTTAATCCATTTACTTTCTCAAAGGTCTCACAGTGTCAACCACAGAGCAAAGTGACATGTTATACCTCCCACAGGATTCAAAAGATGGAAGCCAACTGATGAATTCCTTGTTTCTTTATCCAAATGTTTCTGTATTTCACTACTACCATGTGTTTACAGCGCTGTCATATCTGGTGGCAGCATCCTTCACAGAAGACAAGTTTGGCATCGTCCAGCGTTCACTTCCCTCCATCCTTGCCAGCCTGCTTAACCTTCATGAGGTAAAATGTCCCAGTACTTTATCTCCTTATGTCCCATGACTCCGTCTCTCTCATTTCTATGTCTCCCTATTATCCAAGTACTGCACCTTCCAATCTCTCAGTACTGTGTCTCCCCATCTCCCTGTACCGTGTCTCCTAATCGCCCAGTACTGTGTCTCCCCATCACCCAGTACTGTGTCTCCCAATCACCCAGTACTGTGTCTCCCCATCTCCCAGTACTGTGTCTCCCCATCGCCCAGTGCTGTGTCTCCCAATCACCCAGTACTGTGTCTCCCCATCTCCCTGTACTGTGTCTCCCCATCTCCCAGTACTGTGTCTTCCCCATCAGCCCAGTACTGTGTCTCCCAATCATCCAGTACTGTGTCTCCCCATCACCCAGTACCATGTCTCCCGATCTCCAAGTACTGTGTCTCCCCATCTCCCAGTACTGTACAGTGTTTCCCCATCACTCAGTACTGTGTCTCCCCATCTCCCAGTACTGTACCGTGTCTCCCCATCGCCCAGTACTGTGTCTCCCCATCACCCAGTACTGTGTCTCCCCATCTCCCAGTACTGTACAGTGTCTCCCCATCGCCCAGTACTGTGTCTCGCCATCTCCCAGTACTGTGTCTCCCCATCTCCCAGTACTGTACTGTGTCTCCCCATCACTCAGTACTGTGTCTCCCCATCTCCCAGTACTGTACCGTGTCTCCCCATCGCCCAGTACTGTGTCTCCCCATCTCCGAGTACTGTGTCTCCCCATCTCCCAGTACTGTGTCTCCCCATCGCCCAGTACTGTGTCTCCCCATCACCCAGTACTGTGTCTCCCCATCTCCCAGTACTGTACAGTGTCTCCCCATCGCCCAGTACTGTGTCTCCCCATCTCCCAGTACTGTGTCTCCCCATCTCCCAGTACTGTACTGTGTCTCCCCATCACTCAGTACTGTGTCTCCCCATCTCCCAGTACTGTACCGTGTCTCCCAATCGCCCAGTACTGTGTCTCCCCATCTCCCAGTACTGTGTGTCCCCATCTCCCAGTACTGTACTGTGTCTCCCCATCTCCCAGTACTGTGTCTCCCCATCTCCCTGTACCGTGTCTCCCCATCACCCAGTACTGTGTCTTCCCATCACCCAGTACTGTGTCTCCCCATCACCCGGTACTGTGTCTCCGCATCGCCCAGTACTGTATCTCCCGTTACTGTAGCTCTTCATCAACCAATACTGTACTGTGTCTCCCCATCACCCAGTACTGTATCTCCCTGAGTACTGTGTTCCCCATCACCCAGTACTGTATGTCACCCCTTCACCTTAGTACTGTATTGTTCCCCATCACCCAGTACTTGTATCTCCCATTGTAGTTTCCATCACCCAGTACTTGTATCTCCCCATCACCCAGTACTGTGTCTCCCTCATCGCCCCAGTACTGTATCTCCCCATCCTCAGTACTGTGTCTCCCCCATCACCCAGTAGTGTGTCTCCCATCGCCTGTACTGTGTCTCCCCATCTCCCAGTACCTGTGTCTCCCATCACCCAGTACTGTGTCTCCCCATCTCCTAGTACTGTGTTCTCCCTCATCGCCCCAGTACTGTGTCTCCCCATCAAGTCCCTGTACCGTGTCTCCCCATCGCCCAGTACTGTGTCTCCCTATCTCCCAGTACTGTGTCTCCCCATCTCCCAGTAGTGTACTGTGTCTCCCCATCACCCAGTACTGTGTCTCCCTATCTCCTAGTACTGTACTGTCTTCTCCCCTATCGCCAAGTACTGTGTCTCCTCATCTCCCAGTACTGTACTGTGTCTCCCCCATCTCCCAGTACTGTGTCTCCCCATCTCCCTGTACTGTGTGTCTCCCATCTCCTCAGTACTGTGTGTCTCCCCATCTCCCTGTACTGTGTCTCCCCTTTCTCCCCCATCTCTACTGTACTGTGTCTCCCATCACCCAGTACTGTGTCTCCCCATCACCCAGTACTGTGTCTCCCCATCTCCAGTACTGTGTCTCCCCTTATCGCTCCCTGTACTGTATCTCCCCATCTCCCAGTTCCCATCTCCAATCTCTGTACTGTGTCTCCCCATCACCCAGTACTGTGTCTCCATCTTACTGTGTGTCTCCCCATCACCCAGTACTTTGTCTCCCCTTCACCCAGTACTGTATTGTGTCTCCCCATCACCCAGTACTGTATCTCCCGTTACTGTAGCTCTCCATCACCCAGTACTGTATCTCCCCATCACCAAGTACTGTGTCTCCCCATCGCCCAGTACTGTGTCTCCCCATCACCCAGTAGTGTGTCTCCCCATCACCCAGTACTGTGTCTCCCCATCTCCCAGTACTGTGTCTCCCCATCACCCAGTACTGTGTCTCCCTTATCTCCCTGTACTGTGTCTCCCTCACCCAAGTATTGTGTCTCCCTTATCAAGTCCCTGTACTGTGTCTCCCCATCACCCAGTACTGTGTCTCCCCATCTCTCCAGTAGTGTACTGTGTCTCCCATCATCCCTAGTACTGTGTCTCCCCATCTCCCAGTACTGTACTGTGTCTCCCCATCGCCCAGTACTGTGTCTCCCCATCTCCCAGTACTGTACTGTGTCTCCCCATCTCCCAGTACTGTGTCTCCCCATCTCCCTGTACCGTGTCTCCCCATCGCCCAGTACCGTGTCTCCCCATCTCCCTGTACCGTGTCTCCCCATCGCCCAGTACTGTGTCTCCCCATCTCCCTGTACTGTGTCTCCCTTTCTCCCAGTACTGTACTGTCTCCCCATCGCCCAGTACTTTTTCTCCCCATCACCCAGTACTGTGTCTTCCCATCACCCAGTACTGTGTCTCCCATCTCCATCTCCTGTGTCTCCCACCTTTGTATTCACTGTGTCTCCAGCTACTGTAGTTTCCCCATCTCCTGTACTGTGTCTCCCCATCACCCAGTACTGTATCTCCTGTTACTGTAGCTCTCCATCACCCAGTCCTATGTCTCCCCATCACCCAGTACTGTGTCTCCCCATCACCCCATACTGTATTGTGTCTCCCCATCACCCAGTACTGTATCTCCCGTTACTGTAGCTCTCCATCACCCAGTCCTATGTCTCCTCATCTCCCAGTACTGTGTGTCTCCCATCATCTCCCAGTACTGTATCTCCCCATCACCCAGTAGTGTGTCTCCCCATCTCCCTGTACCGTGTCTCCCCATCGCCCAGTACTGTGTCTCCCCATCTCCGTGTACCGTGTCTCTCCATCACCCAGTACTGTACTGTCTCCCCATCATCCAGTACTGTGTCTCCCCATCACCCAGTACTGTGTCTCCCCATCACCCAGTACTATGTCTCCCCATCTCCCAGTATTGTACTGTGTCTCCCCATCACCCAGTACTGTGTCTCCCCATCACCCAGTACTTTGTCTCCCCATCTCCCAGTACTGTGTCTCTCCATCACCCAGTACTTTACTGTGTCTCCCCATCACCCAGTTCTGTGTCTCCCCATCACCCAGTACTGTGTCTCCCCATCTCCCTGTACTATGTCTCCCCATCTCCCAGTACTGTGTCTCCCCATCTCCCTGTACTGTACTTGTACTGTGTCTCCCCCATCACCCAGTGTCTCTGTCTCCCCCATCACCCAGTACTGTGTCTCCCATCACCCTGTACTGTGTTCCCCATCTCCCAGTAGTGTGTCTCCCCATCTGTGTCCCCAGTACTGTGTCTCCCCATCTCCCAGTACTGTGTCTCCCCCTGTGTCTCCCTGTACTGTGTCTCCTCACCTATCTCACTCAGTACTGTGTCTCCCCATCTCCCAGTACTGTACTGTGTGTCTCCCCATCACCCTAGTGTCTGTGTCTCCTCATCACCCAGTACTGTGTCTCCCCATCTCCCAGTACTGTGTGTCTCTCCCCATCTCCCTGTACTGTGTCTCATCTCCTCAGTACTGTCCCCAGTACTGTGTCTCCCCATCTCCCAGTACTGTACTGTGTCTCCCCATCACTCCCTGTACTGTGTCTCCCCATCTCCCAGTACTGTACTGTGTCTCCCCATCTCCCAGTACTGTGTCTCCCCATCTCCTGTACTGTGTCTCCCCATCTCCCAGTACTGTGTCTCCCCATCTCCCAGTACTGTACTGTGTCTCCCCATCACCCAGTACTGTGTCTCCCCATCTCCCAGTACTGTGTCTCCCCATCTCCCAGTACTGTGTCTCCCCATCTCCCAGTACTGTGTCTCCCCATCTCCCAGTACTGTACTGTCTCCCATCTCCCAGTACTGTGTCTCTCATCTCCCAGTACTGTACTGTCTCCCATCTCCCTTGTACTGTGTCTCCCCATCTCCCAGTACTGTGTCTCCCCATCTCCCAGTACTGTACTGTGTCTCCCCATCTCCCAGTACTGTGTCTCCCCATCTCCCAGTACCACTGTGTCTCCCCATCTCCCTGTACTGTGTCTCCCCATCTCCCAGTACTGTGTCTCCCCATCACCCAGTACTGTGTCTGTGTCTCCCCATCTCAACTGTGTCTCATCTCCCAGTACTGTGTCTCCCCATCTCCCTGTAGCTTGTCTCCCCATCTCCCACTGTACTGTGTCTCCCCATCACCCAGTACTGTGTCTCCCCATCTCCCAGTACTGTGTCTCCCCATCTCCCAGTACTGTGTCTCCCCATCTCCCAGTACTGTGTCTCCCCATCTCCCAGTACTGTGTCTCTCCAGTATCTAGCTCTCCATCACCCAGTACTGTGTCTCCCCATCTCCCAGTACTGTGTCTCCCCATCTCCCAGTACTGTATCTCCCCATCACCCAGTACTGTGTCTCCCCATCTCCCAGTACTGTGTCTCCCCATCTCCCAGTACCATGTGTCCCCCATCTCCCAGTACTGTCTCCCCCAGTACTGTGTCTCCCCATCTCCCAGTACTGTGTCTCCCATCTCCCAGTACTGTGTTCCCCCATCTCCCTAGTGTGTGATGTGTCTCCCCCTCCCACTGCCCAGTCTCCACTGTGTCCCCATCTCCCAGTACTGTGTCTCCCCATCTCCCAGTAGTGTACTGTGTCCCCCATCTCCCAGTACTGTGTCTCCCCATCTCCCAGTACTGTACCTGTGTCTCCCCATCTCCCAGTACTGTGTCTCCCCATCTCCCAGTACTGTACTGTGTCTCCCCATCTCCCAGTACTGTGTGTCTCCCCATCTCCCAGTACTGTGTCTCCCCATCAGTACCAGTCTCTGTGTCTCCCAGTACCATCTCCCATGTACTGTGTGTCTCCCATCTCCCAGTACTGTGTGTCCCCCATCACCCAGTACTGTGTCTCCCATCACCCAGTACTGTGTCTCTCCCCATCACCCAGTACTGTGTGTCTCTCTCCATCACCCAGTACTGTGTGTCCTCCCCATCTCCAAGTACTGTATCTCCCGTGCTCTGTCTCCCAGTACCCATCAACCCCCATACTGTACTGTGTCTCCCCATCTCCCAGTACTGTCTCTCCTCTTACTGTGTCTCCCCATCACCCAGTACTTTGTCTCCCCATCTCACCCAGTACTGTATTGTGTCTCCCCATCTCCCAGTACTGTCTCCCCATCTCCCCAGTACTGTGTGTTCCCCATCTCCCAGTACTGTGTCTCCCCATCACCCAAGTACTGTGTCTCCCCATCTCCCAGTACTGTGTCTCCCCATCTCCCCAGTACTGTGTCTCTCACTGTGTCTCCCCATCTCCCAGTACTGTGTCTCCCCATCTCCCAGTACTGTGTCTCCCCATCTCCCAGTACTGTGTCTCCCCATCTCCCAGTACTGTGTCTCCCCATCTCCCTGTACTGTGTCTCCCCATCTCCCTGTACTGTGTCTCCCCATCTCCCAGTACTGTGTCTCCCCATCTCCCAGTACTGTGTCTCCCCATCTCCCAGTAGTGTACTGTGTCTCCCCATCTCCCAGTACTGTGTCTCCCCATCTCCCAGTACTGTACTGTGTCTCCCCATCTCCAAGTACTGTGTCTCCCCATCTCCCAGTACTGTACTGTGTCTCCCCATCTCCCAGTACCATGTCTCCCCATCTCCCAGTACTGTGTCTCCCCATCTCCCAGTACTGTACTGTGTCTCCCCATCACCCGTACTGTGTCTCTCCCCATCTCCCAGTACCATGTGTTCCCCATCTCCCAGTACCATCTGTACTGTGTCCTCCCCATCTCCCAGTACTGTACTGTCTCCCCATCTCCCAGTACTGTTGTCTCCCCATCACCCAGTACTGTGTCTTCCCATCACCCAGTACTGTGTCTCCCCATCTCCCAGTACTGTGTCTCCCCATCGCCCAGTACTGTATCTCCCGTTACTGTAGCTCTCCATCAACCAATACTGTACTGTGTCTCCCCATCACCCAGTACTGTATCTCCTGTTACTGTAGCTCTCCATCACCCAGTCCTATGTCTCCCCATCACCCAGTACTGTGTCTCCCCATCACCCAATACTGTATTGTGTCTCCCCATCACCCAGTACTGTACTCCCAGTGTTCCCCATCTCCCCATCACCCAGTACTGTGTCTCCCCATCTCCCAGTACTGTGTCTCCCCATCTCCCAGTACTGTGTCTCCCCATCACCCAGTACTGTGTCTCCCCATCTCCCCTGTACTGTGTGTCTCCATCTCATCTCCCAGTACTGTGTCTCCCCATCTCCCAGTACTGTGTCTCTCTCCATCACCCAGTACTGTACTGTGTCTCCATCATCCAGTACTGTGTCTCCCCATCACCCAGTACTGTGTCTCCCCATCACCCAGTACTCCCATGTCTCCCTCATCTCCCAGTATTGTACTGTGTCTCCCCATCACCCAGTACTGTGTCTCCCCATCTCCTGTACCATGTGTCTCTGTCTCCCAATGTGTCCCCAGTACTGTATGTTCTCCATCACCCAGTACTGTGTCTCTGTGTCTCCCATCTCCCAGTACTGTATGTCTCCCCATCACCCAGTACTGTGTCTCCCCCATCTCCCAGTACTGTGTCTCCCCATCTCCCAGTACTGTACTGTGTCCCCCGTCACCTCAGTACTGTGTCTCCCTCATCACCCAGTACTGTGTCTCCCCATTCCCCTGTGTAATTGTCTCCCCATCTCCCCAGTGTGTGTCTCCTCCATCTCCCAGTACTGTGTCTCCCCATCTCCCAGTGCTGTGTCTCCCTCATCACCCAGTACTGTGTCTCCTCCATCTCCCAGTACTGTGTCTCAGTCCCCATCTCCAAGTACTGTGTCTCCACCCATCTCCCAGTGTCTGTGTCTCCCCATCTCCCAGTACTGTGTCTCCATCTCCCAGTCATTTCTGTACTGTGTCTCCCCATCTCCCCAGTACTGTATCTCCATGTCCCAGTACTGTGTCTCCCCATCACCCAGTACTGTGTCTCCCCATCACCCAGTAGTACTGTGTCTCCCCATCACCCAGTACTGTACTGTGTCTCCCCATCTCCCAGTACTGTGTCTCCCATCTCCCATAGTGTCTCCCATCTCCCAGTCCTCTGTCTCCCATCACCCAGTACTGTGTCTCCCCATCTCCCAGTACTGTGTCTCCCCATCACCCAGTAGTGTGTCTCCCCATCTCCCAGTACTGTGTCTCCCCATCTCCCAGTACCATGTCTCCCCATCACCCAGTACTGTGTCTCCCCATCTCCCAGTACTGTGTCTCCCCATCTCCCAGTACTGTGTCTCCCCATCTCCCAGTACTGTGTCTCCCCATCACCCAGTACCATGTCTCCCCATCACCCAGTACTGTGTCTCCCCATCTCCCAGTACTGTACTGTGTCTCCCCATCTCCCAGTACTGTACTGTGTCTCCCCATCAAGTCCCAGTACCGTGTCTCCCCATCACCCAGTACTGTGTCTCCCCATCACCCAGTACTGTGTCTCCCCATCTCCCAGTACTGTACCGTGTCTCACCATCTCCCAGTACTGTGTCTCCCTATATCCAAGTACTGTGGAAGACTGCAACCACTGCTCATGTGATATGGATGGATATTTTCAACTTTTGGTTTATTTTTAGAATGTTGAGAAGCACTTCAAGTTGAGTTCTAGTTCAAGTCGCCGCACACAGAAGGTGTCACCATATCCCAGCGACGCCCCTCTCCGCCACCAACTACACTCGGCCCTTAAAACATCCATATACAGAATTGTCAATGTGTTTGGGACCCATCTGATGTAAGTTTACTCTGCTGGATTGAAGAAAGGATAAATAGTGTCATGTCACAATTGCCATATTGCCTGTAAACAAGTATTCAGGGGAAGTAACTCTGATTAGACAAACTACAACCGACTAAAACCATATTGTTTCTAATTGAACAAGAATGTTGCCAGTGAGGGTGTCACTGATTTGAAATTTTGATAATGATATATATCAAAAGTATCTCAATATATCAATATATCGATAAATGATAAAGTTATATTTTAGTACATGCTGTATGTGCCCAGATAGATATATAAAGCTATAAACACCTGCAGTTGATAAATTTAATGGTCAATATACACTTTCCTCCTCCATAAGATTGAGTTCCAGGACTTTTCTTTGTTCATTTTAATCATAATTATCTAAATAAATGTAAATGTGCAGCAGTGACTTCTTGATATATTTTCAACATTCATAAATTTGAATTGATACAGCATCAGCATCACACAAAGTACAATGACATCGTAATTACCTGGAGAATACAACTGCAACTTGCTTGTTGTAACTGAACCTTATTCCATAGTGTAGTTGACATCCACTTGTAGATTCATCTGAACATGAAGGATAAAGCAAAATCAATACCCTAGTGCCCTACAGTGCTTTTCCTCACAGTAGATCAGTGAAGATTACTTTTGACTGCTTTTTACTGTAATCTCTGCTGTTGTGTAATGTTTCTATTGTACTCTAGCAGAGTGTTCTATTGTAATTATGCGATCTGTTCACTGCTGCTGTGGTCTACTGTATGCTGGTGTAGTGTTCTACATAAATTGTGTGGTGTTCTAATGTACTCATACATGTCGTTCTACCTTACTGTAGTGTGGTGTTCTACCGTACTCTTGTGTGATGTGTGGGATGGTCTACTGTACTGGAGGGTGTTCTACTGTACTCTAGTGGGGTGTTCTATCGTGCACTTTTGTGTAAATGGGGTGTTCTACCGTGGGGTGTTCTACTGTACTTATTCTGAGTGGGATATTCTCTGCTGTACTTGTCCCCAGTGGGGTGTTCTACCCATTTGGCAGTACTATTCAAAAAGGTTATAATCATTATATATATGTGGGATTGTTCTAGATGTACTTTTAGTGGGGTATTCTACCATACTTGAGTGGGGTGTTCTATCATACTTACGTTGGTGTTCTATCATGCTTGAGTGGGGTGCTCTATCATGTTTGAGTGGGGTGGTCTACCGTGTTTGAGTGGGGTGTCTACCATGACTTGGAGTGGGGTGTTCTATTGTACTTTAGTGGGGTGTTCTATCATACTTTGAGTGGGGTGTTCTATCATACTTAAATGGGGTGTTCTATCGTGCTTGAGTGGGATGGTCTATCATGTTTGAGTGGGGTGGTTCTACCGTGTTTTAGTGGGGTGCTCTATCATGTTTGAGTGGGGTGGTCTATCATACTTGAGTGGGGTGGTCTATCGTGTTTTAGTGGGGTGGTCTATTGTGTTTGAGTGGGGTGGTCTTTCGTGTTTGAGTGGAGTGGTCTACCATACTTGGGTGGAGTGTTCTACTCTAGTCATGTGTTCTGCTCAGCTCGAGCCTTGTTTAAGTGTTTTGTTACACTTTGATATGTTCCTTTGTTTCCAGGGATGTGCCTCTGAGTGCAGAGTGCAGGAAAAAATTGTCTCCATTCATTGATTTCCGAGAATGATTATAAAGGATACCAGATACAGTCGTTGTCAAGAATTCAGGATTTGAAGAGTTTCAAGACAAACTGCCGGCAGTACACCACCAACATTCATCAGGAGATTTCCCTGCATAAATACACTTTGGGGGAATCAATGATTGCCTTTGCCCCTTCTAATCACACTGCCACAGTGTATGTGGCATATGTTTCCTTGGTATATAGTGGCTTCTGTTTGTATATAAACTGCATTTGAAGGCATTCTCTCAGGATCATGTGCTGAATTCGTGCAGCACTTCCATGCACAATTCCTGAGAAAAGTGTTCACAAGGTTCATTATGGGTAAAGTACATCTATTCCTAATGAGGTTTGCCTCTTTTGTTTCTTTACACAAGGAAAGAACACAAGAACGTCTTTCACACTGGAAGTGTCTCAGTAACAGCAAGAAGCTCCTGAAGAGGCTGGATATCTAGTGCTACTCTTGAAGTGTGCCAAGAATCATGGTTGTCATGTCATGTAAACATTTGTACTTGTTTAGACCACATGGTCACATTGTATTTATCATCTTGCAGAGATGTTTGCATTAATGTATGTGCTAACATTGGTATTGTCAGGTATGAGATGGCGTTGACATTATGTGGTCCTTTACTTGGTTGACATTGAGCAAATTATGTCAACATCAGCCAAATCAATGAAGAAATAATGTCAGTTACTTAGCTAATGTCGACATGTTCTCAGTTTCTGAGATATCATTGACTTAACACCATAAGTGACTAATCTGACATAAACATTTTGCCATCAACAACTAGACAGACACTGAAATAATGTCATCACTGAGTAATCTGACATTAACAATATGTCATCAATGACTGATCTCATGTTGACATTATTTCAACAATTACTTAGCTCACACTGACATCATCATCATCATCAGTGACCTTGATGCCACTGACATAAGGTCACGAATAATTTTCTAGCTGACGTTGACGTGATACAAGCCGATTGTGACATAATGTCAGTGTGAACTAAGTTGACTAAACTGGATGTACTGCCTCAAACATCTGAAACTATACATTTACATTATGTCAACCATGGCTTATCTCATATTGACATGTGATCAAGGACTTAACTGATAATAACATTATCCTGTCAACAACTTACACAATAAAAAATCACATTAGTATTATGACTTTGCTGACTTCAGCATCATTAATGACTGTTAGAAGAAGGAAATTTTCATTCTCAATCATGAATAAACACATTTGTGGCCTGGCTAAATGATGTGTTTTATTGTCAGACCACCCATGGATACATTCAAATGCGTTCACCAATAAAAGTGTATCACCCTACCTGTCACACACCTGTCCATTTTGTATTGTGAGGGGGGGTTCTCTTGAGAGAGACAGCTGTACACACCGCCAGACAAACCATGTGACAGATCCTCTCAGATATTGATGCTAAAGGCAGCCATGGTGGCTACCACACATGGAGAGAGAGACACACACAACTGCACAAATGGCCACACAAACCACATGACTGGTTCCTCTCTGATATTGATGTATCACCTGGAGGTGGGGTTCAGAGCAGGTTCCAGGCAGTGTTTGCAATACTTTATATTTGCCAGTTGGCCATCAGGGCCTGCTGTCGTCTGCAGGCTTTAAAATCTACAGACCCTGAATGAAATCTGCAGCTCCAGTTTGTTAAAAGTCAAACCAATAAAACAAAATAGACTACACTGTACACAGTTTCACACTGTTTCTACAAAATCAGTTAGCGAAGCCTGTGGCACAGAGAAAAGTTTTTATTTGTTAAAGAATGATGTTGATATTTCTATGCTCAAAGCGCTGAAATACCAGGAGTTGAGTTGAGTTTTACACCGCACTCGGCAATATTCCAGCTATATGCCGGTGAAATACAAGGAAGTGAAACTGTAAGTTATCGTGATGGATCGATGATGGATCATGGCTGATTCCCGAACGTTAATAAGGAAAAAAAACATGGGAAAGATTTCATTTGAAAAAAAAAAATCGACAGATAATTTACTGAAGGCCACGAGGGCTTGCAAATATTTAAAACTGCCGGCCCGATACAATAACAACCGGCGCTGGGCCTCCGGGCCGGCGATTGTTTCGAACGCTGGTTCCAGGGAACCTAAGCTTGGCGTTAGAGGAGACAACTTGGTTCCATTATGTGTCATATCCTGACGATATAGGTCTTTGCTCATAACATCAACCACTTGTAAATGCTGTCCATTCTTGATGATTACAGGCCGCTGTGATATAGCTCAGATATCACTGCCTGTTGCATTGCACAACTAATATGATAAATTGTCACATTCTTTCTGGACGTGAATGAAACTGCATCTGACTGTGATAGCATTTTACTGCAACCATGAGGGAGACGTAGAGAGACGTTTATGGTGATGTCAAACAGGATCATAATCTGGACAAATCTGGGATTCGAACCCGTGGTCAGCTGATCCTGTAGTAGGGTTTGCAACAGCACAGTGAATTGCGGTCACATGGGACACCCTTAATCCCCACAACTTTATAAAGTAACTTTAACATCCGAAAGAAAACTGCATATATTTCAAATTTTCCGATACCATATTCAGAGTTGATTTCAAAGTTCATCTCTTGCTCTAAGGCCACCAGGATTTGTGTCTAGTTACTGTTACTGTAACTGTTCTACTCCAGCACATTTTGGCCAGTATTTTTCAGTTGTGCGCAAAACATCTTTCCCTCAGTAAACTAATGTACAATAACAATAACAGTCAAACACTGTTGTGTCGAAGGTTAAGGAACTTCAACAAAGATAAGGAATCAAGCTTTCACGTCGAGACAACGGTTAGTTCGACACATCAAAGTTCGATACACACGGTGCTTGCAAGAGTAAACTATTATAGAAACGTGATTTCACAATGCCATTATAAACGTCTTGAAAAATTATTGGAAGCCTGATTCAAACACTATATAAAGACTTGACATAGACAGGAAGGGCCCCGTTTCACAAAGCGATCGTAGCGCTAAGGTGATCTTTAACATAGACTTACGACAGTCGCAGCGCTGCGATCGTATGGGGAAACGGGCCCCAGGGAAGTGTTTATTTCCTGTATGTATTTGTGGGTAATGTGTATTGATGTTATCTCTATATACGTCTGGAACAACGGTTAGTTGACAGTCCCTGAACCACGTTATCCTTCCGTTCAGCCCACGCTGTGTTATACTGGAGTTCTAAATTAAGTAACTTTATATTTTCGACATGCATACAGATTCCGAAACTCGAGTCTCACTGGGACTTCTTTCTTACGCAGGACCCATGAAGATCCGGGTTAGAATTGGTCTTCAGTAACCCATGCTTGTCGTAAGAGCCGACTAATCAATGGGATCGGGTGGTCAGGCTCGCTGGTTTGGTTGACACATTTCTTCGTAACCCAGTTGCGTAGATCGATGTTCATGCTGTTGATCAGTGGATTGTCCAGACTCGATTGTTAACAGACCGCATATAGCTGGAATATTGCTGAGTGCGGCGTTAAACAACAAACAAAACAGAAACTTAGTTGTACTTGCTTGTTTCTATCAGAATTATTTATTTTCAAAGATTAATCGTTAGTCTAAGCACGGAGGAGTGTAACGCTAAAAACTGCCTCAAAGGTATATAATGTATATACTGTCACTGACGGGATCTTAGCACTATACAATAGAACTACCCTGTATACAAGCCCCTGTGAGTCTAAGGTTAAAGACAACAATGCAAGTGACGGTGTCAGCTAATTTCCACATCACTGTGTATATAGCTAATTTCAGTCGGATACCACCACTCATGTATATTAATTAATAAAACAATTAAACTAATACAGCAGATACATTTTCCGAAAAGGTAATACGAATGTCTAGATTTCAAGCTCTGGTGCAGGTACATCTTTGAATAATGAAGTGAATTTTAGTGTGAAAGTTGAGTGCACTTCGCGACTCTGAACCCTCCTATTTAAACACCACGACCACAGCGCTATATGTGTCACCCGCCGACAGACAATGAAAACTGTAAGCAAACAGTGAAGAGGGATTCCCCAATCTGGTTGCTGGGCAACAAATCACTGGTGTCCCCGTTGCTAGAGAGTCGGAGAAATGCGGCGACGTGGGCACGGAGTTCATGCGTCCACAGCCAGCGATTAAACCCCACGACATAAGTCCCTTTATAAAGCCGACACAACTGCTGTTTGCTAGAACAGGTACATAAACTAATATATTTGATTTACGTATTACTAACTCCGAAAGCCGGAGGAAACAACACGCTTTGTGTGGGCTAAATGTACTGGAGGTTATGATTATTTACTAAGGATATGTTTATTTACTGAGAGATTTGCAGCCTTGTTGAAGTCTCGATATTTGTTTGAAATGTCATTGCTCTACAACTTATGGTGTAAAAGTAACAAAATATAGTCAATATACGGGGTGTCCTCAATATACTCAAAACGAAATTGATTCGGTTAAGAAATAGATTCGTCTATAATACTGATTGGCTCTCGCATCCGCCCACCCTAATTTGTAAAACAATTTTAGAAGTTCATACCCACAGCAAATAGTTGACTCTACATTAGAATACAAAACCTTGAGTTGGAGGTTGATTTGTTGCTTAACGCCGCACTTAGCAATATTCCAGAGTTTGGACCAGACACTCCAGTGATCAACAGCATGAGCATCGATCTACGCCTGTTAAAACATTGAGTACGACCTTATTTTAATAATATACATTTGTACACCAAGGAACATATGTGAAAATATTCAATTATTTGTACGTAGAAATTTCTCTTGTAAATAATATAATCCATAATTACATTCTTGTGCAAAACTAATGACAACATATATGCAGGGAGTGCCTGCAGTCACATGCCACAACGTGGTATAATAGGCTGTGGGGACATTGTGACATGTAGCGGACACTCGCAAGTAGACTATACCACGTACTGCAGACACATTGCAATAAGAAAAACATCTAATATGGGGTTAATAAGACAAGTTGTTAAAATGAGTTTACGATAGGTTGGAAAATTTACGTCTCTGCGATATGAGGACTTTCAACCTGAGACGTGGATATAATTTTCATTATACTTGCTAAAATATCTTTCTGTGTAAAGAAATTTTTGTCGTCGAGATTTATTTGATAGTAAGTATTTAACGTCCCATCGGCAATGTGATTTTCGATAAATGAATATGAAATTAGTAGGGTGAAAAGGTATACCGCGGTATTAGTAGAACCGCGGTATTTTGCCTTCGGTTCGGTATACCGTAATGCAATCCAAAAATTCGGTATTTTCGGTTTTCGTACTGTCATTTTCTTAACCTTTTTAAACCATTCCAAAATCTCTAGAGATCAAATCATTTTGTTAAAATCTATGCATTTCTTTGCTAGACGGCTGCTATTTTCCCGGAAGTAAGTTCTCATATACCGAACTAGACTAACAACTATTCTCTGAAATGAACATATTTTACTGAAAAAAGTTCATAGTAAAAAAAATATAATATAACGAAAAGGAGCCCTGAGACTTTCTTCATTTTCAGAAGCTGAGGAAATCTAGACTTGCCACATTTTCTAGACTTGTGTGGGCTTTCTTGGATATATTTGCTTCAGGGTCTGTACGACAGACTAATACCGAACCGAAACGGACCGAACCGAAGATCCTGTACCGCAATACGTACTGTACCGTGGTATGAGCGTACCGTTTCACCCCTAGAAATTAGACACAAATCCCAGACCTTTTCTGACGAAAACAAACATTAGAATACACATTGATCAAATCATATACATCGGAAATCACCGCCCACGCATGGTGTTTGCGCGTTATCATAAATTCGAAACATGCCGTTGAATGAAATAGGTGGGGGGCCGTTAATAATTCATTGCGAACAGCCTTTCTCTTATCGCTCATGTTAACTTTAGTGGAACGTTTATCCCATGCCGCGACAAAGTTTATTGCTTATTGCGTCACAAATCGCTTTCGTCGTTTACGATATAATCGCTCATCATGTTCGTACTGAATATAATAGACTGAATGATTTAAATGGAAAGTACATGCAGTATCTATGGCTTGACGAGACAATTCGTTGCGACAGGGTAGCCTTGTGGTCAAAGCGTTTGCTCGCCAGTCGGAATGAATGCTGGGTTCGATAGCTCACATGGATAGATATGTGGAACCCACTTTTGTGTCCACCAACGTGATTTTGCTAAGTGCGGCACAAAATCTTACTCAATGGTTCAATCCAATAAAACAAACACAAGTACAGAATATAGTCACTAACAGCTGATTTATCAAGGCATTATCTAGGCATCATAGATTTTGGGATTGAGGCATAGATTAACATTTGGTCATTGAAATAGAGTTATTTAACAATATATAACTACAAAATGAAAACAAAATCAAATAAACATGGCGCCCAGATCAATGCAGAATTTCAGACTAGAGCTGTAGCAATCTAGACTTGCCACATTATTCAAGACAGAAGTTGGAGTCATTTTATGTTATTCTCCAGGACCTGGGACAGAAACAAAACAGAAGCCTCTTTAAAGATTTATGTAAACGTATTTCTAGCTACTTTTACTACTATTAACTAGCTAAATTTGTTGTTTGTATCTAATTATGTACCACTTGTTATTCAATGACATGCTGTTTTTGCCGTTAATCTGCGGTTTGTCAAAACATACCATGTCTATATACTTCTCACCATTTGGCTGTAATCACTTTTACCTTGATAACGATGTGAGAATCTACATGGAAACGTCGCTCTGTGCAATGAACAAGAAGTTGTGATCCATAAAGTTGTATGTTTCACCACCTTCTAGAATGCCGATCAAAGAATTAATTTCTTCTATTTTTTTAAAGAAGAAAAATCGATTTGTATGTCCAGTGCTTTTGTTACATACCAATGTAATTTATATTTCATACGATTCTATGGACATTTGCTACCATTCAATACCAAATTTCTATAAAACTCGTACAGTTTGGATAACAACCAGTGGCCTGGAAAATTAAAAGAGTTATTGTCTTATAAATCCGTATGAAGCCTCTCCTTTCACTTGCGTTGGGATGAGTGTACTATGTATTATGCTAATCATGAAATTTATAAGTTCATTGTCAGCGCTTCATTCTTTACATATATTATAAATTCAGATCACTGGTATCTCTTAAATTTCAATGCCTAGAGGTCTGGTTCAAGTTGAAATTCATTCCTTTGTTTGAAAGCCGCCATATAACTGGAATATTGCCGAGTGCTGCCTAAAACTAAACTCATTCATTGTTTGAAAGCTACAGAAAATCCTTGTCAAATTGAAGACTATAGTTCGGTTTATCATTGTTAATGTACTTCAATATCAAATTTATACTCCCATGTTTTTACAGTGACGCCCTCTTGTCCTGTCCACGCCCTTCACAAAAGCTATAGAAAACTACAAATATATTTATCACATTGTGCTGTGCGAGAAATCAAAACTGTAGTCTGAATGTTCAGATAATTGGGTCTTTGACAGTAAGTTGTGAAAATGTGCCTTTCAAAAATATGTTTCTGACATTCATGATTTTTCACCCTTGAGCAATGTTTCAAGTGTAACAAATAAGCGTAAAATATCTGTTAATTCACGCAGACTATTTATGACTTAGTTCTACTCTAGATATACATGTACACGTATAAAACTTCGTTGTAACTGGCTTGTTATTATTTCAAAACAAGACAGTAACAATAGCACTAACAAGATCATCATACAATTTAATTAAGAAATATTGTTTTATTACAAATCACGGACTGTTTGAAATTATCATAAGATAATATTATTAACTCTGGGCATTCAAACTACTAAAGCAGTGTAAACAGAGGGTACTTCATTTAGACCGAGATTAGCTTTTTGTTAGGCAAATATTATCCAGATTTAACACGCCGATATATATTTACTGCAAGTGCTTAGACAGAGTATGAATAGCATTGCATATAAGGATGTATAATCACAATTGTTTGATTTGGCGCCATTATATTATGTTCCTCGGACACATAGACAATGAACCCAGCTGCGTAGTGGCATGTACCATGGGGTTTTGTCTATTTCAACGCTACACCTTGGTTGTCATTTGTTACTTCCTGTTAGCTTATGGGGTTATCAGAGAAAATATACGCGTTCTAGTGTATGACATCTATTTGTTCGCGTTAAAGGAAAGAGATTAGCAAGCCCGATCATGCTTTAATGCCTCAGTTGTCAAGAACGCCATCTTTTCTCCACCCTCGTGGCCGCCATATTGAATATCTTTAACGGATAGGACCGAACTACTTCGCCTGTCAACGCGCATTCCACTAGACGAAATAGTCCACATACACGTTGTTTAGTTTCCAGATATTATGACTCTATTGTGCATACGCGTCAGGTAATATAATGTGTAGATAAATATATTGTCTGTGTATATCCTCTTTTCGTGAGTAAACTTGTTTTTATCGTAGATGTTTGCATTCAGACCCGGCGAAGTGGCGTATGAAGATGGTTTGTGCTGACGCGAAGAGGCTGGCAACAGTTGCCGTAGGAATAAACGCCATAGCCACCGTAGCTGTGACGACTGTTACCCACCAACACGACCAACTAAGGTGATTTTTCTTTTCCTTTAGACACTTGTGTATAGTCAAGATGTAGACTTGTTATTGCAGCGTTTGAAAACAGTTATTTAGATAAATTTCGGTGTAAATGTGATCATAACTGAGAGTAATATTTTCACGTATGTTCATCGCTGTTGTTGTGTAAAAATGGCGAAGGATATGCGGCGTTTTTCATCTCTATCGGTAAATGCGGTCGATCTGAGGCGGCATTTTCAAATTTCCGAAGTGATACCATGCCCGTCTCAGATGGGTAGGAGTAACAACTGTGATGTGTGCAGATCGGGTATATTTCTTCGGAAAATATATTACAGCGTTCCTGTGGCATAGAGTTGTTGGAAGTGGGTCATAAAACGCCCTATTTCACCATGTGCTTAGATACCACACTGAGTAGCAACTATGCCACTATGGACTGCTTCTAAGGCACCATTCAAGTTGCTTGGTAACCATGAAGTGTGACCCCTGCCAAAAGTGTTTAAGGTGCTTGTATTTACTCTACACACGTAGTGATAGCATTGTTTACATAAGAATAGATCAGGAGACTTCAGTTAGTTGAAGTGACATTGTCTGAAAATGTTTTTATAGTGTGTCAACCAATGGCAGTTTTGAGAACCAACATTTCTGAATACTTTGATAAATTTTAATTACTTTAATGTGATAATGGCACAAATTTCCCCTAATTCTAGGTAATGAACCGAACATGTTATTTGGATTTCTTTTGTGTGTGTGTGTATGTTAATAAATTACACACGATGTCAAAATGGGCAGATAGAATTAATAGGGTAACATTATTTTTCAATGCCTTATTACTTCTAGAGACTGAATGTCTGCCATTAATTGCCAAACAGACCATTGAATTATATGTTACGGATGGAATTCATCTTCAGCATGAGATCCATTACACAACCAAATAACATACAAATTCAACAACATAGAGAAGTCATGCAGACAAAACTGATATCAGTGTGACACAAGAATAAAAACAATTGGCAAGGGGATTATGTCACTGTAAATCATGCGATGTCATTCAACATTGGACTTCTGCCAAAGCTGGAGTAAAGCAATTTTGTGAGTTATTTCACTGTTAATTTTCGAAGTTTGATGTAACCAATATTAATATAGTTTGAATGTGTAAAGCATGGTGCTGACACGTTGAGCAGGAAAGGTTAAGAAAATTGTGTAAACATTGAACTTCATGTATGTATATATATATATACCTACAGGGCTCCAGATAAGGGCCGTATCGGCGTATGTACGGATACAAAATATGCACGATACGGTAGCAAATAATTTAGAAAACGTAGCAGGTACGCACCACAGCAATGGTGTACGGTCTTAAAATCATTTACAGACGTATTTATCTGAAAAAAATATTGGCCTATTGACCTGTTTACACAAGACAATCAATGTTGTGGTGCATATATGAAACGAAACACAAGATTACTGATACGCCATTAAATTCCACTCAGTACTCTTTAAGGTTTTCCAGTACTCCTGTAGCGAAAAAATATGGAGTATGTACTCCTGATGTTGAAAAATTATCTGGAACCCTGCCTATTACCTTACTCAACTGATCTAATATTGTGCTGTGTCAATGCTGTCAGACACAATGTTTGTCAAAATAGTATATAAATGAATGAAGTCATGTGACACTTGATTGAGAATAACAATAATAGGAATCTATTTATATGGGGCCTTTTCCATCTGCTCTTGCATTTTATTCTCTGCTGCCTCTGGAGTTTATCCATCTCATACCCATTCACTACAGGGTGAACGATGGCATATTTTCAACAAAGTCACTTGTTAAAGGAGACATTATATGTGCTTCAATGTGTGCAGGATCAAGGCCTTATGAGCTTAGAAATGATCAAGCAGTCATCGGAAAAAGTGGAGTTTAAACCCAAAAACATGATTGTGAATGTTTGAATAATAATTAGTGGTGATCCGATTAATTGAAATAATCGAAGATTGGTCGCAATGACTAAACAACCAAGCAAATCGATCATGCAATTTGGGAACGATCATGTTTTTTGTCTCATTTCAAAGCACTCAAGCTCGTTCCTTGTCAACACAAACAATTTTGGAACACTTGTTTTTTTCGCATTAACAATATTTTAGTGCGCAATGACTAAACGACCAAGCAATCGATCATGTTTTCTCATGATCGAACACAAACAATTTTGGAACACTTGTTTGCATTAACAATATTTTTCACAAGGTTGGTTTTGCCTGTTACATTTCACAAGCACTACAAGCTCGTTCCTTGTCATGATTGAATTATCCATGAAATTTAGGTTCATACCATGCTAATCATCCTTTATGATGTGAAATTTGTAAATGCATTTTGTGCAATTTGCAAAAGAACCCGAAAGAACTACACAGGTTTTTTCGATTTTCTGTGCATTAACAAACATAACCAGGAGAATTTGATAAATGACGCTAACCAATTAATTTCGATGATTGATCAATTATCAATTGTGAGATTTTAACCAATTCCCAACACTAATAATAATGTATGCATCTATTTGGTTTCAACATGTCCAACTTATTAAAGCATGACTATAAGTTTACTATGACAGCTGCTATAATGGATTTATTGGTCCTCAAAATGCAGGGCTCTTCTGTTTTTGCAAGATACAAGTAAGGGGAATAACCTTGGGATGTGATACTTAGTGGTTAGATGCCATAAGCATCAAAATTATTTCAAAATATTAGAAGCCAATTGTTTGCGGTATTTTGTTTTACTTAAGCTTAAAAATGAAGAAACTATAAATCATTATATTGTGTAGTGGTAGTGGTGTTAATTCACTAATTTGTCTTCTGTTTTTAATGTGCAATTAATATAATCAATGATAGGTTGAGACTTAAAAGTAAACAAGAAGCATGAATAGTTAATGTCCCTGTTAGTAATTGTTAGCTGTACACAATACACACTAATGAAAGGTGCCGCAGTTCTACATAGTGTTCTTTTCAATCTTTTCGTCCAGTAATGTACAGTCATCATAGTAATTAATTGTAAGCTTAGACAATTGCTGGTAAAGCCCTTTCATCATTGTGATTTTTGGTTATCCTAATTAGAGTTTCTTGTCAGTTGGAGTTAACTTAGTCTTTATGTGCTTTGTTTAATTGTTGTCTTAATTGGCATTAATTAAAATGACTGGCATGTTTTGATTGCAGAGTGGTGTGCCAATGGCCACCCAAACCTATGTAACAGATCTACAGGCTATGAACCCAGCCACATTGCAAGTACAGCAAGTAAGTCACCACCATAGATTCTCCTGCCTTCAATAATAGATGTTGACTTTATTGATTTCTTCTGATTGAAGAAGTCTGTTGATTCCTTGTAGTTGTGTGTTCAATAGATCTGTACCTAGTAACCTTCATGATTATGCTGGCAGTTGGTCGATATTTGAGGAATTCAGCTTTATGATCACTTTCTAAAATGCTGTCAGTTTCCTTTCCATATAGCAGTATTTAATGTTGAATGGTACCTACTAGTACTAGGTTACTCATACTAGGTATTGTCATTTTCAAACTGAATGCTTAACTATGAAATTAAGTAATCACATAATATACTAAAACCAGCGATGCTCATACAGGGTTGCATAATTTTAGAGCAGATATAAATGAAAAACCATGTAAAACATTTTCCTGAAACTTCTTTGTCTACTATAATACTGTATCTATCCCATCACCTATTCTTCATTTGGAATGAGTTTTTCTCTGTAAATATTGGAAATCGTGGATTGTTTTCTGCTTCTGTACTCTGTGAGAGTTACAGCACATTCGTTTCTACATCCTTGATCATTACACAGCATAAAGTATTTTTGAAATATCTATATGCATCTCTCCCTTAATCAGTTACTTATGCTTTACTTTATCAGAAGTGAATTTTAGCATAGTTCAATAAGGATTTCATACTGACAACCAAAAAGTGTGATATTTTTCAAGGGTGGCATTGTCTTGTTTTCCAAGACCTGTTTCATGTTCTTTGTTCAATCTATTATCCTTGTTCTAAGTCAAACATTTGATAAAGTAAAACACACTTACCCTGAGGATAGTGTGATGAAGAAACAGACTGGTGTGCAGATCTTAAAAATATCATATGATTTGTAGCCAGTTGGAGATGTAGAAGTGTGTTGTAAAACCCACAGTGCACAGTGGCAACCCATAGATTTCATTTAAAAAATGATATTAAATAGTAAAACAAGTAATGTAACTAACCACAGCTGAAAACTGATGTACCCAAATAATGGTGTTGAAATCAGAAAAATGTGATGAAAAAAGTGAAATTGTCTATATCTTCTCATCCCGAGTGTAAGGTTGAAAGTCCACAGTTGAATCACTTTGTATTGGAAGGCTTGTCAGTGTGAAAACAGTTCATTTCTGTTTGTCTTGTTTTGTCTTTGGCAATTTAATACTTCTCTAACTTCATTTTCTATATGATGTAATGATGTATACACATTTTTCATTATTCGTATAATTAAAACCATATGACCTTCTTTGATTTTCTAGAGCAGATATTGTGTATAGTTTGTGCAGGAAGTTCCTCTCCGGTGATGCAACAATTAGGGCTGCGACGATTTGGTTTGATTCATCAAAAATTGAATCTGACACCTTAGTTTCAATTTTCGATAACCATTATCAATATTTCATTTCAATATTTGAGTGCTGTTCTGTTCATATTTTATGTGTTTGAAAAAGGTCACATCATTGACATTCCTGATTTCCAGGTCAAATCTTGAAAACGTTTTCAGCGTGATATGTTTTGTTTAATAAACTCTGAGAGTTAAATGAAGTCTGATGGAGAATCAAATCGAAAATGATCGAATCGAGGGTCAAAATATCGAAAATTTAAACAAGGTCTGGGTGAATCGTTGCAGCCCTAGCAACAATCCATTATACAATATGTGCATGTTATAAGTGCTGTGATCAATGCATGCATGTACTTTCACACAGGCATTTGGCTTAAATCTTTCCACTGATGGGGTAAGTGGGATGCCATGTTTGCCGTGTACATTTCTTTTTATAACTGCTGCACATAGCTAGATCGTTCAAAAGTGAATTGGATGGGAGATAAACTCAGTTCTGTAGTAGAGTAATGGATACTGATCACGTTTCATTGAGATGTTTGCTTTCTAGCCCCTACATATCTATTGCTTTGGTGTCATCTTTCTTCTGTCAAGTGTGCCCTCCAACCAACATGAACACGATACTAACAGTAACTTCTTGTCTGGTTATTAGTGATTATATAGGCACACAGCTTTTTGTATATGATACTTTAATATTAACATGGGCACATTGTGTGAAGCCCATTTCTGGTGTCCTCCGCCTTGATATTGCTGGAATATTGCTAAAAGCGGCGTAAAACCATACTCACTCACTCACTCACTGTAATAATACGTTTTCAGCTGTTGTTGTCATTTCCAAATCACTGTTTGCCAGAATATCATTGATCTACGTTAAGCTTTGATATTGTGTTTTATACATCTCTGCAACAGAATTTAAGATGAAAACTTGTAACTATTTATAAGATGTTTTTTTATTACACAACTAGATAATTGTTTTTAGGCATGTTGAACATATTTAGTAGAACTTTTAAATCATGGGTAGAACTTTTTTCTTTTCTTTTTTTATTTGATACAGCAGTGTATTTAATAATGTGAATAAAAACAAAACAAATTTCATGTACAAGAACCTCCTGCTAACCCCTAAGGATAATCTCACCAACAGAATACTATCCTAAGGTAAAAGCAAACTAATACCTAGTTCTATCATCTTATGGATTTTGTTTAATACTGTAACTATTAAGGATATAGATACCATTGAGTCTCACTATGACTATAAAAAAGAAACAGGTAGGAGGGGTCGTCTCAAAAGCAAAACGGGTGTTGCCGGCAGTAGTTTGGGTGAAAAAGCACAAAAGATATTTGAGATGACCCCTTGTGTCTGTGGGCAGCACATGCATTTCATGCCAAGTGAGTTGTCGGTCCGTTGTCATATCTGGCTGAGCGACCTAATTGCCATCTATAGTCTGATCTATTGTTTTCAGCAGCTATTCATATTTTTTCTAAGTTTTGCCCGATTTTACGAGTAAACATGCTTTTCTGGATATCCTATTATGCATCCCACTGAATGCCCAGTTAGGCCGATGTGGGTTATTTCGACATATGCTATTTGCAATTGTGTAAATTTTAGGGATACAGAGTAACAGCCTAAAAACAGTTTTTTTCTATTTCCGACAGTACTTTAGTTCGTACTTTACATTTTTAATATGTGAAGAAAAAAGTCCTACCTACCTACCCTTAATTTTAAAGAGGTGTAATCGGAACCACAACATTTTTTTATTTGGCCTTTGTTTATGTCTTGAATATTTATGAGATTGGATGTTAACTGTTTCAGGCAGCAGTAGTGAAAGCAACAACAGCCTCCGGTAGCAGTGTGCAGACAGCATCCAACAAAGTGGCGCCCACAACAACCATCATCCAGCCTGCTCAGGCCCACTCCGGCCAGCAGTTCATTGTCACCAGTGAGTTTAAGGCTTGGTTGTTCAGTGACATGATAATGAAGAACTACATTCCATTCATGTTCATAACTGTTCAAAACACTGTCCTTACACTAGATCTGAGCCTGTGATTAGCAGTCACAGTTATTTGGATATAAATCATTCATGGAGATGTTCACTCAGTAAGAACCTGTTACTGTGATGAATATTTAAAAACAAGCTATGTTTTCAGGTTCTTTAAATATTTGATGGGCATTAATTGGTGTAAATGCAGTTCTGAACCTAATCCTTGAATTGTTAAGATACTTCAAAAGAAAAGTTCGCAATATGAGGAGGGTAGATTTATACTTGATGTGGATCTGTTTCAGAATATCCACTCACAAATTATGGCTTTAATAATTTATTGGTGTATTTGATTCTACCTTTAAATACTCTGAAAATAGTATTAGATACTGGTTACCTGTGGAGACAGGATTCAATCATTTGTGGCTTGGCTGTCGTTGCTGTTGCCTGTAGATATTGTCTTGCTGGGTTAAATATTCTGAAGGCAGTCGTCATGCATTGTCACAGTCGAAGGCCATACTATTGGTGGAGAGCATATAATGGTACCCATGTCAATCATTTGTTTTGGATATTATTTACAGCTATGTTACATAATTATGTTGAGAAAGTTTTGAGAAGTTCTTTCTTTAAAGTCCTGATGTTACTATTTATGTTCCAGCAACAGTGGGTGAGCAGGTGGAGCAAGGGCAGGAGACTGTCACTTTGCAGGGAGGACAGACTGTATATCAGTCACAAGTACAGTACGTAGATGGATCTGATCCAAGTATCTACGCAACTACAAATGGCCAAATGTACGAATAAGTGTGCAGAGTTAAATGAAACCTAGATGTGGAGTGGCGATGTTGAGCTGCTGTTGATGGCGTTCCGCATGATATGTTTAACCAGCACCGTCTGTCTGCCTGTCTGTCGCCTGTCCTCCTGATGTTCAGGCACATGACAGCAAGCAAGCGTGTTTCTCAGCACTTTGTTGATACTGACCTACCTACTACCTACCTACAGACAGGAGCATGTGCCTTGTCGCCAACTGCCGTGTTGATGATTTGATTCTCTGTTGTGTTCTCTCACCTACATCTCTTGTCACCTCATTCTGGAGTGTGCTGTGTCCTACACTGTCTATTCTAGCCTTTGCTGCTTTTCATATACTGTGACATCAGAGAAATCATACAGGATGAAACCTCCACTCCCTTATCGAAGGCCATGGAATCTGTTCTTCCACTTGCTGAATACTTACGAGCATTTGCCATTTATCACATACTGCATTATTTCTCTGACAGTTGAATTATGTCTTGTTACAATGGTTATCATATTGCTGACTTTATGCAAATTTCATTTTGACAGATTAAGATTTATTTGTGTTTAATTTATTCATTTTTGAACAAAAGTTGTACAATATTTCTCCTTTTTTTCCTTATTTTACTATAATTTTAACAAATATGTTTGTGACAGTAAATTGACGTTGTGATCCTGTCACTTCTAGGATATGAAAGTTTACATCATTCTTAATATCGTTTTAGGCAAAACTATCAGGACTATGGACAGAATGCAATGTACACCCCAGTGTCTGGAACCTATTATCAAACAGCCCAAGGAACCCAGGTAGGTAACTTTGGCTTCATGGGTTTAAATGACATACTCACACTGATTATGATCCTTGATTTTGTCAGTGGTGGGTTTCACCAAGAGGGTAATGTGACCTGCATCATGTTGGGCTTTCCTACCACATTAAGTGCCTGTACCCTACTAGCTATAACTTTTCTCTCTTAATCATGTACATGAGGTTATACATCTCATGTAAAGTGTATTTATGTCAGTAATAAAGCATTCAAATAGATATGCTTAATAGTCTAGACATTGATGATTTATGTTTTTGACAGTATGGAAACAAGTGCACCATAAACATGTATGCCAAATGATGGGTCTACTGTTTGAGTAGAAATGAAGTAGATTTTATTGTAAGGATATATACTAGTATTCATTGATCTTAGTTGGCTTGTCAGATCAACATGATCAAAAGATCATGGGTTGTATACATCATGACCATACCTATTCCTATGTGCAAGCCTTGCACTACTGATGTCTAGTATATGTTCAGGTTGCCACTGGGATCGTTCCGATGGGATCTGCTGTGCAGGCAGTACAGGGTCAACTCATTCAACAGCAGGGAGGTACATATCTCATCCAGGGGGGCACAATGGATGGGGAGGGCACCCCTCTAACCCACACAACCAGAGCATCACCTGCCACGGTGAGTTGGTTCATGTCAGTTTTGTGTTGTTGTTGTGAGTCTCTATCTCAGATTTACAAACCCATGCTCACTGACCTAACTATCTGGCCTAACCTCACAAACTCTTGGTCTGGGTCACTGCTTACCAATAGTTAGTTTTATATTATGCTTGCATATTGTTCCACCTCAGTCTTCTTATTTCTCTGTCTTGAAGTTATGGTAGGTTCTCTGTAAAATAGTTGGAAAAATGTCTTTCCAGGTTACTTACATGCTTTCAGTGATTTCCTTACTAATGTAGACAGAAGGTTAGACAAGAATCACACTTGGTCCAGATCAAGTGGAAGTCAGACTCAAGCCTCGACTACAGCCACTTGATTTTTGCTGTCATTTTTGTCAGCCAGTTATTTCAGGTTTTTTAAAAGCTATATTTGTCTATTTACAGATGTTTCAAGTAATCAGGGCTTAAATGTGTTCTAAATGTAGCTGTGTAATCATGCATAACTACCCAATGTGTAACCCATGTTTGCTGTGTGCAACTAACACAAATCCTGTTGTATTCACTTACCAGGATAGCACTCTACTTGATTGATGCCAAAATTCTTCATGTGCACTATGTTCTAAAGATAGTGAGAAAGTGTGTACCATTTAACCTGTAACATTGGTAACAAAGATCATAATTAGACTACTGCTGTTGTGAGGGTGTTCTTTGGAACTCTGTGCATGTATGTAAACAGATACAGAAATTCTTTACCCACACTTAGTTCCATTTGAAATGCATCTAAACCGTGTCTCAGATTCTGTGTATTGTAGACTTAGAATGTGTCGTCAACTTTTGCATGCTGATTTTGTGCAGATACCTTGTAAAGTGCTACTTATGGTAGCCCTAGATATTGAAAACTGTGCATGGTGATGGCTGTATCTCATTTGGATTAACCATTGTCTCAGATTTCTTATTTGTTTTTTTATTACAGAAATATCACGGAGTTTATGAAGTACGTACCTCATTTTTGTATTTTAATCAGTCTTTTGTAAGCCGCACACAGTGTTACAGCAGTACAAATCTGAGACACGGTTTTCAGTGCGTTTATTTTTCTTTCATTTAATTATTTATGTACATTTGTTTTCATTTGTCACCCATTCATTTCATTTTTTGTAGAATAAATTGTGAAGATGAACCAGTTACATATGTACATAATATGGCACATTGAATGGTGTCATGTCATTTTAGGTTTGATGTAACGCTGTTGTGAGAATGTAGTTTTCAACCATTTTGACAGTAATTGTTCACTTGCATGCAGTTTGGAATATCTTTCATCGATAATCTTTGTATTACCATCTGAAGAAACCTGTACATGATGAATATTAAGACTATATGCTAAAACTTAACATGTCAGCACTTGACATTTGTATGTTCAATTACACAGAAATAAGTAATATTGTGATAACATCTCTTAGACTTGTCTTTATACGTTACCATTACCATAACCATGATACATGATTGATGAGTATATATTGACAAGTTGAAAAAGTAACGATTGGTTGCCAGGTTCAATGGCTGCTAGACAACTACGAGACTGCTGAGGGCGTGAGTCTGCCTCGGAGTACACTGTACTATCACTACTTGCGGCACTGTCAAGAGCAGAATCTTGACCCCATGAACCCAGCATCGTTTGGAAAACTTATCAGATCTGTATTTTTGGGACTTCGCACACGAAGATTGGGAACCAGGTAATATCTGACTGTTGTAACAAGCCTTTAAATCCCCTAATGATTATAACAGATTTTGAATCATAATTTTCTGTGTGTAACATATTATGATTGGTTTTCTTTCAGGGGGAACTCAAAGTATCATTATTATGGTATTAGAATCAAGGCCAATTCTCCTCTCAACCAGTTCACTGATGACCAGACCATGGCCATGCGTCAGCAGCCAATGTATCAAAGCAAAAAGTAAGTACAATACATATCTGGGAGAAGACTTGACTGAAGTGGGTTCCCAGATACAATTTCTGACAATTGCTGTACAGGTGATGAATTTAGATAACAAATGAATTATTGGTACTGGTAACACAATTATTCATCCTAGATTTGAACACCCAAGGTCAGAACTGATTACCTGGATCAGTAATAACCACATCTTACACTCCAGGCCTAGCAACAGTAAGATGGATGGATCTGAAGGTGATACCAGCAGCCAGGGAAGTCACACACCTGGGTCACAGGAGACAAATTCATCTCAGCAGCAGCACCAGCAGTTCCTTGGTGATGCATCAACAGCCATCCCAAACTTTGAGGACATAGATACAAGCAGTGACCCCCTTCCTGATGGAGTCACCCCTGCAGAGATCAGAACCTTTCAAAAGATGTACAGAGAGCATGCAGAGGTCAGCCATTGCATTCACTCTCTGTATTATATGTCAGCTTTTATAAGATAGTTGTGAAGGTTAGGTTCAGTAAAACTGGTAAACTGTTCTAATTGTTTCTGCTCAAACTTCAGGATAAAAGAAAACTATGCTTATCTCCCTTTTCCTTGCGAATGGTAGTGGAACACTTGAATCCCTTGAATTTCCGAAGCGGATGTAAAAATACACTCACCCACGAGTTACCTCCCTTTTCCCGCGTCAACAGTCATGTAACCAGCCTTACTTGTCACTCTCTCCCTTTTCGCCCAAGTGGATGGTTGGGCGAGTCCCGTATACAGCATTATATCCTTTTTATTTAGGTCCTATTCTTAAAAATTACGCTGTGTATGGATTTGGCAATAACTACTATGTATTATATGTAAACATTTTGTAAAAATTATTTGTATTTGTGTCATAATTTCATCGTTATGTAACTTTGTTTACATTTCATGAAATCTTGCAGTGTTTGCAGGCACAGGTTATCCGTGGCTGATCCTCACCCCCCAATGCCTTCTGTGCATAAAACCATGTTCTTCCAGCTTGCGTTGTACTTATTGTGTTGATTTATCAAATCTACAATTTAATCAATATTTGTCTTATATCTATAGAAGTGCCATGGATCGGGTGAGGAAGTCATTTCAAGTCATGGCTGATGAAACAGGAGATCAGCCTGCAAACCGTATGTTGATTTCCACTGCGGAGATTCATAATACTGGTGCTATGTTGAGTACGTTGCAGGGGCAGTCTGCTGGCACGGGGGCCAAGAAGAGATCGGCTACAACGCAGTTGACTCCGACTCAAGCTAAGAAAAAGAGGTCTTCTTCTACGTCGCAGAAGAAAGCATCTGTTACCAGATCGGAGGGTAAATCTACACAACCTAGTTAGTCAACGCATCAGAAATCCTTCAACGAAGAGATATTACCTCCGCATCAAGTAGACGTTTTGATGATCCCCGATTACTTCTACCCAAAGTACCTATGAGATCGGCGACTCAATCGACTACTAGATTGTCTCCTGCAACGGTCACAGCAGGCCAGCTGTTTGACGAACTACCACCAACTTCTCAATGGAGTGAAGTTGAGGCACACAACTCATCAGCCTTTGCGAACGCTTTTTCTACACCGCAGCAGCTTCAATCAACGCAGAACTTGATCTGGGTGAAATTATGAGACAATTCACCGACCAGATGATGTCTATGATGGAACGGAGGTTCGAGGAAGAAGCAAAGGCTCGGCGAAGCCTCTCATCTACTGACACCGTGCGCAAACCTACAGGAAGATTACAACTAAGGCCGCTGCAACGGTTCCTGACAAAACATCTGGACAGCGTCGACCCTATCTTGCTGCCAGACAATCTTAAGAGGTACCTACTTTAGTGGACCCACAGGTCAAATGGCTGCGGAGGGACCTATTTACAAGAGCCGTCCTTCAACACACATCTCTACGTAGACGCATCGATACAAGGTTGGGGTGCACATCTCAACAATCAAGTTGCATCAAGGAAGTGGTCCAAACAGAGCAGCATTTCACATCAATCTGCTGGAGATGAAAGCTGTGATCAACGCCTTACAACTATGGTCGAGCTCGCTGATCAACAGAATGCTGATGGTCCACACGGACAACTCTACAATGGCATTCTCCATAAATCGGCAAAGATCTACAAGATCACCAAGCCTACTACAGCTCACATTCCACTTGTTTGACATCATGGAGGAGGCAAACATCTGGATAATGGCGTGTCACATAACCGGAGCCAAGAACGTGCTTGCAGACGCTCTCTCCCGACCACTGCACCCGTCACCTACGAGGCTCAACAAACAACTACAGACATTTGTCTCACCAGTTCCAGATCCTCAAGCCTGGGCAACAGATGCACTGAACATATCATGGGAAGGACCAAACGCTTATGCGTTTCCACCACTGATATTACTACGGAAAGTACTGTTGAAGATCAAACAGACACAGGCGCTACAACTGACCTTTGTCGCGCCATACTGGCCAGCAAGAGTATGGTTCCTAGACCTAATAGAAGATCTCGGAGGTCCAACAATCAAGTTACCAGATTGGCCGAACCTACTCATACATCCGGACACCAAGCATGTCCACAGGAACCCAACACTGTTCCAGCTACATGTGTGGACCGTATCAAAACATGTTTGAAGAAAAGAGGATACTCCGCCAGGGCAGCCAAGGCAGTAACGCTAGCGTTACGCAGATCTACTCGTAACATGTATGATGACAAGTGGCTGAAGTTTGAGACTTAGGCAAGGCGGAAAGACTTCATTACAATGAAAGCTACTCATCCTCAAGTGGTGGAATACCTGTGTCATCTTAGACAGACCAGACATCGTTCGACATTATCTACATACCTCGCCGCCGCCATCAGTACAGTGATTACCATGAAAATAGGCATCAAGTTGACAAGAGTACCAGAATTACTTGCTCTGCTGAGATCTTTGAAACTGGAGGACCAGCAAAGAAGTTCATAGCTCCGGCCTGGGATCTGAATGTAATTCTACGTCATCTTACCAGTGATGCCTACGAACCTGTAGACCAGACTACACTCGAGCTGCTGACACAGAAGACTCTGTTCCTGCTTGCGCTAGCCACGGCAGCTCGAATATCAGAGATGCATGCGCTGGACTTTGGTCGAACCAGATTCGACACGGGGCAACATGCTGCAGTTCATCTAGGACTTAGATGGGACTTCATTGCCAAGAACCAACTACCTGGTTAGCCAGATAGACATTTCTACGTACCAGCGCTATCTACAATCCTCAGACCAGAGGATATAGAGGACCTATCCTTGTGTCCGGTCAGAGCCCTGAAGATATATCTTCAAAGACTAAGACAAGGAGACAAAACTTCAAGCGCGCCTATTCATCCCATTATCCACAGAGACATTAGCAGAAGTCTCAAGAACGATATCGTTCTAGATGAGAGCCGTCATATTGAGAGCCTATAAAGCAACAGGACTAGAACCTCCAAGAGCTTCCAACCCACACGAAGTCAGAGCATTGGTGTCAACACTAGCTCTGCATGGAAATTGCTCTATATCAGCAATTATGGAGGGCTGCTTCTAGAAGTCGGACACAGTGTTTGCCAACCACTACCTCCGAGACATAGCCACTGAAGACGTCTCAGGCATTCACCAGTTAGGGCCTCTGGTTGTAGCACAGCTACTAACGGCTCCACAAAGGCGCTGAGTTGGAAAATGTCACCATTTATCACGTTGACTTGTTGATAACTTTTACTGAAGAAAAGTATTAGTTTGAAAGTCCATGCGCACAGTCTAGGACAGGCTAGCATGAGTGATTAAAGATCCTGTAAGGGTAAAGATCTTACCTGTACATGAAGAGGTCGCAACTCATGTATGATAAAGATCTTATCATAATCTATGGGTTGTTATAAGATATCTAGTAATAAGAAGATACTAGTTTATCTGAAGCCACATGAATCAAGATGATTCAACTTGTCTGAGATGGAAGTAAGACAAGAAGTGGTCCCCCCGAGTTATAATGGAAGTTGGAAGAATAGGATCTCGGAAATGCCGCTACACAGTTCCCATGGGGGAGATACAGGACGTATCTAAGGACAGCTGATGAATCCAGGAAGTGGCCTGACCCACCACCAATCCATTGGATTCTATAAGCAAAAGATCATGAGGTCACACACACACACACACACACACACACACACACACACACACCGGGGAAACACTTCGGATTTCACAGCAGATCCAAGTGGTCAGGAGAGAGTGACAAGTAAGGCTGGTCACATGACTGGTGACGCCGGAAAAGGGAGGTAACTCATGGGTGAGTGTATTTTTACCTCCGCTTCGGGAACTTCAAGGGATTCAAGTGTTCCACTACCATTCGCGGAAAAGGGAGATAAGCCAAAGATCATGAGTCAGGATAAGTATAAAAATATCAATTTTACTTGAAAAATTACATTTTGTGAGGTATAGTCAGGGGTGGAAATAACTTTAAAATTGCTAGTGTACTCCAGTACAGTGGCACATGTAAAATCACTTGCCCTGATAATTTTTCCACTATACCGGCCGTTTTCTTGTTGATTTTTAAATAAACAACTTAATTAATATTGAAGTCAACTGGACACTGGTACAGTGTGATATACAAATTTGCTTGCCCGACAGAAAAAAACACTGGACTCTGGCGTCGGGCAATGGGTTATTTCCACCCCTGATAGTACAGGAATATGTTTTCATTTGTATTCTGTATGTAGCTAGATATGTTCAGCACTTCATAATGTACTCTTTTTGTTCCAAACAGGCTGTAGTCGATGTTGTTGTCAATCTACAGTTCTCTCTCATCGAAGCACTCTGGCAAGGTTTTTGGAGGAATCAGCAATCTGAACAAAATAGGTAGGTCACCACTACATAATATTGTTTTGTTGAAGTATAGCTTATTTGGTTCTCTGCTTGTGATGTGGATCGTATGAGTGCCTTTATGTTTTTTGTGCAGGTTGAGCTGTTGTGTATTCAGACTTCTTCAGCAACACATTTTACATCAGTCTGTTGCCTTTATCAAGCCATGAATTTCAGACATCAGATCAATTCATGAAATATTCAGCAAATATTACATGTAAGAATGTTGACTTGGTCCCATTTTTAACAGGTCATGTTGTTTCTGGCAAGAGTGAACGAGAGTTGTGCTGGAACATTCTTAGAGCTATAACATCATTGCATTGTAACCATGTGTCATTATAGCATGGTATGACAACAGATTGAATGTCAATGCATGTTAGAAATTCAGGGAAATATGTGAAATTTTGAATCCATTAGAATCATGAGGAACTGACTCTGATGACAACATAGTCAGTGAATGAATGACTGTTAGTGAAATTTATGGAAGTAAATAAAATGGTTTTATTAGACCCAGAACAAAAATTGTTTTATGTTCCTAACCATCAATACCAAAACTCAATCATTGTGTATAATTTTATATTTAGAAGGTGCAACCTGTGTTTGTATGGTTATTACCTAAGGTTGCTATTGCTGGCCCAATCTGCTACCCACTCAAGTGTTTAACATTCAGTTAGCTCTTCTTTTCCTTGATAAAAGTGATCTGGGCTATTTCATACTCCTAAATTTATGTACTGACTTGAAGAACTATTTGATTATCAGTTGAAATTTTTCCAGTTCTATTCATGTTGTGTTTTTAGGTTCAGGAATTTTCAGAAGGAATTAACTGGATGTTGTTATTATTTTTTTCAGTGCAGAAAATGAATTTGAGAAAAGACTGCCAAAAGAGAAGCTGTTCGCTTTGTGTAAATATGAACCTGTACAGAAATATGTGCGCAGATCTGATTATGCTTTCTATCAAGCATTAGTGGAAGTATTGATTCCTGATGTTCTCAGGCCTATTCCCAGTAAGTACAACTGTCATCAGCATCACATATAGTATGTAATCTTTCTGGATCATGACTATTGTAGTTGAAAAAACATATGACACATATCTGGTAAGAAATTATGCACTATGTAATGGTTCAATGTCAGGGTTATTACAGATACTCAATTTTTTCTTCATTAAATTCAGGTTCTCTGACTCAGGCCATACGAAACTTTGCCAAGAGTTTAGAAAATTGGCTCAAGAGTGCCATGGTAGATGTGCCAGAAGAAATGGTCAAAACAAAGGTTAGTATTCCAGCAGTGTAGCTGAATTCCTGGATAGAAATTAGAATCAGTCTTCAGTGACATATTTCTCTTAAACATGGACTGGGGCAGTTGGGTAGCCTAGTGGTTAAAGTGTTTGCTGGTCATGTTGAAGACCTGTGTGTGAAGCCCATTTCTGGTGTCCCCAACCATGATATTGCTGGAATATTGCTTGAAGTGGCGTAAAACTAAACTCACTCACTCACACTTAAAGGAGACTGGAGAGATATGTTGGGTGTTCTATGTTACTTGACAGTGTGATTGTTTCCTGATGGTCCAGATCGATGCCCTTGCTGTTGATCAGTGGATTGTCTGGTCCAAACTAGAATATTTACAGACCTCCGCCCAGTGTTTGCAATACTTCATATTTGCCAGTTAGCCATCAGGGCCTGCTGCCACCTGGAGGCTTTAAAATCTACAGGCCCTGAATTAAATCTGCAGGTCCAGTTTGTTAAAGTAAAACCAATAAAAACAAAATAGACTACACCACACATAGTTATATACTGTCCTTATAACCAGTACAACACTGGAAATGTGGAATGACATCAAATTCCTGTTGAACAAAAATTGACAGATAATTTACTGAAGGCCACAAGTGCCTGCAAATATTTGAAACTGCTGGCCCGATACAATAACCGGTGCTGGGCCTGCGGGCCGGCGGTTATTTTGAACGCTGCCTCCGCCATATATCTGGAATATTGCTTAGTGCAGCATTAAATTTAAACACTAGACAAATGATGTCTCAGTGATGTTATTATTTCAACCAGTGGCTTTACTTGTCCACACTTGTTTGTTTATTTGATGATATTGCTGACTGATTGAAAACATTTACACATGCACTTCATCGCTTCATCAATAGAAGAAAGAGAACCAGTTCATGCAGAGCTCAGATAATATTGTGTTGTTTTTATTTACTCATCTTTTATAGCCACAGTTCATGTCCAGTTGTTAGCTTATGGTTTCCATCATGGGAGGATGCAGGCATGTATATTGGAAACCACTATGTGTTTTGAAATGGGTTGTGAAAAATATTATCAAAAGTGTCTCCAATGTTTTCTGATGTAAGGAAATATTGATGAGCAACATTGACTATTGTATTTTGTCAGGTTGGTGCTGTGAGTGCCTTTGCTCAGACGCTGCGACGCTACACATCTCTCAACCATCTGGCTCAGGCGTCGAGGGCTGTGCTACAGAACACGTCACAGATCAACCAGATGCTAACTGATCTCAACAGAGTAGACTTTGCTAATGTCCAGGTATTGAATATGAGCCAAAACAAACAAATGTGATTAGAATGAAGGATATCTCATATAGAGCAAATGTTCATTTCTATTTGTAAGTAATTTCTAGATCCTGAATTATCTGCTCAAACACCTTGTCACTGTATAATGCCCATGAAGTTCTTTGTCATAGTAGCTCAAGGGAGATAACTCTGCAATCACTTCAATATTTGTCGATGTTTTCTGAATATTAAATATTGTAATTTTTGGTCAACCAGTTCTTAAAATCACAAAAATGTAGATGTTCAGTGTTTATAAGAACGTTTTCCACTAAAGTGTGGGAGACTGATAATTGGCATTCATTCAGTTCTCGGCCTCCTTTCACACAGCACTAAGGTGATCGTAAGTCACTAAGGTAACCTTAGTGCAATGTTAAAGAATGGGAGTTAAGGTTGACCTTAGTAAAGGTTGCTTTGTGAAAGGATCCCCCGGTCAGAAGAGGCTGCTGTGCCCATTTACAGTGGATAATCATATTCAGTTTATGTGGGAGCAATTTGCACAGTATTAAAAGACATGCTGTAATATGTAAAACAGAATAAACAGAAACAAATATTGTGCTGATTGTATTGAAAGTGCCTTTGTTGATTAAAAAAGTTGTTTTTCAGAATGTATTGTATATTGAATTTATAACCTGCTTGTACCTCTCATCACAGTTTTCTTCTGCTAAATGTTTGTGATGTGAACAATTGCATACATTAAACATCGACCATTAACTGGTTGTGTTATGTTTTGGATAAAGATCTTGAGAGGCATTTAGAAGTTGGACAAACATGAATACATGACATGTTTTATGGAGAACTTCTTTTTGTTCTTTATGCTGCGTTTCAGAGCTAATTCTTGCTCCTTCATTAGGTGAACGCCTGAAATTGTTATCCATAAAACGTTTCATGTATTCATCTGATTTGATAGTTGTGTAGGTCAAGGTAAAATCCTGGGTTTGAATTGAATTCGATAGGCCATGAGTTTTAGATGAAAGAAGGACATCAACATTTTTATTTCAATTAACTTGAATATTTTACTGTTTTGTCTACTGGTAGTACTGTACCAGTATATGTAACATGTTCAGAGAGGTCATACTTTTAGGTTTAAACTTTGTCAACTCTAGGAGCAGGCCTCCTGGGTATGCCAGTGTGAAGATGGCGTGGTGCAACAGCTCCAAGAGGACTTCAAGAAAACACTGAAACAACAGAATTCACTGGAGCAGTGGGCTGTTTGGTTGGAGGGAGTAGTCAACCAGGTGCTCAAGCCACATGAGGGGAGCCCAAACTTCCCTAAAGCAGCCAGACAGTTCCTTCTAAAATGGTCATTTTATAGGTTAGTTCTACCACAAGTCTACAAAGGTTTTCACAGTAAAAGTGGAACTGGCCAAAGGACTCTGACATGGCTGATATATGTTTTCAGTTTGTACACTATAACACATTAGACCCTGTGATTATGTTAATACTTTAAGAGTAAACTTAAACCGTCAGTGTATATTCCATAAGTCGTTGTTCATCTGCCAATTGTTGGGGTGAACTAGCAGGAAGTGATAGTTGAGGTGCCCCAGTACATCAGGCACATCTCCCTCAGGGCCCCAGATGATATTTTATTAGCCAGTGAGTGTTTTTAGTCTGGATCATACCTCTACATGTTTCCTAAACTTACACATACAGCAAAACACCTGTATAGTATATAGTAAGTGATACTTAGTGCTTTGTTTATGTGTTATTAATGGCAGCGGAATAGAGCTTATGTATGTTTGATGCTTGCATTTGATCAGGAATATGTGGGGTTTTTTAAAACACATTGGTAAGCAAGTTAGAAAAAGTTACAATTGGGTTATTACGAACAGTGTTGTATTATTGGCATTGTCAGAATTTTTCTAATGTTTAAAATTTTTCTAATTTTTTTATAATTGGCTATTAGTAATTATCTGTATTTTATGCAGATTTGCTGGATTTCTGCCAGTAGAGATTGAACAAGGTGTTTATAAGGTTTACTTCATTTCAGCTCGATGGTGATCCGAGATCTAACATTGCGCAGTGCAGCCAGCTTTGGTTCATTTCATCTGATCCGATTGTTATATGACGAGTACATGTTCTATCTAGTCGAGCACAAGGTTGCCAGGGCAACAGGAGAAACACCCATTGCTGTTATGGGCGAGGTGCGACAGGTAATCCTATCATTGGGTAAATTTAGTTAAGAAGGGAATAACTGTTAAATAGCTGTCAAAAGGGGATTGTTTTTTTGCTAAATTTAATATGTTACAATGCAAGTCAGTCTGTCATATTTTGTGTTTATATATACATAGCCAAGTTAGTATGCATGAACTTATTTTCTTTGAACTTCATTTTTCAGTTCATAGATCTTAGCAGCGCCATTGCCTTGAGCACACTGGAATCTGATAAACCTGCTGTGCCATCCCCTATGCGACACAGTGCAAACAATGTGTCTACATCATCCAACTCCAACACGACTACTGTGATGCTTGTAACATCCAATGCAGGCTCAGCAAATAACAGTAGTAGTGTTGCTCCTACAGTTACAGTCAGACCCACAGCCAATGGCCTTCCTGCAACAGGGACATCCACAAGCAGTTCGAATGCAAACACAGTGGTTGTGTTGTCGTCAACTGTAGCTGGAGGTGCCCCAGGAACCAATACTATTACTGGAGCTTCAGCGTCACTACCCACTGCTGTTACAGTGCGAGCTGCAGCAGCTGCCACTGCCCCAAACACAAAAACTCATACCATTCTTGTTATGCCTGTAGCTTCAACAGCAACCTCAGGGGATGTTACAGCTGCCAAACGTCTTAAAACAGAATGAAGTCACTGTCAGATTCTTTATATATTTTTTCCATGGTAACCCATTGTGATCAACTTTCTTTGAACTTGTGATTTAGACATGTGACAACCCCAGTTCCTCTAGATTTTATTTATTGTCACAAGGGATGAAGGTTCTATTGATGCATTCATCCTGTGTGATGTATTGATAGCTTTAAGTATTTTTTATGCTGACGGTTAACACCAAGTTTAGAAATTTGTGTTCATTAGCTGTCAACAGTTGACAAAGTCACTAGGTATTCTTAGTACTGTAGTGATAGCTCCAAGAGAGGCCATATACTTTTTAACTTGAAGCTAGTGGCTTTGTTTTATTTTGCTTTGTTCAGTCTTTTTTATATTAGTTTGTTACTTGCCTGAAGTTGAAGAGACATTCCTTGCTTTTAGATTACAGGTTTTGTCAGCTGATTCGTCTGATACATGCTTGTTATTAGTGGCATAGACTGCCCACACCTACCCTACCCAATCAGCTTCGTACAGTGTTTTAGATGTGTACAGTGCTCCCTTCAGTCTTAATGTACATACTACATTTAAGTATTTTCTATGTGTACAAAAGATGATTTATATTTTATGTTGTTGAGGTTTGTGTGAAGCCCTGTGTGGCCAACTCCAGTATTCCTCTAGGATTGTACATACATGTTGTTATTTATATGATGATTATCTGCTGCTGCTGGGTTTAGCTGCAACACACCTATGGCAGCTACCCTCCCATTCACACGCACACACACACACAATTACAATCAGAATCATACATATACATTCAATTCAGTAATAAAAACACACACAGTCACTGGTTTGTGAGAGTTCATTGTAGGAATGGGTCCTGAAATGTCTGGATGTCCCTACATTAGGATCAAATGCATTTGTTAACTGCCATATGAAGTCATTTCAGAAAGACAATGGTCCTGCAGCTGCTTACATGCAGCAGGGGTGTCTAACCTGACTTCACTGCACATTATGTCAATAACTCTCAGATATTTCTGTTGATCTTCATGTTACCCACTCCCTTTTAGATCATTTTTAAGCAGCCAGATACAAATCACTTTGCTAAAGAAATGGCATTTTGTGCTGACTAGTCATGTAAGTCAGGAACTACTGGGCTATTTTTCTGTCAAACGTTCATCAATTTGGAATTGGTTTGTGCATTAATATAATGGTAAAGTAACTTTGTTAAGAATTTTGTAAGGTAGACATTGATAAAATCTCTGCCACATTATGCACCTTCATTATACAGAGGAAATGGGATGCTCAAGAAGTCATTGAATGGGAGTTTTCCATTTTGAAATTTGCCAAATTCCTGTGTTGTATCAGTCTTTCCTCAGCAGATGGGGCACATGTTTCCATGACATTTGTGTCTGTTGCTTGTGACATTTGTTACAATTATCAATATTTATGCTGTTTTGTATATAGATAAATTGATGCAAACCTTGCTGCCAGTGTTGCTGAGTTGCTCCCCACTCGCTGCCCGCCAGCCGCCTGTTTCATGTGTTCAAACTTACACCTAGGTGATTGGTAACTGTACTGCTGTCATACTCAAATTGAATTTGATCTATAATATATTGAAGAATGCAACAAAGTATTTTTGTGAATCAAAACAATAATTGTGTAAAATGGCTAGAAATAAATGAAATATAGATCTGACTTAAATGGTCTTTCTTTTGTTTGCAATACTTTGGGTTTAAGGGGAACATACATGCTTGAAGAGATGGGCCTTAAAAGTGGTCAACTCAAATCACTATTTTCATTGAATCTTTTGTGTATTTGTTGTATGGTGTTTGCATGTTTGTGAAGTAAGTTGAACTAGTTTTGTTATGAGCAAGAATATTTCCATTATCAGGACAGATTATATCTAGAAGACCTTGGAGATCCTATGTATCCTGAACGAATCTATCAATAGTCATTATCATTCACATGGCCAACAAGTAGTACAAACAACTGAGTATGTTAAGGTAATATTCTGGTAAAAAAAACTTTGACTTTTGACATGTGTCAGGACATATAGGATAATCGTGAATTTTCACATTGGCACAGGAACATTTCTGATTGTATTTGTGGTTCAATTTAAAAAAGAGAGAGCTCTATATTTAAAACATGTTTAAAAACCGACATATTTCCAGTGATGTACAGACCTGAAGTTGTTTGCAAGGCACATTGATATTGTAATATGTTTATTACTTCTGTAATTTGTTCTCATTCCCATGACATTTAGAACAAACCTCATTTAATGTCGCAGACCCCACACTCTCTTGATGTCTGACATAGCAAACACATTTCAACACTTAAATACTTAATGATTGTCAATTGACGGTAATTTTGTGAAAGGGGGTTGGGTAAACACTTGCGAAAAGGTATTGGGTTCAGTTCTTAACCGGGGCCACAATGGAACAACAAATTTTACCAATGTAATATATCAGAAAACTCTCTAAATTTATGTGATTGATAATTGATACCTTTTAATGGTACTTTTGTTTAAAAAATGTTTTGTTACTGAATAATCTGATGGAAGCAAAGACAATATAAGTGGGTATGCTTTAAACTTTTGTGGGTATTTGCTGCACTTAGTCCTTGGACTTTAGTCCGGGATTTCATGTATCACTGGGAATTTGTTTAGCATTTACCCTATGTAAGAAAACCTTAGAACTTTGTACTTGTTATTTATCTTTGACCAAAATCTGAAAAGGTCTTGAGTGACGGTCATTGAAGGTAATTTGTAATGTGACCCCGACTTTCCCACTAAAATTCCTTTATCTGAAGGAAGTGTTTAAAGTTTTGAGGTGGATATAAAAGGTCAAATTTGCTGGAATGTTTTTTTTAGGTACATCAGGTAGTTCTGCCTCTCTGTATTTATGTGAAGTGATGTTACTCATATCAGATATAAATGATAAATAATGAAACATGGCTTGATGAAGATCAAGAGCAATAAACTATTCATAGTTGTACTGTATATGACTAATTTTCCCATTCGGGAAGCCACAGTGTGTGTGAGACTGTTATGGTATTTAGCATTTCGGTTTAAACTGTCTTGCATCAGACTGGCCATTCATGATGACGTCCTTGTTAATGTTTTTGGCATGTGACTTCTTTTTTGAAAGACCCATGAAATAAGAAGCCTAATGGTTAAAGCGTTGGCTCATCACGCCGAAGACCCGGGTTCGATTCCCCACATGGGTACAATGTGTGAAGCCCATTTCTGGTGTCCCCCCGCCGTGATGTTGCTGGTATATTGCTAAAAGTGGCGTAAAACCAAACTCAGTCAGTCAGTGTTATTTTATGGAATATGTCACTTCTACCTCTAAGCGCACGTACAATCACAACAAATGTGCGTTGATCAGCGACACTGAATAACCGCTTCAGATGCAGTAAACTCGCTGAGCGATCGGTTCTTGTATATCCCACAATGCAAAGCGCCGGGCATGATTAAAAAGTACTGCATTTTGGTGTTACTGTTAGGCGGCCGGTGATGGTTGGTTGGTGGTTAACGCCGCACTCAGCAATATTCGAGCTGTATGGTGGTCTGTAAATGATCGTGTCTGAACCAGACAATCCAGTGATTAACAGCACGAACATCGATCTACGCAATTGGGTTGCGAGGACGCATCAATCAAGTCAGCGAGCCTGACCACCCGATCCCGTTATTTGCCTTTTACGATAAAACATGGCTCACTGAAGACTAATTCTAACCCGGATCTTCACGGGTTGAATGAGATGAACCCGGCAGCCGCATACGGTGACAACGAACGTGACGTCAATGGAGAGGATCGTCTCACTTACTTACCGTGTTTTACTACACAAATGTACATGAATATAATGGATAATAGACCGTGTAGTGGTTAGAGCGTCCGCCCGGAGAGCGGAAGGTCGCGGATTCGATCCCCGACCGCGTCATACCAAAAGATGTTAAAATATGGTATTTGTTGTAGTGGTGGTCCGATTAATTGAAATGATCGAAAATTGGTCGCAGTGACTAAACGACCAAGCAATTGATCATGTTTCATCATAATCGAACACAAACAATTCTGGAACACTTGTTTTCATTAACAATATTTTTCACAAGGTTGGTTTTGTCTGTTACATTTCATAAGCACTACAAGCTCGTTTCAAGTCATGATTGAATTTATCTTAAAGACTCCAAGAAATTTATGTTCCTAACATACTAGTCATCCTTTAAAGATGTGAAATTTTGCCCCAAAAATCCAGAAGAACTACATGTTTTTTCATTATTTTTATGTGCATTAACAAATTTCATTAATGACGCTAACCAATTTTTTTCGATAATTTATCGGTTGTAATGAACCAATCATCAATTATGAGATTTTAACCAATTCCCAACACTAACTTGTTGGTCCCTGCCTGGCGCTCGGCATTAATGGGTACAACAAGGACTGGTTGGCTCGGAGTCAGTATAATGTGTCTGAGTGGGGTATTCATGCTTCACTGCGGCATGGTATCTCAGTGGGCTAGCACTACCTTAATTCTGGGCTAGTACAAGCAGCCGCACATACACATACACACGCATGCACGTCGTCATATGAGCGAAATATTCTCAAGCAGGACGTTAACCCCAATTTCACCTCACCTCTAATGGATAATGAAGTAATTAGTACGCTCGAGAAAGTTGTCACATATGACTTAAACGAAACTCGTGTAAAAGTTCACACTCGTTTCGTGTAAGTTGTATGACACACTTGCTCGTGTAATAATCTCTATATATCCTTTCATGCAGCGTTCGAAATAACCGGTAGCCTGATGCTAGGTAAAACTTCCCCAGGCTTGTGAAAATAGAATGACGGTATCCCGGTTTGCTAGTGTAAATTTTCAGTCTGAAAATTTCTCTTCATGGCATTATTTCATTGAAAAATTTCTAATTCTTTTAGTATTTTTTGTTTTGTTTTCAAGCCGACAATTCTGAGCTTAGTGAAACTACACACGAAGCTGAAATGCTAACCCGTTTCTAAGACGCGTTATGATTGGTCAGTATTAAGAAATAAACACCATAATCATAATGAAAATATAAACATAATCAAAATAGCCGACGCATCCTTGATCATTTGCAAATGGCGCCATATAAACAAACATGCCGAAACGACAGGCAGATATTAAGGCCTTGTTTCAAGGCAAACTTCCTGTTATTGCTAAACAAAGACGCTCAGTTGAAGAAAAAAGAGAATCTGAAAGATCGAAGCGTGAAAGAAATTTTTTATCGCAATGGTCTGCCGAGTTCAACTGGCTGATTTCAGACAAATCAAAGATGTTCTGTAATGTGATGATGATCTCATTAACCTTGGTCAGTCAGACCTTGACTCATAGAAAATAAAGAGTGCTTAACTGGACTGTCACTGTTTGAATAAATTTGAGCTGAATCATCTGGTGCTGACAATTTGTAACGTTGATGTTTAACTTTGAACTTTATGAAAGAAATAATAAATAACTACTTTTGAGAGTTTTGTATCTTTATTTAGTTTGGCACGTAAATTTTCATTCGGGCTAGTAACTTTTAAAACCTCCTAGCCCGGTTTGCTAGTGATCCTGAAATATTATTTCATACCCTGCTTTCATGAAATGATATCTGTTTTGGAACAGAATAATGACCCGCTGCTAAAGGCTCCCTGCATGTCACACTCTGGACAGTGTGAATGTGACACCTTTCAAACCACACACACACACACACACACCCGTGGCGGCTCCAGGGGGGGTGTTTCAGGGGGTTTGAACCCCCCTTTTGAAAATGACTTAAGACCACATTGTGAAAAAAAAGAATTGCGTTTGCGGAATTTCAAAATTCCTGGATCCGCCCATTCCTAGGGTGCACACACACACACACACACGTTTTGTCCCGAAAGTTTATTAAATTACCATTGAAACTCTCGTGAAGATGAAGTGTGCACCCTCCTTTCTCAATAGTGTGCAACCCCCCTTTCTCAAAAGCTGTATCCGGCCCTGTACACCATGGGTGATAGTGACCCTCTGATTTTCTGTTAAATCAATCGATACTGTTTTACGGAGTTATCACCACCCCTGTGCTAACAACACATTATCCAGAACGGTTCATTCATTGGTCATGTGACGTATCACGTGACTACCAGAAGCGACTTACAAACCGAACGTGACAGGAAGAGCATGATGTGAATCAGACGGCTATCGGTTCGGAGGAAGATGTCGGAGGGTCATCTGAGTGTATGAACAAGTGGTGAGTACTTGTACATCTGTATAAAGACCCAAACACATCTCTCACACCCAGAATCGGCGAGCCGGATTGTACATAATATAAACTTGAGTCGATCTTCGCATTGATTTGGGCGAGTCTATTCAATATCAAAGGGGACCAAGGCGGTCCTCCGTGTGAAGTAATGGTGATTATTTCAGGTTAGGTTGACCTTGACAGCTGAGTCATTCACAGAAGTCAGTTACGACATAACATGGAACACGGATGTGACAAAAGACCGGTAATATATGAACAGGTAGTGGATGGTGTTTTAGATCACGCTCCATTATCTTTTAACAGTTCACATTACATGTAACACAACGTTTAGGCCTATCTGCATAAATACGGGAATATACTTAACGTAAGTTGTTTATTTGATCTTATATCGATGAAGTGAAACTTTTTTGTCAGAGAAGACAGTTTTTGTGTAATCAGTGTGTAAGTTTCACGTGAGTCTCACTGTGTAAACAACACACTTTAAAAGTAAACACGGCCCATTGGTCGGAATGCTGGCGATCCTCACCTCCCTACACCACCTTACACAGCTGTAAGTGGGAGATGGGCTGAGACACAGGTGGACATTTTATGACTATTCGGCCTGATTCCGTGGTTGACAATGTACCGGATTCCGAAAACTGTAGTACATATCATCCTCTGCAATCCGGTATCATTCACCTCATTATATCAGCACAGCAGCTACATTAAGTACCAGTAATAATACAGGCGGATCAAAACATTGTTCATAAAAGATTAAAATAATATAAAACAATATTTACTTTTTGCTGGTATGATCTTATCCATTAACAATATTACCGATTTGTAGTATATATTTATTTTTTCTGTCATGTATTGACTATTTAGATAGGTTATGGTTCAGATGCCCTCTCTTGCACGTGCGGATAAAACAACTTTTGTTTGTGAGGGTGACAATAATGGTATTGCTGTAAATACGTGAACGTTGTCAATATATTTCATACAGGGATGTACTTTTAATGTCGGTAAACAAGCCGCTCCTTAACGCCTTGGGGTACGTCTTGGATGACACGGTGTTTCGTAATCTTCTTTATACCCCAGCTACCACACCCCTCCCACCAAGCCGTGTATTGTTGGTTGTAATGGCAACTGCTGCTACCGCCCCTGGTGTAGAGCCTCATCGATATATAACGTCACGGTAGGCGTGAAGTGACAGATAGTCAAATATATTTTGTCCCCGAAACGATAGTACATGGTTGTCGTATAACAGAAATATACCATTAAAAAAAAGTAGGGGATATTGGATTAACAAGACTGATAAAATGCAAATGATGAAGCCAAGGAGGAAACAGATGATGAAGAGAAATTAAGGGAAAATGCGACGATTTATTCCATTCCTTTGGAAATGTTTCATCTGTATGGATATATATTACCTTTTCTCATTGCATTGGCATTGGCTAGTGGTATGCTCGCAAATATATCCCCTACATTTTTTAATGATATATCTTTTCCTCCTTCCTCTTTGAGACAGGAATGGGAGATTGTTTAGGAAAGCTTATGCACCAGGTTATGAATATTGTTGTGGGACAAATACCTTCATGTGTAATAATTACTCGTGACAACCCGCCTGTACTAAACTAGGAAAGGTTATTTAACTTGTATTCTGTTCCACAAAACACCATTTCAGCTTTACATTGACGTTTTTAAGATGATGAATGACAGTGGATGAAACAATCGTTACCATCTGTTCATGCAGGCAAAAAGCTCAACAAAAAGTGGATCAATCGGCTGCTGATACTGGTATAAAAACTAGGGATGTACTTCACGCTAAACTTAAGGCACCAGTGCAGTATATTGATATTAATTATCACCTGTGGTAACACGTCGCAGGGTAATATTTCTATGTTTCAGTTCAATATGGGGGTGAGGTATATGCACTATTGTATTAACCAATACGGACTGCCGTAACTGTCAGTAAATATCTATACTATGTTGCCGCGACGTCTCGCTGCATTGTCCGTATCAGTATCGTGTATCATGTATATACAGGATGTACGCAACGAATAGGTAGATATTAGCCTGTATGAAATGCGTTGAATAGGATGTGTGCAGTTGAAAGGATGTGTACAGATAACTAGGTAAGCATTATCCTATATGTAGGATGTGTACACATCAATAGATATGGGTGCGATTGTGTGTGTGTGTGTGGTGTGTGTGTGTGGTTTAGCCTAGTGGTTAGAGCGTCCACTCGTCACGCTGAAAAGACCCGGGTTCGATTCCCCACATGGGTACTGTGTGTGAAGCCCATTTATGGTGAACACCGCTGAATATTGCTGGAATATTGCTAGAGGCGGCGTAAAACCATACTCACTCACTCAATAGGTATGTGTGATCCTCCATGCATCATATATTTAGAAGATTAGGTTGGATGTGTGCAGGATATATTTAATGATAGAAATGTATTAGCCTGTATGTAGGGTGTGTACAAACGAAAAGACGAGATTTGTACAAATAAATAGGTATGCATTATATATGCAGGGTGTATCTATGCCTAGACATGTACTAGCTTGTACGTAAGATATGTGCAAATGCATAAGTGGAAAATGTAAAAATAAATATCTCTGTATAATCGTGTATGAAGGCTTTTACAGATGAATAGGTATGATAAGATACTTTAAGCAGGATGCGTAAAGATGAATAGGTGTGTAATATCCCGTAAACAAGATGCGTACAAATGAATAGGTGTGACAGGATGCGTACGAATGAATAGCTGTGTAATATCCTGTAAACTGGATGCGTACGGATGAATAGGTGTTTAATATCCTGTAAACAAGATGCGTATAATTTAATGAGTGAGTTTGGTTTTACGCCGCTTTTAGCAATATTCCAGCAATATCACGGCGGGGGGACACCATAAATGAGCTTCACACATTGTACCCATGTTATAATTAAATGAATTGTGTCATATCCTGCAAACAACATGTGTATGTATACACATGAATAGGTGTGTATAGGTACAACCTGTGTGTGATATGTGCAGATTGATATATGTACCTATAGTTGCATATTTCGCCTGATTTGAAAATGTGATGAAAATACTGATAATGTAAATATAGACAGTAATGTCGATTACATGTGTATTGATAAATTACAAGTTACAAACTTACGAAGTTAACAATTTACGACCGCAGTTCATTCTGTTCGACGGACGCGACGAACATCGACGGCTGTTGAGGCAGCTCATTTGCCTCAGCTATATGTTTAAATCAATAGAACAGGGCCAATCTGTGGGATCAGCACATGCAGTCGATACCGTAATGGTATTTACTTTGTATGTTTCAAACAATGACGAATTGTAAAGCCGGCCAGGTGGTCGTGTCCGACACTGGCAGACTGTACGCATCGACGGTTGGCTGTTTCCTGTTGACAACTGAATTCCAGGTATAGAAGACATTTTCGTGATGTTTGGGACCGATTATATAGAAAACCATGGCGAAATTATCTGTGTGCACTTTAAGAAATGACTTGACGATCAGTAACGACCAGGAACAAGTGGAGTGTTACGAGCAGATATAATAGATGTGTTCATGTGTCCAGTTCTCATATTTTTCAGATTCATTGCGCGGGACTGAGCGAGATTTTGACCACTTGACGAAAATCTCCGGTATCATCATGGAGAACCACGACATGCACAAACATCACATGCACATGCATGACAATCACAACATGACTACGCCAGAACCTAACCATGACATGCACGCGCACCACAAGGACATGGCGGGGCACAGCATGGACCCACCAAGCGGCTACGACATCGCCAGTGACGACCACCATGACCATCACATGCAGAACCACAGCATGCATGACCATCACATGCAGAACCACAGCATGCATGACCAGCAGATGCGTGACCACGCGTCGCACGTGCATCACCATGACAACAGCGGCGGTCATCATCAGCATGGTCACCCGGTAAGATCTACAAGACAGATTAGCTAATATGTGTTATTATTGTCCGTGGATTTGGTGTGGTTTGTTTGTTGTTTAACGCTGCACTCAGCAATATTCCAGCTATATGGCGGCGGTCTGTAAATAATCGAGTCTGGACCAGACTATCCAGTGACCAACGGCATGAGCATCAATCTACGCAATTGGGATACGATGACATGTGTCAACCAAGTCAGCGAGCCTGGCCACCCGATCCGGTTAGTCGCCTCTTACGACAAACATGAGTTGCTGAAGACCAGTTCTATCCCGGATCTTCACGGGTGCCTGGAAATTAATTCTTTCCACCTGTCCCGTGGAAGAAGGTGTCCCATTATTCCATTGCTGGTCTTGGGGGCGGTGGGGTAGCCTAGTGGTTAAAGCGTTCGCTCGTCGTGTCGAAGATCCGGGTTCGATTCCCCACATGGGTACAATGTGTGAAGCCCATTTCTGGTGTCCCCCACCGTGATATTGCTGGAATATTGCTAAAAGCGGCGTATAACCCAACCCACTCACTCACTCATTGCTGGTCTAAGAGGTAACTTCACAGGAAACACGGGGCCATCCCAGAATAACTAGGTTCCCGCCAGCAAACGTCGCTTCTTAGTGGCAACGTTACGCCGAAGACCCGGGTTCGAATCCCCACATGGGTACAATGTGTGAAGCCTTTTTCTGGTGTTCCCCGCCGTGATGTTGCTGGAATATTGCTAAAAGCGGCGTAAAACCAAACTCAGTCAGTCAGTCAGTCTTAGTGGCAACGTATTAGAGGAGGTGGTCAGATCTATGGACTAGGTTGACGGCGTGGACCGTTGTTCATGATATCAATCACTATATTTCTGGTTCAGACTCTATGCCGTCCCATGGATGAAAAATGCTGATTAGGGCGTTAGGCCACTCACGCACACACAGTGTAAACAGACACACGTCCGCACAAGGACACAATCACACTTTCATACCAGTTTCCGTTGATCAATAATCGTAATTGTGAAACATATAGTCATAAACACGATTTGTATTAAAGTTCATTACCATGTTAACCATATCAGCAAAGGTCATGGTTTATTTATTCCCATAGTAACTGCATGTACATATATACTCAATGTGATATCTGCAGATGACGTTCCACGCACGGAATGACGACTTCATTCTGTTCCGGGAGTGGCAGCTATCTCCAGGGAAAGGTACGTCACGATGATTGATAGTTCGTCAGTGTGACGCTGTGTTGATGGATTACATGCAGAACCAAGGAAGTGAACACATGGCCGTGACTCATGCAGTCGAACATGTCGGTTTGACGGCAGGTTTAAACAAAATATCTGTAATTACATGTTTCAGAATTCAAATGTTATACAAAATTATGCGTCGACTCCCCAGTTCTGTTGACCTAGTTGACCTCTTCGTTAGTATGCAGTAGATTTATTTATTTATTTATTTTGCGCTATGGTGTAATTGGATTATATGGTCAAGACTGACGTGTGTACAGACTGACCTATGGTCAGAAAACTGCTTTTGTCGCTAGGCAACACACACTTAATTCAGAGGGCAAAATGTGGGAGTGCCGGGTTGTACCGGTACATCAGGGCGTCATTACAATTTTAGCGAAAAATAGGTGACATCTCAGTCCGTTCACAGTGATCCATATTTATTGTATTCACGAGTATTTAGCTTTTTACGGCAGAGGGCAACGCGAGGTATACATAGAGGCGGGTTGTCCCTGTACAGCAGGACGTGACATGTTTTTCGAGAACAAATGGTGACATCACTGTTTATAGTGATCCATACGAATATTTTGGCAGATAATCTCTGGCGTTCACGAATGATATTTTTTCAATCTGTCGGCACTTCCAGACATACAGAACGACCGATGGAGGATTCACTGTAACTGAAAACCTCTTTAGTTAAGTTTATAGTGTGGAGACGTTTTTAGGTTATCAGCGTATTTCTGGTGTCTATAAACTGGGTGGAGATTCGGGGGGCGTGTCATGGTACTCCCGACTCATTGAACACTCTTCGTGAGATTTGATTATATACCGGTATATACTACTATAACGATAAGAACACCAGAATGGCTTAATATGACGTCAGTTATAATATCTATAATAACATTATATGCTTGTATTGCGCTTAAACTCTGCATACCATTAACTGTAGACGTGGAAAAACTGACTGACTGAATTTGGTTTTACGCCGCTTTTAGCAATATTCCAGTAACATCACGGCGGGGACACCAGAAATGGGCTTCACACATTGTACCCATGTGGGGATTCGAACCCGGGTCTTCGGCGTGACAAGCCAACGCTTTAACCACTAGGCTACCCCACCGCCCTGTAGACGTGGAAAAACCCAATTGTTCCTATATAAACAAAGAGGAGAGTTATACAACTTCTTTAATATAATATATAGCGACGTTTCGGTGTAGCTACTAACACCGTTATCAAGCAAGTGGTGTGTTAGTAGCTACACCGAAACGTCGCTCATATTATATTAAAGAAGTTGTATATCCATAGAACTCTCCTCGTTCATCACACCAACTTCTAAAGTCCACTCAAATAAGTTGTTTCTATATAGCAGTACAGCTGAAATATTGACCGCAGCATTAAACTACAAATCTACATTCACATTACACGGAGTTGTAAATAGACAATATGTTATGTGTTTCCGTCAGGGTACGGGTGATACAGTAGGGTGTGGGCTGTAACTCCACCGTGCAGAGTTTTGTCCCTTTGTTTTTCCACAAAGAAGGCTTGCAGATTATAATGCCAAGTCGGTGGTAAGAGTATCCGTTCGCGGGTCTCTAAGAAGTGGCAAACGCTTCCAACCCGAATGTCAATTCCTCACCCATTTCACTGGAAGCTATGATTTAACTGAAACACTGCCGATTACGATGTTGATGCATATTTTTCTATTTCCGTTGACAGTGACGTTCTTTGTGTGTCTGACCCTGGTGGTAGTCGCCGTCCTGTACCAGGTCATCAAGATGGTCAGAGCGAGGCTTGGCCGGAAGTGCCGGAACACAAACTGCAAGTAAGTACTCCAGGGCCCTTATTCTCGAAACGTTCTTAACCCTAAGAATTCTTAACTTTGATCGTAGCCAATGTCTTAAGAAGTTCTTAGGACTACGAACGTTTCGAGAATAGCTAGCCAGGGTCCCTTTTCACAAACCTCTCGTAAGCCTAAGATCTCGTAACTTTTCTCAGAGCATTCGTATTTCCTATGCTGCAACACTGACTTGCGATAGTCGTAGCGCTACGAGAGCTTTGTGAAACGGGGCCCAGAAACTTACTTCCATCACTTTACCTGTAACAGATTTAAAGGGTGTTAGTGACAAAATACCTGCAAGAGTTGTTAAGTTCAACATGTTTGAGAAGAAAACCCCGTTTATCCGAAGTGTACCAGAAATTAACCTGGGATCCGGTTCCTCAAGATATTGGGACTAGGACTACAGTGGGAATATGTGTAATGTTTAAGTGTGGCAATTATGGTAATCTTTGCACAAAGATATGTTGAACTTGGCTTGCAATGTTCAGGCTTTGCGAACAGATTTGTCTACAAATCCCAATAGGTATCCGGACAGTAAGCGTCTGATGAGTAGGGTTTCTGGATTGCCGGGTCCCAGACTGGCCAGGTCCATTCGCAGTAGTAGGGTAGGGCAGGGTAGGGCAGGGCAGGGCAGGGCAGGGTAGGGCAGGGTTTGTTGATCTGCAACGAATAAGCAGATCATTTCATTTAACGTCGCCCTTTTGTGGAAGGTTCATGAAGTATTGACCTCAAACCGTATCACAGTTATATTGAAAACAGACACCCTCAAGACCTTCAACCACACCCTATAATCTATTAATTCAGTATTATACCTGTTACCCTACGCTGACTGTCTCAGGGACGCCCACCCAACGACATGACTTCTCTTTGGGAATGTCGTGTGGTATTTTTACATTTTATTTGTCACTGTTTCAGACGGTACATGCTGAGCAAACGTCACGTGATCCAGACGGCGTTGTACTTGGTTCAGTTTCTCATTGGGTACGTGTTGATGTTGGTTGTGATGACGTACAACGTCTGGATCATGGTAGCCACCGTCGTTGGAATCGGACTGGGATACTTCTTTTGCGGCTGGGCGGAGTATGAGGAGATCGTGCGCCTGCGCCCCATTTCTATGAAGTCCAGTCACAGATCCGTCTCGTTCGACTGTGGTCGCAAAGGGGACCAAGAGTTAGTTCCCTTGAGCAAGGACACAACAGCCACGGATATAACCATTCTAACATCCAATGTCGGCTGCGCATGCGACCACGACGAAACGTTGTGATGGTGACGTAGGTTACCGATACTATGGAAACTATCACGAGAGATTTGCATCATATATATATATTTTTTTAATTTTTTTTTGTGGCTCCACACTCATTAAAGCTGCAGCCTGCACTTATTTTCGTGGCCAACACACGGTAAGATGCAAGCATCTGGGAACCAGAGGTAATACTTATAGAAGTGCTCCATTTTGCAGGTGATCCAACTCTTCGCTGTACTTGTGGCCTTTAACACCCGAAGTCATTCACCATAGAAGTGATCGCAAATCCGAAGTCTAACTGCGGTTGTTGTCGTTTGGTTTTTTGGGGGTTTGTTTTTGCATTCTAATACTAACCCGTATGTGTGCACCTCTTCACTCCACCATCCATGAATACACAGAGCCTTTCTGCAGTGTAGCCGGCAGCTTTGTGGGACAGTTCATGCCCTGGATCCAGCCACTGTGTTTCCATCCACATTTGCTACACAAATCTCTCCAAAACACAAGAAAATGCATTGAAAAGGACAGCCAACTCAAATCTAGATTGCCAGAGCTTTGCAATTTAGCATTGGTCTGGACTCAAATCGGATATTAGTTTTTCTTTAGTTACATATTTTTGTATAAGATAACTTATTGATGGGAATCAATGTCCGTCTTATGCTTCAGCCTTGGAGTCATCTACTCTCCATATCGCTGACATACACGGCCACGGTAGGGTTCGCACAAGGCCCCCCCTGCGGAGTAGTGATCTTTAACCTTACACCGCATTTTAGTCTGTCGTACAGACCCTGAAGCAAATATATCCAAGAAAGGCCACGCAAGTCTAGAAAATGTGGCCATTCTAGATTTACTCAGCTTCAGGGCTCCGTTTCATTATTATTATTTTTTTTACTATGAACTTTTTTTCAGTAAAATATGTTCATTTCAGAGACTAGTTGTAAGTCTAACCGCATTTCTGCCGTATGTATTTTCGCGGATGGTGTTGGAACTTGTCTGTGCAGGAGTTGTAGATGGTTATCATTAACAACATGTTCGGCTATGATATGGTCATTGTAGCCAGATGAACTGTTTTATGAAAGTGAGGGTAGTAGTTTTCGTTAAGTATTTACGGGGTTGTACAGGCCCCACACCATAGATCTGACGTTATTTGAAGCCTCGGTAGATCTGCCTGAGAAGTGGAATCTCAGAATCTTATCTTGATATTGGTGGCATTTTAGAGTTGTCGAACCCTGTACGTTCTGCGCTGAAATAGCTGCTTCGTTTTACATCTAAAGTATATTTTCTAGTGGGAAGTTTATGGTGGCCACTTGAATTACGAAGTTACCATCACGAAAAAACACAATGTAAGGATTTTGACAGCCGAATGTCTGTTTGTGTTTAGGTGAGCAATATTAAGTCTGAACTGGTCAACACATTTTCCATTTTGCGTTTTTTCTCTCGTATGTACATACCACACAGAAGAGACATATTTTTCAGATTAAGTATTACATATTTGATTTTTCTTATCGTGAAAAAGTCAGTATTCATCAAGAAATCCTTTTTTGCATATGCATGTAAAGTTTCGCCTAAACATGTCTGTAGTACACACGGGAGGTATTGCAATAAAAATATTCTCGTAATAGGATTCTAAAAAAGATAGAAGTAGCAAAATACTACTACTAGTGTTTTAAATTGTAAAGATGTAATTGTTTTTAAAAATGCAATATGCGAATCATTGAACTCAATATGAACACCCCCGCACCCACCACTCATTTGACGTTTTGTTTCTTAGATATTAAGACATTTATTAAGATTTGTTAAACGCCAATAGTTTAACCTCTTCTGAAAAGGATGGCCTGTAAGAACTTATTTCTATTCATTTCTAATTTCTAATAAAACACCTTCGTGATACGTGAGTCGAGATGATAACAATGGCTTCTTGGCGCTGGTGGTTCGTAGACGCTTCTTGAACGTAGACTTGTAGTACGGAGACTTATCGTAGTACCATGGTACGTAACATGACGTCGCAGTTCGCTGTTAGGAGTTGCGTCCCGTGGATTCTCGGTTCGCCCCGATTGTGTTTCAAAGTTTGTCAGACTCTTTTCACCGAAGTGCGAAACGTCTGAGACTTGCATCACTTCGTGCTTTCCGCCCACATTAAACTGACACTGCATGAATTAACTGTGACGTTAAACTCAACTCACTCACTCACTCACTCACTCACTCACTCACTCACTCACTCACTGAAGTTTTTAATGAAAATAGCATTCACACATACACTCAAATCGATTTATCACTGTTTCATTTCGGGTGATTTTCAAACATGGATGTTAAGGGATCGTCATTCATGTTTGTAGCTTTCTAGTTTTACGAAACGCTAGTCATACGCCTTTTCCCTTAAATTATTACATTTACAAACTCATTTAGTGAAAACAGCTGTCATAGTCAACATGACGTCATTCTTATGTGACGTCATAAACATTACCTCATCAAAATATGGATAATAAAGACTATATGTCGACTGTTGACTCCTTCGTTGGACTGTTGTGTAACCTGCTAGCTCCGGTTGTAAAGTGTGTGATGTGAAGCATTTGACCCGTCAGATTCCCATGTCACAGTCCATAAGGGTCAAAATAAACAAGTATTCTACATATTAAATAATGTTTGCATTAGTATATTGTTCCACGTGCATGTTGATCCATAGACCAAATTTTGTCATGTCGAAACGGAACAAGGGTTTATTTACATAGGCCAACACTATGTTGTATGCATTCTAAATAACTTCTATTTTGGTGTTATTTTTTCTATGTGCAGTTATACTTTGTGGCATTTCTTTTGAACTGCCTAATGTACATGTGCAAGATAAATAAAATGTTCGACAAGTACATGTTTTGGTGTTGATTACGCAGCCACGTATATGTATATCAAGGATCATGAGGTTTAAGGATGGATTTGCCCTTTGGCTTGTTTGTTTGTTTGTTCGTTGTGAATGGTGACGTCAGCCGGTGCTGTATGTATTTTCCTGACTGGAGTGTCAGCATTGCAAAATTTTTAGTTACTCGCCGTCTCGGGCAATAAGAAATAAACGACGAAGTAATTTGGAAATACTGATCCAAATTGATGAATTACACTTGGAATCAATTGCGCAATGTAGGCATCTTTGGGATTTGTCTCTGTTGAGATAGCTGTTTGCTGGCCATTGTCCCAGTTTTGTGTACACTAATTATTTTGTTGTGTGGGGTTTGGTTATCACATCATTCAGGCGGCTATAAATCAGAAATCTGGTGAAAACAGTGACTTGATGTTGAGTGTCTGGTGTGGAAGAAATCGCCAAAGATAGCAAATAGGAACTAGAATGATGTGGTTCTGCATGACAAAAATAATAATTGATAAATATATAGAGGATATCATATGAGTGCCCATGTCATACTATGTTTTCGACACGAGTGCCTAAATGTTGGTATTTCCCTAGCGAGAGCGAGGGATATACCGGTATTTAGGCACGAGTGTCGTAAACATAGTATGATATGGGCACGAATATAATATTCTGTCTATTACCGAAGTATTCAAATTGAGGAAAATAAAACCAAATCTACTTTCAAAAGCAGGCTGTCTACCCGCCGTCGCCGCATATAGAACGCAACGACACAGAAGAAACGTGCGTCATAGCCTTGTTCATGACGTCACATCACCATAACAAAGTGATATTTTGCCCTAGTGCATCGTATGAAAAAATATGAAACCCGATATGTTCGCCCTCGTAGGTAATAATTAAGAAATCAAGCGTACGAGTGCTTTAACGTTATAATAGTTCAGGGCGAAAGTGTGCTTTATTACACTATACATGGTGGTAGAGCGAACTGTATTTCTTTTCTAAGATGCCAATTTAATACTTTCTAAGGATAATTAAGAATACTCGCACAGGGCTAACTGGCGCGCTGTTCTATTGATGTGTCTGCCCCCTACGTTAAGACGAACGTTATCAGAAGAAAATTGAAAAACAGTTTGATGACGGTTTACGTTCGGTTTAAATATCTTCTCTAAATTATTTTAATTACATCTGTGATTAACGTAAACCATATGGGGCAATATGAACGTGGCATTTCTTCTACCAACGTAAGTTTAGATCAGTACATCCAGATGAAGCTGAGTAGTCAAGCGACATTCCACGATTGCATTGTGGGAATGTAAACATTGCGAACGTTACCGTGTCGTGGAAAACTTGTAAGTCGAATTGAGACGCCAGAAAACATAAACGTAATGTTTCCACCAGTGACGTTAGCTGCGTGAAGCAACTGCAAACCAAGAAACGGGATGCAATGGAGTAGTTTACAGTAGGAGGCTGAACGAGGCGATGACAACGGACATACATCGTGACGTCGCTTACATTGTGACGTATTGCAAAATTGTTCGTAATACGTAACTTGCAATACATTCACAGCAGCACACGTAGTTCATCTAAATATTAGATTATACAATTTCCACAGACACGAGGAAAGAAGCCATGTTTTGATGTCAAATGCGGTATATAACAACCATGTTTGTTGTCACGTATTCCTATAACAAATGTATCTAATTTCTGCTATAAACAACGTATCACTTGGAGGTGTCATCAACAAGTCAACAGCTGGCATTTTAGCATACGTCAGTGACACAGTGTTGCAGATCGTAACAGATGCTGTCGGTGGAACCCTGTATCTGTTAATGAATCTGAATGAAATGTGATTCATTTTAGGAGCGCCATTCCAACCCGAACGGATTGTATGTGTACTTTTGAATGTGGTGTCCCAAACCTCGTGGTAGTGGATTGAAGGATGTTAATAATAATCTCAGCATGCATGGGTCATAATCAGACGGCTCGAGTGCAACGTGCTTAGTCAGCAGAACTCTTGGAAACATACACGATTTCTTAGAGGAATACGATACATTCACGCAGCTTTGTGTACTGTACTGGTGTGGTCGGTGACAGAATACGGTACTGGCATGTAGGGAACGTCCACCACGATGTTTGACTGTGGTGTGGTCGGTGACAGAATACGGTACTGGCATGTAGGGAACGTCCACCACGATGTTTGACTGTGGAGTGGTCGGTGACAGAATACGGTACTGGCATATAGGAACGTCCACCACGATGTTTGACTGTGGTGTGGTCGGTGACAGAATACGGTACTGGGCATGTAGGGAACGTCCACCACGATGTTTGACTGTGGTGTGGTCGGTGACAGAATACGATACAGGCATGTAGGTAACGTCCACCACGATGTTTGACTGTGGTGGGTCGGTGACTGGCATATGAATCCACCACGATGTTTGACTGGGTGTGGTCGGTGACAAAATACGGTACTGGCATATGGGAACGTCCACCACGATGTTTGACTGTGGTGTGGTCGGTGACAGAATACGGTACTGGCATATAGGGAACGTCCACCACGATGTTTGACTGTGGTGTGGTCGGTGACAGAATACGGTACTGACATATGAGGAACGTCCACCACGATGTTTGACTGTGGTGTGGTCGGTGACAGAATACGGTACTGGCATATAGGGAACGTCCACCACGATGTTTGACTGTGGTGTGGTCGGTGACAGAATACGGTACTGACATATGGGGAACGTCCACCACGATGTTTGACTGTGGTGTGGTCGGTGACAGAATACGATACTGACATATTGGGAACATCCACCACGATGTTTGACTGTGGTGTGGTTGTTGTTACTTCTCTTTATTTGCCACCGTAACTTGCACCAAGGGTATTGGCCCGCCAGGTGTTCACGCGAAGTCACCACCAGAGGAAAATGTAATACAAAACGTAGGACACACCGGAAATTAGATACACTTGGTTCTGGTGCACATTGTGACCATATACAACACCGTGGCGACGAGGGTTTGAAGAATTTATCGAAGACGGGAGGACTTACAGCCATGGGAAGGCCGAACAGTAAACGGGGAACACGTGGCCATAAACATGCTTTGTCTTGATTGACAGGTCTGACACAACAATATTACCATAGATACCTTAGATCACGTTGTCCTGGGTTGACGTATTGGGTAATTTGAACCGTCATGGCGACAGATCCGTATGTGTTCTTTATTACAGTATATGATCTGTCTTTAAGCGGATGTTATGGATGTTTATACCTAGGCCACAACCAATGGTTAATTGCTTCAGATGTATTTCTAATCTAAGTGCATGGGTCACGATTTATGAATTAGAACAAATAATTTCTTGCATTTTATAATGCATTTTATAACCTGATGGAATATGGATGATATGAACTAATAAAATGTTAGATCATTTTGATTTTGGCAGTTCGGTGAGTAAAATCCTTTCCCTCATCATCCTGAAGACACTAATGCACCACAAGCGGCACAGAGCCTCTTTCTGGTGTCACCGCCAACACATTGCTTGATGTTTGGTGAAACAGGTGCCAGACTCTCAATACTACTTGTTAGCCCATGCTGATCCTTACGGTAGTCCTTGGCATGTTTTTCTTCCACTCGTCTAATGCGCTGCAGTTCGATGTGCGTAGTAGCCTCCCCTCGTCGTGCCAGGATCGCAGGATAAAATTCATCTTTATTTATGCATTGGTCTGTGAGGCGACCCAAGGTCTCGACTCGAGCGAATCCCTGAAGCTAAAGCATCACCTCTGGCTTTTCAGAGCCGAAATATTGCTCAGGCGATGTTAGATCCAGTGAGTAGTTCCTTATGTGACGGCACGTGACACGTTTATTATCAGGCAAATACGTCAGTCAGTGAGGAAAAGAGCAACAAATAATTAATTTGTTGTGTGAGTATCTAAACAGAAGCTGATGGAGTAGATAACACAGTAGACTGTACGTCTATCGTTCATATGTAAGACTGACATGACACAGAGTATTTCTAGTTTATCGTGAACATCTTCCACTCAGTGTATAGAACAGTGACCCAAGGTCGTGTCATTGTCCGTTGTTGATGATCTGGTCAGAACGTCGGATAGATAGCAATATCAAGGCATGCGCTCATAATAATATAACATAGAATTTATAACAGAGAAAAGCCATATCAATTGCCACACCTCAAATACATATAGGCAAAATGTGACACACGAAAACGAACTGAACCAGTTAAACTGTTCCCATGAATAAAATGTTATTACGTGGAAAGTAAGAAAAGCACCTGACAGATGCAAATGCAAGTTCACAAGGTCAGCTGCGAGTGTGTCCACCTAGAGGTCACGAAAGTCCTCGGAAAGATCACTCAATATCCATAGAATGATTTGGCGGAGTTCCTGCAGCGTTGTTAGAGGATTCGGATGACGTCGTAAACGTTGATCCATTTCATTCCCGGCGTGTTAATGGGTATCAAATCAGGGGATTTTGTTGGCCAGGGTAACGTAACTCGTCGGTGAGTGAGTGTGGTAGGTTTTACGCCGCTTTTAGCAATATTTTCAGCAATATCACGGCGGAGGACACCAGAAATGGGCTTCACACAATGTGCCCATGTGGGGAATCGAACCCGGGTCTTCAGCGTGATGAGCAAACGCTTTAATAACTAGGCTACCCTACCGCACCGTAACTCTCGGTGAAGAGAACTCTTCTCCACTCACCTGCTTCCCATCGCAAGTATTGTCTGCTCTACCGGGGTCGTCGACGTCGATGTTCTGGCGTAGACTTCGTAAAAATGTTCTCGCAGATACAATTCTGTTGGTGTGGTATGGTATGGTATGGTATGGTATGGTATGGTATGGTATGGTATGGTATGGTATGGTATATGGTATGGTATGGTATATGGTATGGTATATGGTATGGTATGGTATGGCATGGGAGCTGAAGACGAATTCCAACCCGGATCTTTAAGTGTATTGTTTTGCGTGTTTTTGGCAAATGTAAGCTTACAATCGGCGTCGCTTTGTGCTAGCCGATCCAAGACGTATAAACAGAGAGACATGTTCATCGGAATGTGATTGCTGACAACAATACTGATATGTGGCTGTCACATTGGACGTAGGTTGAGCAACAGTTGAACCCACAGTCGCTGGGGAAGTGCTGTACTTGTGTTGAGAGATAATCCCACGTCGAGGTCACACTAGGTGGGTCAGAGGTCTCCACAGACAACCCTGTCTGGCATCAGTATGGAGTTTCTCACGGTCGTCCTTATCATACTGAACAATAGGCTCAGCCGACACGGATACGGGGTAGACTAGGGATTCATTACAGGAAGGTAAGGCTGATGGTCCAAGACTTCTCGTAAGTGTAATGGATGATATTGGCGGGTTGTACAGACCCTCCCACGAATACCGTTTGTTGCTATACTCTTCTACAACACCTACAACACAGACTGGAAGATATACTGTAGAACGTCATACGGTGTGGTCCACACGTACATGATCCCACCTGCTTTAGTCTGTATCACAGTCCCTGAACCATATTTTACCCACTGCCTAGCCCTCCCTGTAATGCTAAAGCCCAAAATGTAGCCAGTCCAGATTTCCCCAGGTTCAGGGTCCGTTAACATCTGCAAGAAAACTAACACACTTTGGGGGTCGGGTTACAAAGTAATCATATCTAACTGCCATGGCTGGACGGACCAACATCCTCACCAGTGGTCTGGAATTAGACTAATGCTTAGTCTCTGAATATATATAATTTTGATAGTAACAAACAAGCCCATTTAAATTGAAAAGGAGCCCCAGGGAGTCCAGAACCTGAGGAAATCTAGACTTGCTTTATCTAGGGCTTTAGCACTGCAGAGAGGGCTTGGCAGTAGGGAAAGTAATTTGGTTCAGGGACTGTGAGGCAGACTAGTCTGGAATCTATGGTGTCCCTGGGGCTCCTTTTCAGTCTAAATGGGTTAATTGTTACTATTCAAAATTATATAGATTCAGGGACTTAGTGTTAGTCTATACCAGCTTATTCATGTTCGTGTATCAGAGTGAGTGAATATTGTATAATGCCGCAGTCATCAATAGTTCAGCTATATCACTGCGGCCTGTAAATAACCCAGACTGGAACAAACAGAACAGTGACTGTAAGAAACGATCCACAGCATCGAGACCCGATGACGCTCTACAGATGACCCGTAAAGTAAAAGTTGATAAGATACATGATAGAATTACTTATGATAACAACACGTCAAATAGACAATACAGTGTGTATCTCTTAAAGGAAGAAAGTGTAGTCCAAGATATTTTGTTCGCTTGCCGTTTAACGCCGCACTCTTCCAGCTATATGACGGTGGTCTGTAAATAATCGAGTCTAGACCAGACAATCCAGTGACTGACATCGTGAGCATCAATCTACGTAACTGGGATACGATGACATGTTACATCTTACAAGGGAATGAAAAACATTCTGAGAAACGTATCTGGTGCGACACAAGTTTTAGCACATTGGGATCGAAAGCCTCTGACTTCATCATCTCTAATTTTAGTGGCATCGCCATGGCGGAGATAATTGGTACGGTAGCTATGGCTAGGGAAGACTTGATTCAGATCTTTTCAATATTTATTGTAGTAAATCGACAAAGTTTCTCCGATTGTTCAACTGCGCCACATTTCGCCCTTCAGATCACAGCCACCAAAGCAGCATCCGCACAGCGTTGTCGTGACGTCCACGGGTGAATGGTCACAGACATTCACTTAGTCGATGATCTAACTCATAACGATGCTAGATCACACGACCACATCACTCATCACAAGGTGAGGTTAGATAGTAGGGTGGAGATTTGATTTGACGTCTCTCTTATCAGTACTTCTGTTGTAGCGCGACGTACACCAAATACTAGGAACATGGACACACATTCTCTCTCAAACATGAGATGATGATATTTCCGTTATATTTAGTCCACTGAGTCCACTAAAGAATAACTGCTATGCCACGAGCATGGGTTTATGAATTACTTTCAAACAGTGGTTTCTGGGAAAGGTGAGCGTATTCTGCTCCCCCGGTGGCACCCGTCACAGAGGAAGGCAAGTATATATACGAAAACATACGGGAACGTAATAAGGTAAGTTAAAGATGTCACTTTGGCCCCTGATAACGGAAGTCCTGAAGTGTCCTCTAAATGTCTACCATAAAACCCTAATTTAACAACTTTCAGTCGTTTGGCGCTCTTTCAAATATTCTGTTCCTGTATAGTTTTCCCAGTTATATTCAGAAGATCTTTGCCTTTTTAGACAAATCAGTTTTTCCTGAAACTTCTAAGACATGGATGTAAGAGTACTCACTCCGAGTGCCAAATGCCTCGTGATCATAATGAGGTCTTCCCTGAAGTTTAACGTGTCGGATAGTGATTACAGAGTGGTGAAATCAGGGGTTGTGAGAATAAGAGTTGAGTCTTTTGCGATTGCATAATATTCAAGCAGAGCGTTAGAGGCTTTCGTAGAGCATACTTCACATTACTCCATGTATTTCAGATGTATCTCGCTGGCTCCACAACCCTGCCTTTCTTCGGTCAGACATGGGATCCAGACTCCGTACAGGGTATGTAAGATTCATCAGTCACAGCAAGACAAACACAGGTTTCATTTCAATCACTGTTTTATTTAATACATTTACATCACAATGTCTCAAATATAGATTTGTCAATGATTTGTGTTACCTAAATCTAGAAACAACCTCGGACGGTTAACAGCTGTAGCTTAATATGAAACATCGAGAAAACTTGGAAACATCTTTGTAATTTCACCCTACGGAACACAAGGGAGGCAAGTCTAGTAGCGAGGCCTCCTCTGTAGTGTGTGTTGAGAGTCCTAAAGGCGGATACAGGTCGTCTTCATAAATCATGGTTGATGTTTGACAGCAATTAATACCTATAAGTGCAATATGTCAAGTAATCATTTAAAGAGCGCCATATGATCTGCCTGAAAACCACTGTGATTGGTTTTAATAGGAAAGAAATTAAGATAAAAAATGAGTGATATAGTTTACTGCAGTGTCGATACAAACACAATCAGTATGTGCTCAATTCATTGTCGAATATTTTGTTGCCCGTAGTTGATGTCCGTCGTGAGAGGAATCTGCCACTGATTTGCTTGGTCCAGACTCAATAATTATCAGTTACAGGCAGTTTTGATAAAGTTGGAATATTGCTGACTTGCGCGTAAAACAAACAAATATCAGCAAATGTCTTTGTCTGATCATACTTGCGTCTGTGTGGTCCAGCCCTGGTAGCAGTGTCACTGGTGTCTGCCGTTGTCACTGTGTTCTTCGAGGTCATCAGTGGCTATTTCTTCTACCAGGAACTGACAGTGTCCTTCAGGTTAGAATAATATTTACTCTTACACATCTATATTCCCTTATAATAGTGAAATAACCATTTGTATTATTATATTCTGACAACGGACTTTATACCCCGCTGTTAACGTTATGTCTTCCATTTCAGCTCCACACAGCGACAGCGACGGAACCTCCATGTGTGCCTCACGTGTCTCTATGTTGTGCGAGTCGTTGTGAGCTATCTCCTGATGTTAGCTGTGATGTCTTTCAATGTATGGATATTCGTATGTGTGATTCTCGGCTCCGCCATTGGCTACTTTACTGTGCAGCCAGTGCTTCGATACTACAACTTCCGGCGGATGTTACAGAGAGGTCATGTGACTGGGACGAATGATCGCAACAGGCAAATGATGGAAACAGACCCGCTTAGGCCACACCACGAGTCTGATGAGACACCAATGGTTACCAGACAAAATGAATGTGTAAAATAGACAGTGTTGGAAACATACCCGCTTAGGTCACACCACGAGTCTGATGAGACACCAATGGTTACCAGACAAAATGAATGTGTAAAATAGACAGTGTTGGAAACAGACCCGCTTAGGTCACACCACGAGTCTGATGAGACACCAATGGTTACCAGACAAAATGAATGTGTAAAATAGACAGTGTTGGAAACAGACCCGCTTAGGCCACACCACGAGTCTGATGAGACACCAATGGTTACCAGACAAAATGAATGTGTAAAATAGACAGTGTTGGAAACAGACCCGCTTAGGTCACACCACGAGTCTGATGAGACACCAATGGTTACCAGACAAAATGAATGTGTTAAATAGACAGTGTTGGAAACATACCCGCTTAGGCCACACCACGAGTCTGATGAGACATCAATGGTTACCAGACAAAATGAATGTGTAAAATAGACAGTGTTGGAAACAGACCCGCTTAGGTCACACCACGAGTCTGATGAGACACCAATGGTTACCAGACAAAATGAATGTGTAAAATAGACAGTGTTGGAAACAGACCCGCTTAGGCCACACCACGAGTCTGATGAGACACCAATGGTTACCAGACAAAATGAATGTGTAAAATAGACATTGTTGGAAACAGACCCGCTTAGGTCACACCACGAGTCTGATGAGACACCAATGGTTACCAGACAAAATGAATGTGTTAAATAGACAGTGTTGGAAACATACCCGCTTAGGCCACACCACGAGTCTGATGAGACACCAATGGTTACCAGACAAAATGAATGTGTAAAATAGACAGTGTTGGAAACAGACCCGCTTAGGTCACACCACGAGTCTGATGAGACACCAATGGTTACCAGACAAACTGAATGTGTAAAATAGACAGTGTTGGAAACAGACCCGCTTAGGCCACACCACGAGTCTGATGAGACACCAATGGTTACCAGACAAAATGAATGTGTAAAATAGACATTGTTGGAAACAGACCCGCTGAGGTCACACCACGAGTCTGATGAGACACCAATGGTTACCAGACAAAATGAATGTGTAAAATAGACAGTGTTGGAAACAGACCCGCTTAGGTCACACCACGAGTCTGATGAGACACCAATGGTTACCAGACAAAATGAATGTGTGTAAAATAGACAGTGTTGGAAACAGACCCGCTTAGGCCACACCACGAGTCTGATGAGACACCAATGGTTACCAGACAAAATGAATGTGTAAAATAGACATTGTTGGAAACAGACCCGCTTAGGTCACACCACGAGTCTGATGAGGCACCAATGGTTACCAGACAAAATGAATGTGTTAAATAGACAGTGTTGGAAACATACCCGCTTAGGGAGTCCACACCACGAGTCTGGTGAGACACCAATGGTTACCAGACAAAATGAATGTGTAAAATAGACAGTGTTGGAAACAGACCCGCTTAGGCTCACACCACGAGTCTGATGAGACACCAATGGTTACCAGACAAACTGAATGTGTAAAATAGACAGTGTTGGAAACAGACCCGCTTAGGCCACACCACGAGTCTGATGAGACACCAATGGTTACCAGACAAAATGAATGTGTAAAATAGACAGTGTTGGAAACAGACCCGCTTAGGTCACACCACGAGTCTGATGAGACACCAATGGTTACCAGACAAAATGAATGTGTAAAATAGACAGTGTTGGAAACAGACCCGCTTAGGCCACACCACGAGTCTGATGACACGCCAATGGTTACCAGACAAAATGAATGTGTAAAATAGACAGTGTTGGAAACAGACACACTGGACAGAAGTACAACACAGATGATATGTGAATGGTTTGACGTTCACTTGTTCTCTCTGGAAGTGAGAGCTGAGTTACGTTTACGCACAGCTCCAAACTTTTACTTTTGCTGGTCGGAAACTTTCAGTTAACAGTTTGGTGAAGTGAATGGGCGTGGTGCTGACGGATGAGTGAAGCTAAACTGGTGGAACTGCATGACGACATGAGCTTCACACATTGTTAATGGACACCAAGTTACGACCAGACTAAGTCAGTCGTATAAAACCTGTCCTTGAGTGAGTGAGTGAGTGAGTTTCGCTGCTTTTAGCAATGTTCCAGAAGTATCACACCAGAAATGGGCTTCACACATTGTACACATGTGGGGAATCAAACCCGGATCTTCCCGCGTGACGAGCGGACGCTTTAACCATTAGGCTACCCCACCGCCCCCGTCCTTGAGAGTATGCTCAATCGATGATCTATGGTCACGATGTAAATCACTTGATTGTCTGGTCCAGAGTCGAGTATTTACACATCTCATATAGTTGGAAAAACTGCTGAGTGTAGCGATACGCTAATAACCAACACGCAACCATTATCTTCCATACAGCCCAGTATGTCTCCATGATGTTTCATGACAGTAAAGCAGTGAAAATATCAGACTTATTCACGAAACTGCTGTCGTCTAAATCGCAACTGTCCGAATTTCTTATGTACATCCTCGTCCCCCTATGAGAAGCTGTGCAGCAGGAACAGATACAATGCTACATCCATTGCACTCTTCAAAAAGGAAAAGAATTGCATAAGCCATTTTAGAGGAACTTATTGCGTCAGTTTATTAGCAATTTTTTCATGTAATTTCAATGTGAAAAAGGTGAAAATTCTACAGACAAAGAGTTTTACTTGAGTCTACAAGATGGCGTCAAAGTCAGTACTTTGTATGGCCACCATTGGCAGCAATTACTGCCCAGCAACGTCTCGGCACAGACAGGATAAATCGGTCGCTCTTGTGGAATTCTTCCCCACTCCTCCTGCAATGATGGCCAGTAGTGAAAGTGTCTGAGGCATCGCTTCCAGGTTCTAAGGTTCCAGTTCCGGACTCCACGACACCACCGCAAGCGATTGCGCCGATGGAAGTCTCTCAAAACAAGGGCGATAACTGGCCTTCTTGGTCGAATACACACTTCACGCAATCGATTTCTGACAGTTTGGTCGGAAATTCCTCTCAAACAGGGATGTGTTGTGCAGCCTCCACGGCTGATGCAAGACGATGGCGCAAGTGACCAACCCGGATGTAGCGGTCCTGGCCTCTGTTCGATAGCTCTTAGACGGCCGCTTCTCGGGGGATCATGGGCGGATTTGTTCTGCAGGAAACGATCCCAAAGGCGAGATATGGTGCTCTGATGAACGTTGAAATGCACCGCAACTGCAGACTGCGACCCCCCAGCTTCAGGGCGGCGTGTGGTGATGTTTCGATTGGCGGGATGATTTCCCCTTTTAAAGGCAAGAACGAAGGACAAAGCAGATAAACTTTCAAGTCCTATGAACGCCCAAGTCATGTAAATGATTTAGCATTAAATTCTGCATAGTGAGGATATTTCAGCAAAATTAGAACAATATTCTAAATCAGCTGATGCGCAGTCTACTTCAGTGCAAGTGTACGTACGGATATAGAACAGCACATTAAGCACTCCTTTGCTCATTGGGACTTCCTACCTGTTTATCAGACGGATGTTCAGCTGTGGGAGTACTTTCAGTGGACAAGTGCAATCAATGACAGTTTCAGTGATATATCTTATCACATCCAGCAGAGACATCCTACCTACAAGGTGATGTTGACGAAACTAAGATGAAGTACACGAACGGATAGGCAGGTAAGGCAGCGTGATGGTGGATTGCTGGCATTTCCATATTACAAGCTGAGAGGTGTCTCGCCGTGCACACATTACAAGCTGAGAGGTGTCTCGCCGTGCACATGTTAGACGATTAACGTCTGGGAGTGTCTGGATCTCAAACGTCTTCTGATAATTTCATGAATAAAAAGTGAACAATCTAATATACAATACAGGGCCTACTGATAGAGTCTGTAGACGTATGTGAACCTACCCAACAGCAGGCGATGCGTTACTTTAGATTAGATAAACTAGTTAATGTTCATAGGTACTGAATGTTAAATCACCATATTTTGTTCAAGATTAGAAAGTGTATAGAGCAGAACTTGCATGAATACTGTTACAATGGTTTTAAAACTTCCTGATTACCTGGACCCGGTTGTATCAAACTTTAATGAAGCATTAACGCGCCATTAAACGTTCATTAACTAATGTATCATTAAATTCTGTTGTACTAACGTTTTCATGATGCTATGTTGTCATTAGTGCGTCATTAACTTAATGAAGGTTCTGGGGTATCATTAGGGTTTAATGTTGACATTAGTTAATGAAGCAATGATACAACCGGATCCTTGTCTCATATTATAATATACACTGTATGCCTTATTAAAAAAATTTTATTCACATTTAAGATACATTTGAGAGTGTAAAACATTGGTTACAAAATGTCTAAAATTTAAGTCTTAAACCTCTACACCAGTCCTTTCATGGTACCCAGGTTGCCATAGTGTGTACACCAACATACCCTTGCTCTGCTCGTGGATTACACATCAAAATGGAACACACGGTGTGCAGCAATTAAGGTTACACAATCAAGAGAGCATTCACCTTGCAAGCGATCACATAGTTGAATAATAGTTCAGTTGATAGTCATAACAAAGTGTAATGTCCCTTTAAATATTTCCTCGTAGACATACAAGTCCAAATTGACATTTATAACTTTAGAAGATTATTCCGCATTTACCCTGTTGAAAGCAGGAAACAACCGTGTACATATATTTGAATTCATAACGAAATCAATACCTTACGCAAACAAGACCACAGGGGCGTGTCACGCTTAGAAACAGCGTTAGAAAGCGTGACACGCCCCTGTGAACAAGACCTTACCTGAACCGTTACAAAACAAAATAAAACGAAGTTCACAAACATTGCACAATAGTATATTTTGTTATGCTTACTTGGTCTCTGGTAGACCTAGTGTGAACACTGTCGTTGATACGTTGCCTCATATTGTTGGTTTGTTGCATTGGTTCTGGAGTGTATCTGGGTTTGATCAGACTCGACTACACTGCCCATGAGTTATTTCCAGAACGTGGTCGAGATATAGTTGTGACGTTTCTTTCTGAATAGTGTCGGAGCTGTGTGTGTTTGGTCTGTGCTTGATAAACGTTTTAAATGTTTTGAAAAAACATGCACTGCAACATATGTGCTTTCATTGCAATTTCCCCTCGCTGTACCGCGGGTATACACCTTCATTTTTACTTCAGGGCTAATGCACAATACCCCACTGACGCGGGTGTTTTACGTAAACAAACTATTTATAACGACGGAAAAGTGGTATTCGCATTTAATAGTTTGTCCGTGTTGTGCATAAGATATGCTATTAAACGAGACCACACAAATATCGCAAGTGATAGGGTCCATAAACACTCCCGGTAGCACAGCAGGCTCCTCAGTGCGCATGTGCATTATGACAGAATGGCACAATATCCCGCTGAATATTATCTGTCTTACAAAGAATCTACTTCATGTCACTGTTTGAATTGCATACCTTCGGCCTAATGTGCTTGCTGTCTATGTTGCGTGACAGTCGTTCCTTTGTTCGACATATTTATGTGTTAGTTTCTTGAGTACCTTGGTCTACAATAGTTTTGCCTTGCCCGGTCACCTCCTCAGTACTTGACTACGTGATGGAATCTGTGTGTGTTTGTTTATCTGTATGTTGTTTAACGCCGCAGTGAATATATCAAGCTGTGTGACGGCGGGCTGTAAATAACAACTTTCTTGAATGACCCAGACTAGACTGACACCATTAGCATTCATTGATCTACGTATGGGCTACGATGACAAGCATCAGCCAAATCAGCGAGCCTGACTACCCGGTCCCGTTAGTCGTAAGTCTATGTTAAAGTATGGGAGTTACGATCACCTTAGCGCTACGATCGCTTTGAGGAACGGGGCCCTGAACGTCTAAGGGTTTTGTCATATGTTCACTGCTATGTCAGACCCAATTGGGACCTGGGTGCTGGTGTACAAAACAACTTTAGCACTAAGACTATCTTAAGTCTATGTTAAGGTATGGGAGGTAGGCCAATCTAGCGCTAAGACTATCTTAAGTCTATGTTAAGGTATGGGAGGTAGGCCAATCTAGCGCTAAGATCGTTTTGTATAACGGCACACAGGTCTGGAAAAGGTCCGGAACACTTTCCTTGAGAGGAGATTGAACTGGATATTGCCAATTGTGATTACATTTGCTATCTTATTCCAACACCTTACACCTCCACCCAACACCTTACCACCCGCTCCACAACACCTTCCCCCAACCAGTTTGGAACTTTGAGCAAAATATCAACCACTAAATACAATGGTCGTAGTAGTAGTAGTAGAAGATATTTTTCACCAAACACTTAACCTGAATACCAAATGAAACAAGGACACACACATTATAGAACCACAAAACATATCACATGAAAATGAAATGTGAACATCCGTTCCATGAAGTGAGCATAAATGTACGTTGAAAGGTCTCCAGTGTACTTCTTGCAAACAGATCACAGCAAAGACTGTAAGTTATTGAAGAGGAGTCCATATTTGACATTCTAATTCAAACGTATCCACTTGTACGACGTCTTGTTGAGCGCTTTCCGTATTGCTAATATGGAAATCAGTCGTTTGCGTAAAACAGCTGTCACTCACTCACTCCACTGTGAGGAACTAGTGCATCTCGTCCATCGGTACACTGTCCCTGGTCACGTGGTAAGTGGCACCAAACATCCAAGAAACCGCGGTTCCCTGCAACTGTCATAGCCCTGTTCCATATAACCATGTTTTACTGTAGGGGTAATTTGATTGACTTTCCATACATTAGAATGCATAACATGCGTAGGACAAGTGGCACACGTTGCAAGTTATTACTTTCACAACTCTGTTTCTCGAACAACCGAGATCTGTTCTAGGAGAGAGTCATTCTCGTTGTTCCGAGCTCGACGGATGCTGTCCGTTTCGGATGAGTCTGCACTGTCGGACTTGTCGGAGTCCCTATTGCACCTCGTAACTGGAGTCGTGTTGGCGCGAACTGCGCGAATTTCTTCGTCCGTGACTTTGTTCAGCACGTGCACGATGAGAGGAAGAAGAAAGAAGTGGCCAATCCCTGCTCCGAGGCAGACGGCAAGCACCAACCACACGTTATAGGTCATAGTGCACAGCATGAGGATGTAGCCAATCAGAAAGTGGGTTGTATAGGCCAAGGCTTTCCACATCCGGGACACATAGTGAGCCACGAGTGTGCCCTGCCACCTGCGATAGAAACGTATTTAATGTACACAACAGGGCCGTAGGTAGCTGACACCTAGAAATGTTTTACACATAATTTTAGTACATGAAAGTATTGATATAACGCTCTTTTGAGTGTCATATACCCTCACCGCAGCCTTGAAATTCGCACCTTCAGTTAATGACGCCAAGATTGCGGGCAGCCCATCTGACAGATGATCGGTACAAGTACGATACACCTAATTACATATAATAACAACAACCACTAATACATACAATAAGGAATCCAGGCCAATGACACAGACTAAACCCTGTAAACTGAAGGCATATAGTGCAATACCTATAAAAATGCTCAAAAACGGACCGATCGATGAATTGCGATCTAACTCGAAAACTAATAAACATAACATACTCAATGAAACGCTGATCATAATCAAAATATCATACCCACTCTGTGAAGTTTGTGCAGAATTTTTGTCCTAAAATTAAAAAAAGTTGTTTAACAATCTATCATTAAAATATTGACACAGTTCACTGTATGTTACGAGGGAGTAGTGCAGAGAAAGGGACAGCCAGGTGTTCGAGGACGGATGGTGACGGCACAGCACAGGTTAATGAATAAATAACTTTGTGAACGTGTTTCTCGAACACCTGGCTGTCCCTTTCTCTGCACTCCTCCCTCGTAACAAACAGTGAACTGTGTCAATATTTTAATGATAGTTTGTTAAACAACTTTTTTAATCGGGGTTTTAATCGTGCTGTGATCATGTTTTTTGACTAACAGTATCTCTATAATACAGGACAAGGAAGCTGACATTGAAGTATATATCTTATTTCCCTGAACTGTAGTTATCACCACCCCCATCCCAACCGGACATCCGTGTATAAGTTGTACCTGTTGGTGGACTTCCTGGAGTGAAGGATCTTGCCGATGTGGTAGTAGAACTTGGAGCCCTCGTAGACGACAGAAAGGACGGAGCAAAACATGATAGCTGGCACCAACCCTGGTACACAAAACACCATTCATTGTAGGACTAAATTAATACACATTACAAACAAAAACGTCATACTTCCTGAATCGTGATCAGTGGGATTCCCGGGTGTATGTATAGTGGGTGCTGGACAAGATGGCGCGAGGGATCTATTGAAGGGGTTTGTGTTACGTGGTGTGTCGTGGATGAGGTGAGTGTTGTATTAAAGTGTTTGTGACAGATGATGCTCTAACGCAAAGGCATGGTAGTGGATAGTAGGGTAAGGTAGTAAATTGTGCACTTAGGCAGTGCTTAGTATGGTGTGGTTTTGAATGGATAGGTAAGATAGTGAGCGGTTGAGAAAGGTAATGGTTTGGGGTAGGGGTTGTGGAGGAGGTCGGGATAGGGGGTGTAGGGTGAATAAGATGGTGTTGCAATATGGTGGTAGCGTAAGTGTTTGTTTCCAAAAAAGGTTGGACGTTTAGAAGGAGAGTGACGTATTTTAAGGTGTAAGCTTGTACACTAAAATCCCTTGTATGGACCTTTGCCTGAGGACACGGTCAAGCGTCTTCCCCGAGGGACAAGCATACAACGAATTTCACTCCCCTCCATGGGCATCATTTACTACAGTTTGAAAACAAAGGAAGATTGAGATGGGTGGGGAAGCTTATGGGAGGTTGGATAATGTGGCACATGGTGACGTAAGGGTGATTTATTGGGGGTGTGGAGACCGTGCCACTAACCGTGCAGGGTGTCGAGACGCCACGCCTGGACCAGGAGACTGGACGCTGTCCACAGCTGAAACGTCATCTGAAACGTAACAATAGACACTATAGAACTTCATGATAATAAAATGTCGCAAACTGACACGAGGTAATCACAGACCCCTCCTGCATATCAACGGTCGACCAGTCGATCACGGTGTAGAAAACCTTTGACTGAAGAAGAATTTAGAAAATATTGCGAAAGAAACAACTATCAGCTTTGATTTAGGTTTTGGAGAAGCACAAGAAGAGAAGGTGACATTGAGAAGATCATTTAGAACCTTTAAAGTGGTCAGTTCACTACACTGTTGATCGTAAAAATATTTGGTGGGTAGCCAAATGGAGAGTCTGTTTGACAGTCTCGCTTGAAGGCTCGCTTTCGATTCCCACGTGGGTACAATGCCTGTGTGAATTCGAACATACTACAATCGGATCCTGACAATGAAGAGGGACGCAACTGTCCATTGTGGTGATCAGATCTTTAGGCAGTGCTCAGTGTCACCTGCATCCTGTTCGAGTGGCATCTGTGTATATGTGTTTCAGGGCAAAGCTCATGTCATCATCCGTTTCTACATAAAATATATTCCAGCGACGAACACTAGATCAGGGGAACGGGTGGTCCAGCGGTCTAATCGACATTTGACAGGAACCAATGGCAGCAGGTTCGAATCCCAGTTTCATGTTTTTTCACCAAACACACTGGTGTGATCGTAGTTATGGGGTAATTGTAGGTTCGATTCCGAAATCCTCTCAAGTGAGTGACTACTTTCACCTCAAAGCATACTATCAGGGCTAAACTGTTTTGGTTTTTGGGTTTGTTTAAATGTCATAACCAAGCTACAAATTAGATACTTCCTTACAAGACAAACTTAAGTTGTTACACAAATTTCAAACCGAGTTTGACCATTTGAAATAGCTGAATTTCTAACTCAACTGCATACAGGTGTATCATGGGATACAGTGTTACCAATGATACTATTTATTAAAAAGACATTAAAAACAGTTGGTTTTCTGATAGATTCGGTGAATGGTATACTTCAGAGGGAAAGGTCAAAATGGCCACACGAAAAATGGCAACACTGACCCTAGTCGAAATGGCCATACCAAAAAGTTAAAATGGCCATAGAAAAAATCAAAATGGCGATACATTATTTTTCCGCCCATATAAATGAGTATTGTTCTTGACGTCGTTGATTTCGATGAGAGATCAACGGAGCTGTCCATTGAGGAAGACGAAGACGACACTCCTGAAATGGAAGAGCAGTTCACCCTTCTCCAGACCGGCTCACAGAAGGGAAAACCTCTACTGATGGATACACATATGTCCAACAGGTATTTCTTCCCCTGTTCTCAAATATATGAAATGATAATATCTATTATTATAGTAAATAATAGTAATACATTGTTTTTCATTACTGTAATCCGGGACCATGACACCTTTACTAAGGGCTCTTCGCCACACTCCCATCTCATAGAGCCTGCTTAACTTCAGGAGGCACAAGTGAAGATGAAGGTAAGACGCATAGGTACTAAAATATAACCACCTTTCCTTTAATTGGCTCGTTAATTACATACATTGTGTAACCTTAATTAAGATGTGAATCCAGAAGTGCCTCGTTAACTAATTAAGCGGTAATAGATAATTTATTGTCATTCTCTGTGTTTATTGTAATTGTTCTTATACTTTTCAGGTGAAGGAAGCAGCCATGGTTTGTGTGTCCAGCTGACTGGACCAGCGGAATGAACTGTTTCTGACTTGATCTACACGGATGTCATACAGTAGTAAATAGGACTGATCCACATGGATGTCATATAGTAGTAAATAGTACTGATCTACATGGATGTCATATAGTAGTAAATAGTACTGATCTACATGGATGTCATATAGTAGTAAATAGTACTGATCTACATGGATGTCATATAGTAGTAAATAGTACTGATCTACATGGATGTCATATAGTAGTAAATAGTACTGATCTACATGGATGTCATACAGTAGTAAATAGTACTGATCTACATGGATGTCATATAGTAGTAAATAGTACTGATCTACATGGATGTCATACAGTAGTAAATAGTACTGATCTACATGGATGTCATACAGTAGTAAATAGTACTGATCTACATGGATGTCATATAGTAGTAAATAGTACTGATCTACATGGATGTCATATAGTAGTAAATAGTACTGATCTACATGGATGTCATATAGTAGTAAATAGTACTGATCTACATGGATGTCACATAGTAGTAACTAGTCCTGATGTACATGGATGTCATATAGCAGTAAATAGTATTGATCAACATGGATGTCATAAAGTAGTAAAATAGTACTGATCTAAATGGATGTCATATAGTAGTAAATAGTACTGATCAACATGGATGTCATATAGTAGTAAATAGTACTGATCCACATGGATGTCATATAGTAGTAAATAGTACTGATCCACATGGATGTCATATAGCAGTAAATAGTACTGATCTACATGGATGTCATATAGTAGTAAATAGTACTGATCTACATGGATGTCATATAGTAGTAAATAGTACTGATCTACATGGATGTCATATAGTAGTAAATAGTACTGATCAACATGGATGTCATATAGTAGTAAATAGTACTGATGTACATGGATGTCATACAGTAGTAAATAGTACTGATCTACATGGATGTCATATAGTAGTAAATAGTACTGATCTACATGGATGTCATACAGTAGTAAATAGTACTGATCTACATGGATGTCATATAGTAGTAAATAGTACTGATCTACATTGATGTCATATTAGTAGTAAATAGTACTGATCTACATGGATGTCATATAGTAGTAAATAATACTGATCTACATTGATGTCATACAGTAGTAAATGGTACTGATCTACATGGATGTCATATAGCAGTAAATAGTACTGATCTACATGGATGTCATATAGTAGTAAATAGTACTGATGTACATGGATGTCATACAGTAGTAAAATGGTACTGATCTACATGGTTGTCATATAGTAGTAAATAGTACTGATCAACATGGATGTCATATAGCAGTAAATGGTACTGATCTACATGGATGTCATATAGTAGTAAATAGTACTGATCTACATGGATGTCATATAGTAGTAAATAGTACTGATCTACATGGATGTCATACAGTAGTAAATAGTACTGATCTACATGGATGTCATACAGTAGTAAATAGTACTGATGTACATGGATGTCATATAGTAGTAAATGGTACTGATCTACATGGATGTCATATAGTAGTAAATAAATAGTACTGATGTACATGGATGTCATATAGTAGTAAATAGTACTGATCTACATGGATGTCATATAGTAGTAAATAGTACTGATCTACATGGATGTCATATAGTAGTAAATAGTACTGATCAACATGGATGTCATATAGTAGTAAATAGTACTGATGTACATGGATGTCATATAGTAGTAAATAGTACTGATCTACATGGATGTCATATAGTAGTAAATAGTACTGATCTACATGGATGTCATATAGTAGTAAATAGTACTGATCTACATGGATGTCATATAGTAGTAAATAGTACTGATCTACATGGATGTCATACAGTAGTAAATAGTACTGATCTACATGGATGTCATATAGTAGTAAATAGTACTGATCTACATGGATGTCATATAGTAGTAAATAGTACTGATCTACATGGATGTCATATAGTAGTAAATAGTAAATTGATCTACACGGATGTCATATAGTAGTAAATGGTACTGATCTACATGGATGTCATACAGTAGTAAATAGTACTTGATCTACATGGATGTCATACAGTAGTAAATAGTACTGATCTACATGGATGTCATATAGTAGTAGTAATGGTACTGATCTACATGGATGTCATACAGTAGTAAATAGTACTGATCTACATGGATGTCATATATAGTAGTAAATAGTACTTGATCCACATTGATGTCATATAGTAGTAAATAGTACTGATCTACATGGATGTCATACAGTAGTAAATAGTACTTGATCTACATGGATGTCATATAGTAGTAAATAGTACTGATCTCCATTGATGTCATACAGTAGTAAATAGTACTGTTCTACATTGATGTCATACAGTAGTAAATAGTACTGATCTACACGGATGTCATATAGTAGTAAATAGTACTGATCTACATGGATGTCATATAGTAGTAAATAGTACTTGTTCTACATGGATGTCATATAGTAGTAAATAGTACTGATCTACATGGATGTCATATAGTAGTAAATGGTACTGATCTACATGGATGTCATACAGTAGTAAATAGTACTGTTCTACATTGATGTCATACAGTAGTAAATAGTACTGATCTACATGGATGTCATATAGTAGTAAATAGTACTGATCTACATGGATGTCATATAGTAGTAAATAGTACTGATCTACATGGATGTCATATAGTAGTAAATAGTACTGATCTACACGGATGTCATATAGTAGTAAATAGTACTGATCTACACGGATGTCATATAGTAGTAAACAGTACAAAAGTGCATGTACATGAAGAAAGAACCTACATATATATGTCTTGTTATTTATTGAAAATATGATTTGCTGATGTGTAATAAACATCAAGTTTTGTGTGATATAACTTATTTTGTCATTTTTACACCTTGATATCAAATAGTACAACGTGGGAAAACGTTATGAGTATTAAAAAATAAATAAATAATGTATGGCCATTCTTACAACAGCAACAAATAAACCAGAAATTTGAAATGATCGTTCTTTTCACTGACACAACACAGAACAACATTCAAGTATTATCCCCAGACGCAGTGTGTCTGTGTAGGACTTCGTGACCGACTTTTTCCATTGTGACTATTGCTTGGATATCCGGTGTCTCACAATCCGGGACCATATACTTCAATCACGATAATGTTTGTTCGTATGATGGATGTTTGTTTACAAAGAGAAACAAACTTAAACAGCAAATGCGGCTTAGACAACCTCTCTTTATGAAACCTCCCGTGATCGATCATACGGTCCAGATTCCTATCAACTATATTGTTTGTTAAGTCAGATACAAGAGTGCCGTACATAAGCATCAGAAATGGTGGGTGAATAGCGGGGGCGAGCTGATAGTTTGTTTGGGTATTATCCGCTTTACATAGGTGAACATATCTTGAGTTAAGAGAGACCCCCATACCCGGATACAAACAGTGTATGACTAGATCCATTGTCAGACGTGTACAGGCTAATGTCGGGACGACCTGCGGCTGTTTTGACTGATCTAATTGTTAGTTTATACAACAAAGAAGTAATTCTTACGATATGGTGGCCGTGGTGAGAGGCATGGTCCGCCGTCGGTGGAGACGGTCCTGGGGTCGAGTCCGTGGTCGTCATATGGTGATGATGATGTTGATGATGGTCCTCCATATTTCTTTTTCAGATTAGAGTACCCTCGGAGTAAACCCAAATGTTGGAAACGTTTCGGAATAACACTAACCTCTGACCCACGTCAGCGCCTGAAGCGTACCCACGTGTCCCTCAAGCTCTCCGTTACATGGGGTCCTGTGGGAAAACACGACTGTCATTCAAGGTTACAAATATATTAATGTGTACACAGAAAGCTTTTTGCAGTTAAAATGGTCCAATTGGTAACTCACATACGTTCCCTTGTCGTTACAGTTGTGCTTATCAGTACAGAGAAGAGTGTCTCCACGTTACAGGGTTCATGGGGGTACACGACCACGTCCACGTCCAAATGTATATACGTCTGTAAACACAAGCGTCTCTCGACGTTTCGGGTGTCCCTATGGAACACGCATCCCCGTATGTACAAAAGTCCCTGAAGCTGGGTCCATATGAGTACATACCCGTACTACGGTATCCGGGTAGCCACACTTGTCCCTCGCTCCTAGCAAGTTTCCCCAACTTTCTGCTACAATGTCATCCTTGGGTATCCACAGCCACCCTGTACTGTACGTACACACACAACGCCGAACGTCAACACAATGATATGATGCCCTGTATCAACTCTCTTGTCTCCTCTCTCCAAACGGGGTCAGTCAGCATGTGGGAGGGGCCTCGCTCAGTGCTTCAGGAAGATCTCTGGGCCTGCACTTATACATATAGCTGGGTGTTCTCACTCCGCCAACAAGTACTGCTCTTGTACAATTAGCATTCAGTGAGCTTGTTCAACGCCTTAATCCTTATCATACTTGGGTATTACCTCTGTGTTACTTGTTATTGTTATGATTGTGGGTTATTTTTGTAGCTATCTGGGTGTTTCTTGTTACCTGTTGTAACTGGTAATTACTGGTTATCACAACATACCGTGTTGTTATCTGAGTGTTTCTTGTTACCTGTTGTTACTGGTAATATGCTGGTTATCACAACATACCGTGTAGTTATCTGAGTGTTTCTTGTTACCTGTTGTTACTGGTAATATGCTGGTTATCACAACATACCGTGTAGTTATCTGAGTGTTTCTTGTTACCTGTTGTTACTGGTAATATGCTGGTTATCACAACATACCGTGTAGTTATCTGAGTGTTTCTTGTTACCTGTTGTTACTGGTAATATGCTGGTTATCACAACATACCGTGTAGTTATCTGAGTGTTTCTTGTTACCTGTTGTTACTGGTAATATGCTGGTTATCACAACATACAGTGTAGTTATCTGAGTGTTTCTTGTTACCTGTTGTTACAGGTAATACGCTGGTTATCACAACATACCCTGTAGTTATCTGAGTGTTTACTTGTTACCTGTTGTTACTGGTAATATGCTGGTTATCACAACATACCGTGTAGTTATCTGAGTGTTTCTTGTTACCTGTTGTTACTGGTAATATGTTGGTTATCACAACATACCATGTAGTTATCTGAGTGTTTCTTGTTACCTGTTGTTACTGGTAATATGCTGGTTATCACAACATACCGTGTAGTTATCTGAGTCTTCTTGTTACCTGTTGTTACTGGTAATATGCTGGTTATCACAACATACAGTGTAGTTATCTGAGTGTTTCTTGTTACCTGTTGTTACTGGTAATATGCTGGTTATCACAACATACCATGTAGTTATCTGAGTGTTTCTTGTTACCTGTTGTTACTGGTAATATGTTGGTTATCACAACATACCGTGTAGTTATCTGAGTGTTTCTTGTTACCTGTTGTTACTGGTAATATGCTGGTTATCACAACATACCGTGTAGTTATCTGAGTGTTTCTTGTTACCTGTTGTTACTGGTAATATGCTGGTTATCACAACATACCGTGTAGTTATCTGAGTGTTTCTTGTTACCTGTTGTTACTGGTAATATGCTGGTTATCACAACATACCATGTAGTTATCTGAGTGTTTCTTGTTACCTGTTGTTACTGGTAATATGCTGGTTATCACAACATACCGTGTAGTTATCTGAGTGTTTCTTGTTACCTGTTGTTACTGGTAATATGCTGGTTATCACAACATACCGTGTAGTTATCTGAGTGTTTCTTGTTACCTGTTGTTACTGGTAATATGCTGGTTATCACAACATACAGTGTAGTTATCTGAGTGTTTCTTGTTACCTGTTGTTACTGGTAATATGTTGTTATCACAACATACCGTGTAGTTATCTGAGTGTTTCTTGTTACCTGTTGTTACTGGTAATATGCTGGTTATCACAACATACCGTGTAGTTATCTGAGTGTTTCTTGTTACCTGTTGTTACTGGTAATATGTTGGTTATCACAACATACCGTGTAGTTATCTGAGTGTTTCTTGTTACCTGTTGTTACTGGTAATATGCTGGTTATCACAACATACCGTGTAGTTATCTGAGTGTTTCTTGTTACCTGTTGTTACTGGTAATATGCTGGTTATCACAACATACCGTGTAGTTATCTGAGTGTTTCTTGTTACCTGTTGTTACTGGTAATATGCTGGTTATCACAACATACCATGTAGTTATCTGAGTGTTTCTTGTTACCTGTTGTTACTGGTAATATGCTGGTTATCACAACATACCGTGTAGTTATCTGAGTGTTTCTTGTTACCTGTTGTTGTTAGGGTAATATGCTGGTTATCACAACATACCATGTAGTTATCTGAGTGTTTCTTGTTACCTGTTGTTACTGGTAATATGCTGGTTATCACAACATACCATGTAGTTATCTGAGTGTTTCTTGTTACCTGTTGTTACTGGTAATATGCTGGTTATCACAACATACCGTGTAGTTATCTGAGTGTTTCTTGTTACCTGTTGTTACTGGTAATATGCTGGTTATCACAACATACCATGTAGTTATCTGAGTGTTTCTTGTTACCTGTTGTTACTGGTAATATGTTGGTTATCACAACATACCGTGTAGTTATCTGAGTGTTTCTTGTTACCTGTTGTTACAGGTAATATGTTGGTTATCACAACATACCATGTAGTTATCTGAGTGTTTCTTGTTACCTGTTGTTACTGGTAATATGCTGGTTATCACAACATACCGTGTAGTTATCTGAGTGTTTCTTACCTGTTGTTACTAATATGCTGGTTATCACAACATACCATGTAGTTATCTGAGTGTTTCTTGTTACCTGTTGTTACTGGTAATATGCTGGTTATCACAACATACCGTGTAGTTATCTGAGTGTTTCTTGTTACCTGTTGTTACTGGTAATATGCTGGTTATCACAACATACCGTGTAGTTATCTGAGTGTTTCTTGTTACCTGTTGTTACTGGTAATATGTTGGTTATCACAACATACCGTGTAGTTATCTGAGTGTTTCTTGTTACCTGTTGTTACTGGTAATATGCTTGGTTATCACAACATACCGTGTAGTTATCTGAGTGTTTCTTGTTACCTGTTGTTACTGGTAATATGTTGGTTATCACAACCGTGTACCTGAGTGTAGTTACCTGAGTGTAATATCTTTGTTACCTGTTGTTATCTGGTAATATGTTACCTGTTGTTATCACAACATATCACAACATACCATGTAGTTATCTGAGTGTTTCTTGTTACCTGTTGTTACTGGTAATATGTTGGTTATCACAACATACCCTGTAGTTATCTGAGTGTTTCTTTTTACCTGTTGTTACTGGTAATATGTTGTTATCACAACATACCGTGTAGTTATCTGAGTGTTTCTTGTTACCTGTTGTTACTGGTAATATGTTGGTTATCACAACATACCATGTAGTTATCTGAGTGTTTCTTGTTACCTGTTGTTACTGGTAATATGCTGGTTATCACAACATACCGTGTAGTTATCTGAGTGTTTCTTTTGTTACCTGTTGTTACTGGTAATATGCTGGTTATCACAACATACCGTGTAGTTATCTGAGTGTTTCTTTACCTGTTGTTACTGGTAATATGCTGGTTATCACAACATACCATGTAGTTATCTGAGTGTTTCTTGTTACCTGTTGTTACTGGTAATATGCTGGTTATCACAACATACCATGTAGTTATCTGAGTGTTTCTTGTTACCTGTTGTTACTGGTAATATGCTGGTTATCACAACATACCGTGTAGTTATCTGAGTGTTTCTTGTTACCTGTTGTTACTGGTAATATGCTGGTTATCACAACATACCATGTAGTTATCTGAGTGTTTCTTGTTACCTGTTGTTACTGGTAATATGCTGGTTATCACAACATACCATGTAGTTATCTGAGTGTTTCTTGTTACCTGTTGTTACTGGTAATATGCTGGTTATCACAACATACCGTGTAGTTATCTGAGTGTTTCTTGTTACCTGTTGTTATGTTGTTATCACAACATGGTAATCTGAGTGTTTCTGGTTATCACAACATACCATGTAGTTATCTGAGTGTTTCTTGTTACCTGTTGTTACTGGTAATATGCTGGTTATCACAACAGACATACCGTGTAGTTATCTGAGTGTTTCTTGTTACCTGTTGTTACAGGTAATATGCTGGTTATCACAACATACCGTGTAGTTATCTGAGTGTTTCTTGTTACCTGTTGTTACTGGTAATATGCTGGTTATCACAAACATATTACAACAGTGAACGACAGTGAAAAAACATCAGTGCATGTGTATTGTCCTCCACTTTCCGTGGATAGAGCGACTTACACGTGCTAATCATTGACATTAAGTGTCAGGTGGATTTCCATATTGGCAATTTGAATAGAAAATGTGCCATTTGTAACAGAATGTATCTGACGTAAAAGAACGTAACAATGACATTTCAACGGCCTGATGTGTTTTGTCATACTGTTAAGAATGTTTGCAAAATATTCAGTTGTATATATTTCAAGCAAAAACGAAGACTTTACAACTTTTAAAAAACAGTGTTACCAATAGAGTGCCCTTCATTAATGACACCGGGTATATAATGTAGTGTCATGTAGGCCACATGGCCGGATGTTATACGTATCTTATTGATTGTTTTATTGTGTCTATATATGTTTTATATATAACCTGTGACACACAAATAAAAATATTTTGTTTCTTTTTTTTCCTGTCGGACAGTGTGATGGAAAAACCCCAACTGGATGTGGGAAGCATGGATTCCCGGACAATGGAAATCAACTTGGTGTCGAACTATTGCACACACAAAGTACATCAGTAATCGTATTTACAGATGATCATACACGGATCTGTTGTAGAGTGATCCATGTGTCAATGTCCATAGTCCATACGCTGTTATAATAATGTCAGCGTTGTCGGACTAGCTGTCTTTTTCTGATTGTCATAACTGATGGGCAAGTCACAGTAGTTAATGTATATAGCTACATATAATGTTTCGGATTCCAACGGGCGGTGGGGTAGCCCAGTGGTTAAAGAGTTAGCTATTCACGCCGAAGGCCTGGGTTTAATTCGCCACATGGGCACCATGTGTGAAGCCCATTTCTGGTATTTCCCCGCCGTGATTTTGCTGTATATTTAGCCTAGCGGTTCAAGCGTTCGCTGGAAACCGTAATATATATATTTATTTCCGGTACTGAAAGGCCACAGGCCTGTAGTACAATGTATTTATAAATCAATATTTACACGCACGGATAATATACATGAAGAAGGGAAAATAATCAACTTTAGGTTACATTGTGTTCTGAGATATATTCTGTCCTAAACAACATGGCATAGTAAACAAACATGGACAAGTTTTGAAGTATAGTATGGGTTTTGTTATTCAACAATGCTGAGAATTTATAAAGGTTTGGATGGGCACAATAATATTTCTTAATATACAACTTTCTGATGGAATTATAAGCAGGGCAAATTAAAAGAAAATGAT